TAAAATATTTAATGTACAATCATGTACCTTGTATCCCAGTACAGGACTTGGGAAGCTAGTCTCTAGTCTATCCTAGGCTACACTTTCCAGGTAGACTCTCTGTGTTACCGGAGGATGTACTCTCTTATCTGTCTTATAGTCTCGATGACCCCCGGGGGACACAGCGGTCAAGTAGGAACTCGGATCATTCCTTGGATCGAGTTCAGCAGCTCAGCGACAGTCTCTCCACTACTCACCCACGTTACCCAAACCGTCAGTGAGCTTGTCTATCGTCAGGCAGCGGTCTCATTGGCTCCCACAGACTCCAGCACTGCAATACAATACGGACCAGTACGGCTTGTACAGGGTCAGGACATGACAGCTCCCTGGTACAGACTAGTCTAGCGTACGACTCGCGATGTTGCCTGGTTTGGAACTGCATCATGTGCGCAGCCATGCACGTGAACACCTGTCACACAACATGACGAGTTCTTCTTCGGAAAGCGGTTAGCACACGGGCACTTGTCAGTCGTTCCACATTCTCGGTTGTCAAAACTGAAATCTGGTAGATCTACATTAGTACTGTAAGGTCATGGATCAGCAAAAAGAACATTGATATGGATGTCACGTGGATATGGTGGATATGGATACGGCTGTATGGCATGCGTGCACGACACCCGTCCTGACGTGATAACGGTGACAAGCTATGGATTGTTCTGGAACGCAAAAGGCGAGCTTAGCGCAACAATCCACCCTACATACAGTCATGTATCCACCCTACATATGCAATCATGTACATCGGTATACGGAGAGACCGACAATTACATACCTTGGCTTAGTATCACAAAATATAAACATACCTCAGCATGCAAAACCCTACCAGGCACGGAGCCAGATATTTGCACGCCGTTGCTCGTGCTCTGCTCAGAAAACACCTCATTACATTGTAGCCATCCACTTATACTACCAGCAAACATGTTACCAAGAAACGTCGCCTAAGCTCCACGACAGACTTGCATACCACTGCACTGTCCATACTTTTTTCTTTTAACCCGGAAGCGATTTAATAGCGTCAGTAACAGCAAAGTTGAGTACAGAAGGAAGAGATGAGTAAAGGCAAGAGTACATAACCCCCCGGTTATGTGCTCTTGGTAAAAGTACTACCCCTGCATTTATTTTGAGACGTACTGTGCGTGCTGTAAGCTAAAACACAAAAGTCTTGCTGTTGGAACTTACTCCAGCACTTGCACGGCACACATGTGCAAGACCTGCAGCATTACATACTGATGATATGGGATTCTTGAGCACACTGGTGTGACTTTATCATACAGGTGATGATTGCCTACTTGCCGTCTTCCGACAGTCTTTTCTCGTGATGTAGTCACAGTCTACATGAACATGACTTGTAAAGTTGTATTGTACCATACAATGCGTACAGCCTACTACCCGGTAGTAAAAAAGCATGTATTTGGTACTTTACCATTCCCTGACCAATGCACACATGCCACACACGTTGTGTTATTTCGACACAAGGGAGGTTTAGTCCCACGTAATCCGTGGGTACTTTACGTGTGTGCACCACGTGATATGATACTCAGTGACCCACGTACAGACGTTTTCTGATTCACGACATACCGTGTATGGAGGCTCACCCACGTTTCGCCAGAACGTGGGTGAAAATCAGATTGGAGCGCATTGTGCGAGCTAGCTGTGAGCGTGCTCAGCTGAAGAAGTTTCCGAAGCACGAAATCAAAATATTGGATGAGCTTCTTAGGCCCGGGTAGCTTCGTCTTTGACCAGGTTTGGGCCTTTCGCATCATGCTTTTGTTTGTTCCGTGTGACTAAACACAACATTGCAACGTGGGTGCCCTTCATCCACTTTACGTGGATCACCCACGTACGCGTTTCCGTTACGTGGGAACTAAACCTCCCTAATGCCCACATGCGTGTTTGTTGCGTACATAGTAGTTACACGTAACTGGCTTGGGAGTAGTAAAGAACAATGGTATCTAGTATCTACTACTCCCTGGTGCAGGCCACAGACAACAGACTGTACTGCCAAAAATCTGCTACAGAAATAGCTTCACTGTCAAGCCGGTTTGCACACATAGGGTACACCATCCAGGCATCCACTCACCCACCTTCACACATGCACACTTCCATCTCACTGACATAGAAACCACTGAGAATGACCACAGCATAGGAGTAGTAGCATGCCCCATCCATAGCCTAGGATCATACCCGTACCCATGGCATGTCCAATTCAGGTCGTCATGGTTACAGAATGGCATTGTAAAAATTCAGAAAACACTCCACAGAAATCAGATATTGACAAAAATATTTGGGTACTAGAAAAGAAAAAATCAAATAGAATATTGAGCGAGTCAAGGCAACGTGGTTCCACGCAGGACCACTTTTTAGAAGCAAAATCCTGCACGCTTGCAGTGTGGCGAAGATTTATTATAAAATTGAAATAAAAAAACAAACGAACGGCCGAGTGTGTGGCCAGTTTCTGCAGGAGCAGTGGAATAATATCGGAGACTTGATACATCCACTGATAATTGTAGGGGCTACCCGGGCAAGCAAAGTTCTCATGCGTCTACAGCTTTCATGGTTTGTTTGGAGTTGTTTGTACTTGCAACAAGTATGCATGTGGGTCCTACTAGTTACACTACATGTAGGTGATGTGAGGGGGGGGGGGGGGAGGTAAAAGTTGGTATTGTGTATCGATATATGGAACCTGATGAACACAGGACAACGTGGCAATGGAGCCAGCAAGGACCTACAGCAAGAGAAAGTGTGTATGCAAGCTAGTGCTCTTAAAAAAGCAAACCCCACGAGCGCAGTAGCGTACCAAGCAACACGGAGCGTTTCATGACCAATCTTGTATGTGAAAATATATAATGTCCGCTGCCACCGCCATGGCAGGTGCAGATAGAATTGACAGGCTTCCAAGGAACTCACATGGTGTGTAAGAACGGAGACACATCATCGTCCTGAAGACGATGGTGCGGATGCAGCAGCTGCTGCTCCTTCATCACCGTCCTCGCCCAATGGGTTCTTCTCAACAAGAGTCTCTATTAGTGATGTTCCGTTGATCATCTGAGTGGTGGCGATGAGATAGTCGGTTAGACCTGTGCACAGTTGAATCAGATGGGAACAAGGTGGTACACAATGACACGCAAATCAAATATCGTTTATTGAGTTGATGATGGACGTTTTCTCGTTAAAACGCAAGACTTTGTGCCACGCTAGAGATTCAACTCTTACAGTACACGTATAGCGAAGTTCGTGATTATAACGAACCATTGTCCATGTCCCTGTTTGAACCCATACAAAATTGATCCTTGGTAGCAAACAGGTTTTGCTTATAACGAACTATATCTTGTAGTGCCGTACATAAACCAAATGCACTCATACAGTCATGAGCCAAGTGCCAGTCAAAACGTGTTGCTTATAGTGTGAGGCTGTGAGTGCATTTCGGTTATAAAGAACTTCGACCATAAAGAACTAATTCTCCTGCACAATGGTGTTCACTATATCAGGAGTCCACTCTACACTCTACACTCATATCTCTCTTATCCGCACCTACAGTCGACTCTACACTCATATCTCTCTTATCCGCACCTACAAGTTATGGGCACCTCGGTCTACCGCGCACCCTGTGGGCGAGATTTAGTGGAAATATTACTACTCTTTTGCCATTTCTTTGTGTAAATAGTGATGTCATATGCCAGATATTCGGCCCTTCCCCATTGAAACGTATGTGATTCAAAGTTCGGGACATATCAAAGTTATGGACAGTGCCCTGTCCCGGACTGGCTGGATAAGCAAGATATGATTGTAGCGTACAGCAAAGTCTACTGCAAACACCCACCCCAGCTCAATGACACTATTTTCGCAATGCAGGGCATTGGTACGTCGTACTGAAGACAACAAAATTGCACAGAAAGGTCGTATTTGTACGAATACTAATGCAATGCCTACGAGCTGTGTATGCCTAGGGTCCATGACTAAAGCAAGGGTTGATAACCCATATAGGAGCAAGGGTTCATAACCCCTGTAGGAGGTGATAGGGGTTATGAACTCTTGCTATGGCTAAACAAACTTACTTAAAGGGGAAGTTAAGGCAAAAATCAAAATTTAAATTTCACCAGTTGTAGTCGTCGGGGTGCTGAGTCGAATGGTCATGGTCCGAGGAAGCTGAGATGCTCCCTTCCTACTTTAATCCCAATCGAACTCGCACGCTTCCGTAGTTTCATGCTAAGTCAAAACATGTGAACTGGCAGCTAGCTAGGTCACATGTAAACTAAGCATCCGTACATACAATGACATGTACAAATGTACATGTACATGTATGACTGTACCATTGAACAAGGATAAAATGGCTGGGTTCGCGAAAAATAAGAACGGGCTAGGCCAGAACCCTGGTTCTTCGGCGCCTGACAGTACTGTAGGGAGATTTCAATGGCGTAGAGAAACGGAGACAACACAGCCGCTATCTCAAGTAGCAAGAATGCAATTTCCCTTCCAGATTTCACAGTCAGAGCAGGGGAGTCGGAAGGTAACTTATTCCACATTGGCGCGGTCATGAAGAGGTGGTGCATACCACTGCAAGTATCCACTGAGTCTAACTCATACCAGGCATAACTCTAACATCCACCTTACCATCCTCAGAAGCCAAGAAGCGCAGGGCGGACACCTCCGCGTGTGTCATACCTCCCAGGAAGAAAATCAGCGTCATCCCTGCTGCCGATGGTGCCTCTGTGATGAAAAAATGAGACAGGTGGAAAAGTACAAGTCATGTCACCTAACAGTTCCAGTCTTTGCACACACACGCACGCACGCACACACGCACACACACACACACACACACACACACACACACACACACACACACACACACACACACACACACACACACACACACACACATGCACACCCATATACACATACACACTGCACCGATCCACCAGTCAAGGTCTGTGCCTGGTTACTACCGTAGGCACCTCGTCACTTCACACTATAATAATTATAATTATCAGTACATATACTTGGTCTGCTTTGTGATGGTAGAAATCATCAGAACTTGTAACGTTCACCTCTCACTGCTTGGCTTAGTCCTGCTGGTGATGAGCTTAGCTACCAACTATTCTTTGCCATGCCCATGTTTGGCATACTCTATATGTATAGCCGTATCTGGCACCGAGCAAGAGTGGAGCAAACAGCGCATCTCTGTGTTGCCGTAAGGTTAGCCAAGTAATAGCTTTGCTCTGGCCAGCTTGTCACACCCCCAAAACAATATCCATACAGCAGATGTATGCATAGTGTCGTGGCAGATAGCAAGTAGCACATGGGCACCAAACTTAAGAGCAGTAGGCACTGGATAATGTATCCACAGCACAGTCATGTTGTACTGGACAATGCACCCACAGCACATGCTCCATTAGCTAACGTATCCACATCACATGCAGCACTGGACAATGATTAGCTTACTCTTAGACTGCAGACCCACGGGCACGCTCTGCTTCTCTTCAGTCAGCGGTCCAGGAAGCAAGCGCAGCAACTGCAACACAGTGAAGAGATCAATAATACACACGCGCCCGCGCACGCACCACACACGCGTGCACGCACCACGCACGCACCACACACGCACGCACACACACACACACACACACACACACACACACACACACACACACACACACCTGGTCCTGGTCCTGGTATACACTGCCATGTAGGTCACGTGTTTCTCGTTGAGCGAGACGGAGACGAGAGGAGACATGAGCGTTGGTGACGGGATAAGTCGTTTCGCCTTTTGAAACGCCTCCGGCAATTCTGACATTGCAATTGGAACTTGTCCCTTTCATCAGCAGTTGGGCGCCTGGTGGATCGGTTGCAGTTGTGGATAGCAAAGCCCCGGATCGACTTACAGCAGCGTTCACAAATGGGACAGTGAGCGGTACAGCACGGTTTCCGAATACATAGGCGTACAGGTGAAGAGCTTGTGGCATTGGCAACATTCGGGGCAGAATTGGACTGGACACAGCGATGGACTGCAATGCCACCCGCACTCCGAAACCATCGGTGACACTGGGAGCACTGGCGGCTGTTGGCTTGCTGCTGGACTGGTTTACGCCGTTCCATGATGCACTTGTGGCGGGCGATATCTTGCTGCCGAGCAAATGCACGCCGGCACACCTCGCAGACTATCTCCCGAGCCGGTTTCTGAGCTGGTTGTATTGCTCGATAAGCTTGCCGCCACTCAGATCGTTCCTGCGCTGTGTCAAACCATGACTCGTCGGCGATGTTTATTCGTCGCAGGTCGACCCTAATTGCGTCTCGCCATCGTTTCCGCGGGCCACACGCTGGGCGTGGTGGCAGCAATGTGCCAAACAACAACATCCGCGGCATCCGCTCCTCAGGCATGCGTACCACGTGCCCAAGCCATTCCAGTCTTCTCTGCATGAGGCGGTCGGGGATATCCAGTGGGTTTGCTGCATTCCATGTTTTCAGAATGGTGTCCTTGGCTATCTTCAAGTCCCACACATCCCGCTGTGCAACACTCATGATGGAAAGAAGCGACCGGTAGTAGAAGGTCGTGATCCGTTGCACATCACTTTGCAGCGGTACCCACGTCTCCGCACAATAGAGCAGTAAGGACAGAACACAGGCCTCGAAAACCAGACGCTTGGTGCGCAGAGAGAGATTGTGGTCATTGAAGACAGCATGACGGAGCGCTCCAAAAGCACGGGAGGCAGATGAAACACGGGTCGATACATCTTTGTGAGATCGGCCAGAATCATGGATAACAGCACCCAGGTATCGGAACTCACGCACACATTCCAATGTGCCATTCTTCACAGGAAGAGGAAGTCGGTCATCATCCGTGATACCATAGCCAACCGCCATAAATTTGGTCTTGTCCAGATTGACGGTCAGACCAAATGCAGACGAGACATCGATGAACATATCCAGAGCAAGAGCAGCAGCAGTACGGGTAGTGGCAAACAGTGCAGAGTCGTCAGCGAACTGGCAGTCGTTGATGGTAGTCTGATCGTCAGTACGCTTTCTCTTGAAATAAAGCGAGCCCCCAGGATTGAATGCCAACGGGACGCCGATACCAGGCACATGCTCGACCACTCTGGACCATCTCTGGAAAACAGCCCACATGAATATGTTGAATAAGACTGGTGCCATACAACAGCCCTGCCGCAAACCACTCTTCACTGCAATGGGTTGGATGGGTGTTGACCCGATGGAGAGAGTAGCCGACATGGAGGTGTGAAATGACTTGATGATGTTTACGATGTTACTAGGGACCCCTGCCTTCGCGAGAATCAGCCACATGCATTCACGGTTTACTGAGTCGTACGCCTTACGTAAATCAACAAAGACAACGTATCCCGGGCAGCGATGTTCGTACAACTTCTCCAGGACTTGGCGAACTGCAAACACCATGTCTGTGCAAGATCGACCCTTACGAAAGCCGCACTGGGAGTCGGGTAGAATATTCTCCGCAATAATCTGTAATCTGGACTGAAGTACTCGAGCAGCAACTTTCCCAACAACATCCAGGAGTGATATGCCACGCCAATTATCACACAATGAGAGGTTACCTTTCTTTGGGATTGGCACAAGGTTGCAGTCTACCCATTCCTGCGGAACAGCCTCGTCATCCCAGACATGGTGCAACAGATCCAACAGTGCCTCCATGAAACTCTCACCACCCGCTTTGACCAACTCAGGCAGGATAGCTGAGGCGCCAGCGGCCTTGCCGTTGCTGAGTTGTCGAATAGCTCGCGCCACCTCTGCTGCATCCGGCTTGCCAGCGATGTTCTGGTTGATAGGCTGCTGGTCTATTTCGTCAATGGCACATGGATCAAATGTGCTAGGGATGTTGAGTACGCCATCGAAATGTTGGTACCATCGTCCACCTTGTTCCTCCACAGATTTGCAGATGTTGCCATTTGCATCCCTAATAGCGGTAGTAGACACAGGGCGTAATCCCTGCTTGGCAGCCTGCATATCCTTAACACATGCCCACACCCGTGAGGAACTGAACCGTGCACCATCAAGAGATTTGGCTTTGTTGGTGAACCAGGAGTTCTTGGCAGAGCGGACAGCAGCTCTTGCCTTACTCCTGGCAGCCTTGAACCTGTTCCACGTGTCATCAGACCTGCCACTTGAAATCCATTCTTGATATCGCTGATTCCTTTCATTCAACAAGGGTTCGAGGGTATCTTTGCTCTCAGTAAACCAATCTGGTTGACGACGTTTCTGAAAACCGAGGGTCTCCTCTGCAGACTCGGTGACCGCGGTGCGCAACCTCGACCATTTGCATTCAACGGTGGTATGTTCATTCGGCTGTTGCAGACTGTTTGTGAGGCATTCACGATAGACATCAGCAACTCGTGTGATGTTTCCAGATGAGTCAGTGCTGTGGACATCCTTCAAACGTGCAACATCAAACCGCTTACATTTCTTCGTTTGCACACAACGCGAGCGGCGCTGCAGACGGCCTACTACAAAACGCGCAGCCACCAGGTTGTGGTCGCTCCCACATTCCGCACTTCTTATAACTTGAGCATCAATACATTGGTGGTAGTCAGCTTGTGACGTGATGACAAAATCAATACAATGAAATCTCTTTGACCTTGGATGTTGCCAGGTCCACTTCCTATCCTCTGTCTTGCAGAACCATGTGTTACACACCATCGCCTGAATAGTTGCAAGAAAATCCAACAGCTCACGTCCTGCAGAGTTCATCTCACCCACTCCATGTGGGCCCCGTACACGTGACCACTCATCAGCGTCAGCATGCGTACGGGATCCAACTCTGGCGTTGAAGTCACCCAACAGAATAAACTTTTCTGTGCCCATCCGTGGCAAAGTCGCTTGCAAGTCCGCAAAGAACTGTTCCTTGGCAATTCGCTTGCTGGCGAACGTCGGAGCATATGCGGAGATGACAGTATACCATACCGGTGAACACCCATGAATATCAAACTTCAATCGCGCTGACACAATCCGAGAGCTGCGGGCGTCGTATTGACAACCGCCGTCACGCCACGCGCGAGCTGCATTTCCCAGCAACAGAATCGCAACACCTTCACCCCTTCGACACGACTCTCCCTCGCCAGGTGAAGGTCTTCCAGACGAAATTAGCACTGCTCCGTCGATGTTGTAAACGTTCTTATCCAGCCAGTAGGTCTCTTGAAGACAAACTATTTCCAATCCAAGACGTTTGAAAATTTGAATTATCCGATAAATTTTCTTGTCGTCAGCCACTTGATGTCGAGTGGATGCTGTTTGGACGGGTCCTTCACTTTCCAGCAACGAGCGGACATTCCACGTCCCAACGCTCAGGGTAAACTCCTTTCGTCTCCTACTGCGTGCGGTAGATGGCTCCATTCGCGGGCTTGCAAGGCCTCGCGATGGGTCCAACAGCGGAAAACAGAGTCAGAGTGACGACACCCGAAGTTCGTCCTGTAATCTGCTCTGGTGACTTTCCGCTGTGGACTTCTACTGGGAACTGTCCCAGGGACGACCCTGGAAGCCCAGAGTCGTCCCTGAGAACTGAAAACTAACAAAAACTAATCAAACGATGAGAGCTACAAAATTCCTAACTGACTCCTGTAGAGTCACACACACACACACACACACACACATACACACACATACACACACAGCATGGTTCGTATAACACTAGCTATGAATCTTCTAGCATGGCAGTGTAAATGCCCTAGAGTCTAGCAGAAGACAGCATGAGTCATGGAGACCATGGCATAAGAAATCACTATTAGAAAGTGATGACATTATCAAACAGCCTTGTTTATGGTTAGCATGTGATCAGTATTCTTACCAGCCTTCAATCCAACATAACGTCGCACAGAAACTTGTGATACACACTTGGCACACAGATAGCACTAAAGATCATTTGCTTCATAATTGCCTTTGCAAGAACCCCCTCACCCCGTAACGTGGCCGATGTGCATGTACACTTGACAGCCATGCCCATTATTCAATCATTACAATGTGCTACCCGGAACATATACACACATGTAATCAAGTGGTGTGCTTCACTGTCTCTTGCGCTATGATACACCTCAGAATTTCCCACCTTGCTCCCGCTATGTTCAGGCTACCCGTTTTGGAGCCATCAGTTGCCTGATGATCGTAGTAATACGTGAAACTCAAGAGTTGCGACACAGCTTCCAATGTCTCTTGTATGCACACATGTGTGTACAGCATGCAGTTGCATACTTACCGCCTCAATGTTGCGTAGTCCACCAGGCTTGGCAATGTTCTGTGCAATGCGCACACTTATCGGTGCATAGCCAGAGTACACGTAGGAAATGTCTTGCGGATTCTAAAGCCAGTAAAACACAATGACAGGAATGATTACATGTACGTAGAAGCAGTTACATACATGAACTTGTACACACGCACAGACACACGCACAAACACCCCCCCCCCCCCCCACGCACACACAAGCACACACAAGCACACACAAGCACACATAAGCACACATAAGCGCACACACACACACACACACACACACACACACACACACACACACACACACACACACACACACACACACACACTCACACACACACACGCCCTACGAGTTCCCCACACTGCAGTATTAAAGTGGATTAGGCCAGAGTGCAGAAAAATGACTGGCGGCATCAAGCTATCCGTCCCGAGACCCGACTACATTTACCCCTGTCCCCAGTGAAGCACTAAGCATTCCTCCATTCACTTTGCTGCTCTGAGTGCTAGCAGTGATCTTTTGACTCAGTCACTGATCGCATGACTCAGACTTTCACACACACTACAGCATACTCTTGTATATTCGTGCACAAGCATGTGTTTCACACGTGCGTGAGTGCGTGCATGCGAGAGTTTATAATTTGAACGATAGGAATGCACCACATTACTTACCACTTCATCTACATTGTCCACACTGAGGCGCAGTGACTTGCGCAGCTGTGTGAATACCGCCGTCGTCTTTACAAAGAGGAGGCCGACTTTCTCCATTGAGTCCAGTGTGATCATGTGATGCATGCCATACGTCTAAACATGATAGCACAACAAGAACAAGAATCACAACTATCACACACTGCTCTAGGATTTCTCAACTTGAAGTCAAGTGCCACACAACTAAATACACACATTACTAAATACACACACACACACACACACACACACACGCACACACACACACACACGCACACACACACACACACGTACCCATACAGGTATGCACAGACGTGCGGGGGTACCCACACACACATGTGCATACACGGCATCCACAGTACCTGTATGATCTCTCGTTTGTAGAAGTCCATGAGCTTTGCCTTGAAGCCATTATTCGATATGCAATGGATGCAAAGAAGACGCAGCACCTGCCAACACAAAGGGAAGAGAAGCAGAAACCCTATCAGCGGTGACACATACATGTACGCCGTTAGTTCATGCACACGTCCTATCTGAGCTGGACAGACATTGATAACCATAATATACTATAGTCATTGTCAGCAAGAACTTCGTGTATGGGCCATACATTGGAACTTTGGAAGACACAGCTATGTTCATAAAAAAAGGGTGTAACATTCTTCGAACTGTATTGTGATTCAAAATTCGGAACGATGCTTCACACAGCTTCACTGTAATAACAAATTGGTCTAAGGCAACGCTGGCCAACACACCGTTGCACTGCTATTTCACACAGTGATTGTGATTTTTTTAAGAATCTTGCCAATTTCATATTCAACAACAAGTCCACCAAAAACACTCGCAACAGACTCATCAGCTAACTCAAGTGATAAAATTCAAGTGGCACCAGGCACAACAAGTAGAGTGAACAACGATAGCCAGGGCTTCTACAGAGACTACTAGCCAGGGCATCTACAGAGACTAATAGCCAGGGCTTCTACAGAGACTACTAGCCAGGGTTTCTACAGAGACTACTAGCCACGGCTTCTACAGAGACTACTAGCCACGGCTTCTACAGAGACTACTAGCCACGGCTTCTACAGAGACTACTAGCCACGGCTTCTACAGAGACTACTAGCTTTGCTACACTAACAACTCAAGTATCATAGGCTACCGACCTTCACAATGGGGGCTTTCTTGGCAATGAGAGTCTCAATCAGAGGGTGAACCTTGTCAGTGTCAACTCCGCCGATAAGTTCTGGATACAGATGATTGCATAAGTTTACATGAAGCATCAATGTGAAGACATATTCGAGCATAACGTTACATACGAGCGAGCATACACGTGAGCACACTGAAGCACACATGTACAAGCACATATACATGTATGTACGGATAGATGTGTCCACGTTCTCTCGTGCCAACAAATCAAGCATGACTGACTCTTCACAACGAAAGTATTTCACGAAATGCAGACGAGACTCGCTCCAGACCGGTCGCAAAGCAAGATTGAACATGACTGGTCGCCGGTGCAGTGTCTGTACAATGCAGCTCCGGTGCTTCTCCCGTGTCTGTCCTCACCTTGCTCTGCTCGTAACGTATTCATAAAGTCGTCACTGAATACTTGCTCCTTGATAAGCTCTGCTATTGATGTATCTACACAGATAGCAGGACAAAAGAAAAGAGAGACAGATAAATCAATAAAAGATGGAGAGAGAGAGAGAGAGAGAGAGAGAGAGAGAGAGAGAGAGAGAGAGAGAGAGAGCAAGAGCGAGACAGAGGGACAGATAGACAGAAAGACGGAGACAGCTCTCCCTCTCTCCCTTTCCCTGCTTTGCCCTGATGATCGGCACGGCCAAACGTTTGGGGAAATGTTATAAAAGTCAGTTGTTTGCAGCGAAGTGACCTATTGGAGTGGGAGAAAGAGCTATAAGTACTTTATGAACAAGGAGGCTGTGATTCGCGTTCAGGGCTTTAGACAAAGGGCTGTAGTAACTTACGTGTGCTGACAGCCTGTCGCATTGACTGCAAGTGTGGTAAACGATTCACAAACTGCTTCAGCTGACGCACAGTCTTCGCTTCGTGTCTCTCCTACAGACAACAAAAAGATATGTGTTCGTTTGAAAGGCAGAACAAGACAGGCAAAATTCAACTCACCATGTTCAGCACCCAATGGTCGGGATTTAGAAAATAACTGCATTGTACTTATGTGTGAATGTGACATTTTAAGTTATTAAACAAATTGAAATTGATACACCACTAACTTCTTCTACTTAGGCCAAACTAAAGAAGGTGTGTGGTTCGACTCACCCGACCGACCGTACAATTTCAGCCCGACTGTAACTTTTTTTCGGCGGGCTGTCGTGTGACTGACGTACGTGGACTGAACACGTCCACGTCTACGTGCTGTGCGGCGTGAGTCTGCGGACGCAGGCGGCTCCTTTTGGACTTGACTTGTAGTTGTACTGCAGTGCAGTGCAGTGAGTGGTACGACTGCTGCCTTGTGCTGGTAGTAGAGTCTACTCGATACGCGTATACAGTGTATTTACATGTACTAAAAAATATATTTAAAAAAAAAAAATCCGCCCGCCCGCCCGTAAAAAAAATGTCCATGTTAGTCGAACCACACACCTTCTTTAGTTTGGCCTTATTATTATTATTATCTTTATTTGAGAGATGACCCTATTATGTAGAGGAGACGGTTTCAAATAGGACATAGGTTGCAAACCGGAACGGTCTAAATATTCACTTTCTCTCTTGGTATTTTGATTAGAAAACATATGTCACAGTGAGACTACGATGTGTTTTACTCAGCGCCAAAATTCCATGGCTCTGCGATGACCAGAAGCGCCATACCAAGCATTTGAGTTTTCGAGGTGTTGCTTCCCACTGCAACTTGAGTTTTACGTCTTTTGAAAAATCAACTTCTTGTCGCAGGTAAACAGCGGCTCGCCTCTCGCCAATAAAGAACCGTATACCAATGAAAACTAATGGAAGCACACACAAGGCTTATTGGTGCTCTGTACTGGCCGTCGTGGAGCCATAGCAATTACCTAATTTCAGACCCAGAGTGAATTTGACGGGCACTCTAAAACCTGTCCGGTTTGGAGCCACCTCGGTAAACACCAAAAATTGAGGGCAACTTGGAGGCAGCGAGCCAACACAAAGGAGGGGCTCAGATCGATCGACTCTGGCCTCAGAGCAAACTTCAACATGCCAGCTTCCTTCCACAAACATATTTCGAGTGAACAATCCACACTGATGATCGGATTGGGTCTACACAATTTTGCTGTCAACCCGTTCCGGTATCGAACCGTCGCCTCTACACGCATTGTACCCTCAACCCATCTCACATCCATCTGCGACGTGACACGCTTGGCTCTCCGGCTGAGAAGAGGACCGACTGCCTGGTAGTTGAGATCACGCAGTTCACCAAACATCTCGTCACCGGAGTTGAGAACGAGTACTTTCGGTCCGGGAACAACCCCACTGGCCTTGTTCTTCTCCTCTGCAGAGCAGAAAAGTACAACAAAACAAAACAAAGAAAAAGCAGAAAGAAGCTATGAAAAGTATGAATGCCGCAGATATCACCACGCAACATGACAATTTGTTCAGGGTTCGAGATTGTGTGTTTCCAGAATCGATTTTCAAGCTCCGATCATCAGTGGAAATACGGAACTAAAGTGATCAAGGGAAAAACAAAGGTTAAAAATCCAAAGAAGTGTGACACAAATTGTCATGTTGCGTGGTGATGTCTGCGGCATTCATACTTTTCATAGCTATTATTAAACTTTTATCTCCACGTAGATTATCAGAAAGAAGGTCTCCAGCAAAATGGACGTCAATTAATGGTGCAGATGTAAGCCAGCGCAGATCAGAAGCAGCACCAACAGGGTGCCAATGCGCACCGTGGACAGTAGTGGAGTTCTACTTCCTACAACAACACTGGCCTTCTGATTTCTAAACATACAAGTACATGAATGTAACAAAACAAAACAAACAGGAAAGGGGGAACGCATGACTAACCTTGTTCGGAGGACAAGAACTTCTCAGGCGGCAACTTGACAGAACCTGCAAAATAACCCGCAGAAGCAGTCAGTGCGTATTATACGACTTGTACAAGACCTGTTCATACAAAGTGCCAACACAGCAATTCAGCCGATCACACGGCTATACAGCGTTGCATATACAGCACTGAAGTAATCTGGAGCAGAGCTACTAGTATCCACAGCAAAACAGTCAATTACAATCCTCTACTGCCACAGGAACGTATACCAAAATCTCAATGCACTGCATTTCAAATATTATCCGCGGCCATTTTGAACAGGGGCCAGCAGTGGCTGGCATCAAGAGAACATAAACCAGAGGGTGCAACTGTGCATGTAACGTACTAGCAAGAGTATGTACTCTTGGTACTAGTATGCGGCAAAAACCTTCCACTATGACATTTTTCTTTTTATGTTGGTTATTACGAATCGATTTGATTGTAGCCTATTAAATGCGGCACTCATACCAAGAGTACATAACCTCAAGAGTGCGCAAATCCACTACGGGTGCTATCCCGACAGAATTCCAAGTTGACGTCATTTTTCTGCTGCAATGCGCATTGCACTACACGTATTACCAGACATATCCTGGACCTGTAGTTGACAAGTCTCCACTTTATCCTGTACAAATTAGTTCAAGGAAACACGTGTGATGCGCTGACACCCAGTACAAACGCTTTAAAATCACTCATGCGAGGAGCATTGCATCATGAGAATGATATCAACTTGAAATTCTGTCGGGACAGCAGGGTATGCGAGAGTTACACACTCTTGGTGGGTTATGTACTCTGGCTCTCACACACGGGAAAATAGGATACGGGTACAGCTTGCCCGGCATGAAAAGTGTTTTGGTGCATTCAGATGTACTCTGTAAAAACCGTGCAAATCCCCAAAGGCGCTCTTATCGCCACGCCAACCAGGCACGGCAAAAAGAAAATTTCAAAAAGAAAGAGGTTCAGCGGGAAGATGAACATGAAATTTGTTGTAGAGTGGAGATGAAGAGAGAGAGACAGAGACAGAGACAGAGAGAGACAGAGACAGAGACAGAGACAGAGACAGAGACAGAGAGAGAGAGAGAGAGAGAGAGAGAGAGAGAGAGAGAGAGAGAGAGAGAGAGAGAGAGAGAGAGAGAGAGAGAGAGAGAGAGAGAGAGAGAGAGAAGAGAGAGAGAGAAAGAGAGAGAGAGAGAGAGAGAGAGAGAGAGAGAGCACAGCTGATATTGCAGCTGCATTGACTTCTTGAAGAGGACCTGGCGAACCCAGCCTGTCGCTGTCATGTCCTGGATTGCCATACCACCCAACGCCACTCTGTTCAGCTGTTCACCGTACTCGTCAACGTTCTCTTCCAAAGAAATAATTCCGCAGGGTTCGTGATGTTCATGGCGTGCTCTCTCGAGAAGTGCAGACGACCCCGGTGGCCAACCTACCGAGGCGTTGAGGAGCAGAGAGGTTTCAAGGAGAGCAAGGTACCACTGTGGCACAAACAAAGTAGAGATGTACGCTCCCAGAGAGAGAGAGAGGCAGACGACTTTCTGGATCAAAAGTACTGTGGAGCGTACCGGGCGGATAAAAGGACATTTCAGTATCTAGTTGGTGAAACAAGAAATCATTTGCACCTCACCAGGACGGCGATACGCGGCCCAGTACCTCCAGAGGAGCGCTTGGCAATGGGCCTACACTGGATGGTGGCGCATGGCAACACTTCGGAACGACTTCATGAGATATACCATGTTGGAATGTCCACCACCCACAGTGTTGTTCATCAAGTTGTCAAAGTCCTTAAAGAGACCATTGCTAGCACATCCATCAGATTACCAGGCGGACGAGAGCTGGATTCGGTGATGGATGGCTTCCAGCGGGCAGCAGGTCTACCAATGTGTATTGGAGCCATCGGCGGCACATTTGTACACATGCTGAAGCTGGCCCTCTGGGGTGACACATATTGGTGTTACAAGAATTAAATCGCCATGTTGCTCCTTGGAGTCTGCGCCCACTGCCGTCAATTCACACACATCGATGTCGGTCGAGCAGGCAGTGTGGGAGATGCGTACACGTACAATGAAAGTTCGCTATTTCGTAACACTGTTGATGGTACATGGCTCCAGAACACGCAGGATGTGCTGGAGGACTGCTGCATCATGCCCTACCTGATTGGCGATGGGGTTTTCCCTCTCGAACGGCAGCTTACGAAGTGCTATGATGCACCACTATTCGACCACCAGTACCAATCCAACAAGGTGCTAATTTCAGTTAGGCAAAAGATCGAGAATGCCTTCGGTAAGTACAAGGGTCGCTGGCGTATCATAGTTGATAATCACATCAAAGATCCCGCATATATTTGCAACGTTGCCATTGTGTGTGCTGCTTCTAAAAATATTCCTGTTGCTGCATCACACGATCTTTCACTCAAGGTACCAGGAGGAGCTTTGAGGTAGCAGGCTGGAAGGGCTTGAGAGCTTTGAAGTAGCAGGCTGGAAGTGTTTGAGATTTAGGCTAGGCTCTAGGTGTGCAGACCGTCTCCAACGTGAACGTTGCCTTCTCAGTCCCAACTTCCTTCACACATAATGTGAAAGTGTACCACCAAAGCATGATTGCACTTCAGTAGATTAAACTACTAGATTTAGCTATAGAGTGCAAGCGGTGCCCACCATCCCTCGTGTGATAGCACAGACTTCACCAGACACAGCACAGAGACTCCAGTGCATAAATTTCACATCCCTGCATGCACAAGAGAACCTCCCCCATCCGGGCACATTGAGACGGGCCAGTGTCGTTGCAGCCAGGAATTGTCCACAACTCAAGTACAGAATGTATGCATGCAAGTAAAGTTGAAGTGACGGTGATAGTAAACACAGTTTTGTTAATCAACATTTGTTGGTACAGGGGTTTTTTTTCATTCAAAGGCTGAGGTTAGTTTTGTGGCTCAGAAGGTCAGAAGGGCCCTCAGTAGCGTCCAGAGCTAAGGAGTCCGGTTAAGGGGAGCCTCACTGTAACCCATCTCAATCTTCCCTGGCAAAAGAACAAACATAAACAGAACCATGACCCCAGCCCTTCTTGCTCACAAAGTAAATACACCCGCTCTTACAGTTTTGAATGCCAAATATCTCGTCGATCAGCCCCTCATACGTCAGCTGAGAGAGCATGGGTGTGAGCAAGTCTGTACTCCGGTCCACCAGGATCAGATTGTCAATCTGGGGCATGACACTGGACTTCAGGGACGTGGATTCGCGCCGCATTCGCAGGATCATATCGATGATTTGCTGCAGAGAAGTACACAAGGGGAAACAAAGGTAAGGGGCCTATTCAGTATATCATTGCGTATCGAGATTCCACGTCCATAACTTAACACTAGCAGTAGGCAGAATATGGGTAGCTAGCACAAGAAATAGCTGCATGAGTGCACATTGTGCACATGTGTATCCAAAGAACAAGTTACCAAAATGTCCAGTGGCTGCTGCGCTTCATGTGTTAGCTAGTTGTCCTCCAACCGAAAATCTACACATACTGTACGCTACCACCATGCCTGGTGCAGGCCATAGCGAAGCAACGTGCCCAATGGTTTGCTCATTATCACCTAAAAAAATCACGGCTCGCGCAAGACTTGGCTGCAGGCCGAGTTTTCCGTATCCGCAGAAACGCCACCACCCTCTACGGATCACCCCCCCCCCCCCAAAACCTACATCTAGGGGTAAGCAACAAGGAGTTGGCGTGCACTTACTCTGGAGCAAACACCCTTGCCGATCAAGTTGGGTATCGTGCCATACAGCGCCTGCAGGGTCATGAGTGAGCGTGCAACGTAGAACAGACTGGTGTAGTCCTGTTCTAAGTAGCACTCCTGAACAGAATTACACGACACAAGACGAAGGAACAGTTTGAGCTCGCAGGCAGGAAGACACGCCAATGCATGTAAGTCCATTACTAGTAGCTAGTCATTCAGCTGTAACATACACGACTCAAGTTGATACTCATGTTGGGCAGTCTTGAACAGCATGCAGCAATGCGGCATCACACCAAGCTGTAAGGAAGCGGACGGTACAAATGTGTGAACAAGGCAAAATGGTGCCTCGACCACAGCGATATTCCATTCAGAACCTACCCGGAACGAGAGCGGCTGCTCTAACGATAGCAGATCACTGTCAACAGGCAGAATGTCCAGGTTGTACTCATCAATGTTCGTCAGGTTACCATACACACCGAGTTCCTGAGCAAACAAACACAGACAAAAAAAACACACGGCAACTGATATTGCAGGAGTCCAGTTACACACTCCCTGACCGTACAAACAAATTATAGTCTTTATAGACTGTTGCAATACCACCGTAAAGCCTGAGCAGCACAAGACATAGCAGATGGTAGTGTAAATTTGAGGTAACACACAAACAAATCCATTTCATAGTAAAGAAAAAAGGACCAAGAAACTACAAGTTACGCTATAATGTCCACTAACACCACCAGTTACTAAACAATCAGCTCATGCGGATTCCGAGTCCAAATCCATTTCAGATTGCACATACATGTACTCCGCTAAAGTGCATGAGCTACGTACGACGTCTAGCTCGGTCTGTACCTCGATGTGCTGGCCCCGCATGCCATGTACTTCCCGTGTTTTCAGATACCAGTGAGACAGCTACTCGTATATACATCACCAAGGCGCGACTGAGAGCATGGCGGCCGCGAGTTGACTGGATCATGACTCGCTGCTAGAAGCTTCATGTGAACACTGCACTTTCAACGTACTCACAACATAAATGTGAGCACTTGGACATACAGTAAAACCTGGTGTAAGCGACCTCTGGATTTAGCGACCACCTGCTCTTAACCACCGTTTTTCCATGCACCGACAGTTCTACACAGGCACTGTGGGACCTGGTTCTAAAGACCACCTGGCTTTAACGACCGCTTTTGCTTGCACCGTGGGGTGGTTGCAACCAGGTTTTACTGCACATATAAAATTATTTGTGTCGGCCATGCTGCGGAATCCAGGTTTTCTCAGCCACCAGAGGGATACCGGTATGACAGACAGTGTTTTATCAGAGTTCCATTGTACTTTTTATCAGAGGTGCAATGTGTGTATTATTATAGCACAGTGCTGTGTCTGGTGGGAATGTACACTGCACAGAGAACGTATGTTATATCCGACCTGATGTGTTGTATTGACACAAGTTATGTTTCTACACTGGAAAATACATGCCCCGCAAAAGTGAGACAGCACACACCAGTATATGCACAAGACATGCTTGACACAACACTACATACAATACAGGAGGGTAGCGCAAGCATGGCAAACAGCCCCTCTGGTTCACATCACTGGACACATGCACATGGGCCACAGACCGGTTGCAGTGAGAACAGAGAACGGAACCAAGTCACCAGTAACGCTGACATAAGAGGGCCTCGCAGCAAGGCAGCTAGAAGAGGGCCTCGCAGCTAGGCAGCTAGAAGAGGGCCTCACAGCTAGGGAGCTGCTGACAGTACTCTTACCTCTAGTCGCCGTTCACAAAGCATTGTTTTGCGTGGGATGAAAAACACGCTGAATTCCTTCAGCCGGTCCTTAGCTGCCGCTCTGCAAGGAATACCAACAAAAAACTCCACTAGTTTATTAATAAATAAGAGATTTACAACAATAAAACACTCTGAAGGCTAACAAATAATGAGCATGCAGTGCCACTCAAAAACTAGACTGATAGCACCATTAATCTTCTAGATTGGTACAATAGAGAAATCAGCAAGTGGGCAGGCAACACTATTTTACAGTATTCTAGGCGGTAATAGTAGTTGTTAGTGACAACAGGTTACACCCATGAATGTGTGAGTTTCACCAGATACACAGTAGCTTGTTAGTTGAAACAGTGAGCATCCATCAATCCACCCCTCACACAATGGGAACATCAGTACAAAGCCGAAGCGGTGCCAGTTTTTGCAGTAACTATAGTACTGACAGTTGCACCCACAGCTTTGTCTTAGCTCAGCTGTCTAGCATGGACAGACATGATTCGCTACTGTCCCCCCAAACTATTCATACTAAACTATTGAAGTGTGAATGGATATAACTGCTGCATGTTGCACTCGGGGAATGATTTCAGGTAACAAGATACATACCGGTACTGGGAGTCCCCTTTACTGAGCAATTCACACGCACGCAATCATGCACGGATGCAATCATGCACGTAAGCGCGCGCCCGACCGCGCGCCCGCACGCACACACACACACACACACACACACACACACACACACACACACACACACACACACACACTGTGTGGCGCTGCACTGTTGGCCAGCATCTTGCCAGGCTGTGTGTCATGCACTTTGTATAACAGCCAGGCAATGGCACTACCTGTAAAATCTGCATGAAGTGTGTGATGTCCATATTAAAGTCGCTTCATAAAGAAACCCTCAACTGCAAGGACGGATCAGGGTTCAATGGGATGGGAAACAAATACGTGAAAGCTTGAACTTACCTGATATTGTCCGCTATCATCTCCATATTTGGCAGGTGAGGTCGTGTCAAGAAGATGATATGCTGCATTTCACACGACGGCAGGGCACCACGCCGCAGCGGATACATCTTGTCCACGCCATGGGCCTATGGTGAACAAAAACAACAGTAACTTGAAGCAATGTCATCCTGAACTGACACGCCTTGAAACTCACCCCTCACCCCTCTGCCCATGCACACCAAACAAGCAAAATGTTGGTACAGTCTAATAGCAGGTATACTGTAATAGACTGTGTACATCAACACAGTGAAGACCGGTGAGTAGCAATGATGAGCCACTCGGAGTCATCTTGTCACATCGCTCCTACACAGCAGCGTAATTTGATCATGTACATCTGTGTACACAGTTTTGTAGTGACTGCGCTCCTGATGCATCAATTACACGAGGATGCAAATTTCATTCTGCTAGTACAGCAGGCAAGTGCAGGTTGCCAACCTACACAATAGATGAAGGTTCCCAGAATATAAATGTACATGCACCCACCCACGGATCATAAGTAGGAGTTGCTACATACCTTGAGCAGGGCATACTCGGTTACCAGTGTGAACGGTGATGTTAGTTGATCATCCCACACGATTGCCTGCAACGACAACAGAAGCATCAATAGCAGCAGAAGCAGCAGAAGCAGTACAAATGTCAGGCAGGTTGGCAACAAGAAGAAACAAGCTTCTTCAGACCCCCACATGCTCACTTGTACAACATACCTTAGCTTTCATCTGTGTATGTTGTGCAGTGGAACTCACTTAGTACGTACCCGGGCAAGATGTACACCTGCTGAGTACGGTCCTTTTTTGTCGCACATATTTTCCTCCCGATCCCATATAAGCGCATATTGCATATACAAATGTGTTCGAATACGACGTACTCTGATAAGATGTACAACCTGTGTATGACGGACTTTTCAGCAGGTCTCAACAGAGCTAGCCGCGCATACTATGTACTTGTTGGTATTTTCATACACACTTTACACATGACAGGTTCACTTGACACAGCCTCAGGTACTTCAGTATGTTGACAGTGCGGAAGAGACTGTTTTCAGCGTGGAATGCCTTGTTCCGTGGCACTAAACACGTACATTTTCTGAATGTACCAAATAATTTCGAGCATTTTGACATACTGCACATGTATCGTATTAGTGGGGCCGCAGTGGTCAACTTTGGATAAGAAGTACTTCGGATACTACCAAGAGTAAATAACACTCCAGAGTGTGCAACGCCTGATCCAGCTCTGCATAGGGTCTTGGTCAAGCGTAATCGCGTACACTCCACACCAGCGCAAGGCCGGTCTCGAGGCAGGGCACCGTTGTTTTTGATCCGAGAGTACCCGCGATTCCCCGGGTTCCCCTCAGATGTGCACGGTATTATGACGCAAAGATCCAATTACGCTCGACCAAGACCCTATGCAGAGCTGGATCAGGCGTTGCACACTCTGGGGGGTTATGTACTCTTGATACTACATACTTTCTCCCACTCCTCGAGGTGGTACGTCTTATCCGAGTTCCACTGTAGTTTATGACAATCATGTCACAGAAATCCCCATTGCTTGTGTCAGCATAGGGGAGCATGAATTCGAGTTGTTTACCTTGAACAGACACAGTGTCAATGGCAACAGATCAGCCTGCAACCTGTTCCGATCTTATGAAGTTATGTGAACTGTTTTTTTATGTATGCTTCTCAGCGGTCAGTTTGGATGGGCCGAGCAGGAGCAGTAGCCCATGCTAACCTGACTGATAAAGTGTCTGCTCAGTTGACCTACAGTACTGTCGGGCACCACATAACGGGGTTAGAGTCGCAACCCAAGTCGTTCTTAGCGTGCATTGTTAAATCCTCTCGGAAATGTGCGAGACTCTCGGAAAGGTGCGAGAATAATATAATAATATTCGCGGGATCCGCGTCGGCATCGCTTGAATGTTCAGAAACACACAAACTAGCCTTCGCATCCGCAGGCCACCACTATGCCTGTTAACCTTAGTGGCGAATGCAGACCTCACAAGTGAGTCAGGGGAGAGGAGGTTAGTCTCTCAACCAATCGGGCGTGTAACGGCCCATAACCCTGTAAACTGCATCCTTGTTATTCTCACTCCGAGCTGCGAGTACCCAGTTGACCGTGGGTGTCGCCGCAGTTCAACACGCGTAAAAAGTCTTTTTACACGCTCCCTGCTACCAGCGCGGGTCTTGAACTCGGGACCTCATGATTCGCAGGCAGGCCTGCAAACCAATCGGCCATATGCGTTGGTTCGAGAAGTGTTCTTATATCCTTTCTGAATTTTAGCAGACTCTCCAAAGCTCCCCAAGCTCTCCGAACTTCAGAGGTGGTTGAAACTTGGAGATTCCCGGTTTCGGGGCCAGCGCATGCGAACTTTTGCTAAAACTAGTAAAAGGCACGTGTTGATCATGAGTGTACGACATTCCCTTTCGCATACGCACAGTGCGTACTACATTTCGTGTCACTCAAGATCGCGGCTCCTTTGGCGCTTCACATGTAGAAAAGATTTCCGAATTCTTCAAGACCCGTTCCTAAATTATTCCAGTTTCTTCGACTTCCAGGAGAAATTTCTCTGAGAAGCTAGAGAAAATAAGAACGCACCCTTATTTCCCGTGTACGACAGACTATGTGTAGCTGAACCACTATGTACAAGTACATGCCGATATAATGTATCTGGTGAATTCCTAGCCTGTTCGTTCTTTAGTGAAGCATGGTTCGGCGCCCTCCAGTATTGTACAATCAGTGCGTTTTGAAGGCAAGGATCTTGTCATGAGCCTGCCGAGCCAGAGCACTGTAGTCTGCGCATGGTTGGTGGGCGGTTGGGCAAAATCATGGCTACCACACTGATATTGTGCAGTTGCCTGGGTCTTATTTAGTGTCAGGGGCTGCGGCATTGGCGTGTGTACCCTGTTTGTCCTATCTGACGCAAGCTTGCTACATGTGTACCAGGCCTTGCTGTCTGCCAATAGAAGCACGGTACATGTACCTCTGATTTTCTCAACGTACCAGTACACACATTCATGCACTATTTATTCTACAATGAGATCGTTGCTGGTAATTCAGTCAGACAAATGAAACAAACCCCAAACAAATCTGACAATTCCGAAACATCACAGAGCCACATGTGGGTCAGCACCGTGGCGAGACACTACCGAGGACGACTCTCCTAAAAATGTGAAGTATAATGTCATATTATAGTTTAAAAAAACTTGGCAAGTTTGAAATTGGTCTTTTGAAACAGCATCAACAATTCCGAAAGTCATGCCGAACGTACATGTACATGTATGAGCAAAGTCATCGACTTTGCATCTGTGGTTCGATGTGAAGAATTTCGATTCTTCCTCACTTCGGCAGCACTCTTGTTTACTAGGCGTTCAACATTATCGATTATTTTGTCAAATTCAAGTAATCCCAGTCACTTTGCTTACCTTCGAACCATCACATCGTGTAAGACACTCAACGAACTCGGCTCTCAGTGATTGACGCAGTAGGCCTATATCCACCCTACCATTACTGAGGTACCCTGCGTTCTGAGACATGGTCACTTCAAACTACCATCGCATCTTCCTCTTCCTATCGATCTTCAATTCCACTCTTCAGCAAGCACATATTCTTCGTTTCATGATTTTGCTTTTTTCTGTTTTCTCCAGTTACTCACGTAATGCACGTTGGGGAGTGCGTCACATGATTATGATTGATGATCAGTTTTGATCACACCAAGAAGTCGTAAAATACCGATATTTTATGACTCCACGGATCAGGCCAACATAAAAGTTACTAAAACTAAAGGTTTCGTTGGGTATTTTACTAAAATATCGAAGAATTACAAGCAATATTGCGGAAGGAAAGCAAATCTGGAACGAGATTTTGGGTGAAACCAAGGAGTGGTATACCAGTAAACCATATTTACACGACTAGCTTCGACATCGACTGGGCCATGCAGTGCAGCTGATGAGTGATGGGAGGGCAACACCAATACAGTATACCCGATACAAGCAAGACGAAGAGTACCGGTAGATGTACTCTTATGCATGAGTGTTGATACCAGGAATATGTACAGCCCTGAGGAAGCTCTTGATAACAGCAAAGGCAGTATATCAATTATCAGACAACAAAAGAATGATTTCTTGTCAAATAAATGTACACGAAACGGTCCGAGACCAGTACAAAATCATCCATGTGGTGTTTACCACTTGCTCTTTCCCTTCTTCTTTTGCTTCTTCTTAGCAGCTGCTGGAGCAGTCGATGCTGCCTTGCCACCAGATGCGGCAGCAGCGGCAGAAGGTGAAGGCGAAGCGTCTGCGGCAGGCGAATCCGCCTTTGCGGGCTGCAGTGATGCGTCGAACTTATCTGACGCGCCTGCTGCCGATCCCTGCGTGCCCTTGCCGACTTGCATGCCCTTCTTCTTCTGGTGACGGCGCTTCTGGTTGGAACTGCGTTCCCAGCGTGGCAGCCAACGCTCTGGATCAGGCTTGATGTCAGGATCGAAGTTCTTCGGCAGACGCTTCTTTTTCTTCTTCTTCGCCTTGGACTTCTTCTTCTGTGCATCGCCACTGAGGGCGTCGCCAGTCGCGGCTGCTTCCGCGGCACGCGCTGCCCTGCGTGACTGCCGAACGCCAAGCATTGACTCGAGCTTGTCCACATCCAGGGCGTCAGCAGCTGACAGCTCTGACAGACCAGGCAGGATAGCGCTAAGCTCCTCGGCTTTCTGTGGGTTGAAGGAGGAGTAGGCAAGGACGAGCTGAGCAATGGTGGATACACGAGATGGGTCAGCTTGTCGCAGCTTGAGCAGCATAGCAACAGCATCTTCCGGCTGGCTGTGCTCTAAGAAGAATCCGGCTGAAAACTGCAGTAAATCAAGAAGCTGCTGGCGATCCCCTGCTTCACTAGCACTGGTCTTTTCAGCCGCAGAGACAGCTTCCTTGATAAGATTGCCTGCAGCGGTGATGTCACCCAGCTCTGTGTGTAATGAAACAAGTGTGGAGACCATTGCCAGCCGGTGGCGCAAGGACTGAATTCCTTGCAGCGTAGCGACTGCATCGGCAATGTTTCCCTGAGACAACTGGATCTGTGCAAGAGATAGCTGCACTCGCATGGCGCTGGTCGGATGGCTCTTGCCGTAATCTTGCAGTAGCTGAAACGATCGTGTTGATTTCTTCTCGCGCTGTAGGTGTGCGGCCTGCAACAGGCATGGCAAATCTGACGGATACTGCTTTTCCAGCGTGGCAACAGCTGACCGGAAATTATCACTCTGGTTTGTGTACAGGTAAAACAAGCACCGGTTGAAGGCAATAGCTCTGCGCTGGCTCAACGTCAGCTTCTGCTCCAGACCCTCTGCTGCAGCAACCTTGATCTTCTTGCGGCTGTCAAACACATCCTTGTCCTTGTGAATTGTTACGATGTTGTTGGCAGCAACGGCAGCCAGCGCGGCATCACTTGGTCGAGATCGTAAGATGCTGTTGTAGACATCGATAGCATCCTTCGACTTGCCCTGCAGCTGTGCACAGAAGGCTAACTGTACACGAGATAGTGCCAGCTCGTCCTCAATGTCTTCCTGCGTCGTGTCGGGATCATCTTCCAGCAGGGTCTCACGACACAGGTCTTGTGCCTTGACGAGCAACGACTCTGCGTCGTTCGTTCGGCCATGGGCGAGAAACCGACATGCCTTGTTGTAGCACAGTTCATATGTGTCCTCGCGTGTATTCTCCATACTGACGCCGCCACTAGATGATACAGCCAGTGCGCCCATGGCCACCATGTTAGCCTCACGCTCGTCGCTGTAGTCGTCGTCACAGTTTCTTATCAGACCTTCATACACACCATAGCTCTCCTTGTACTGCTCCATGCGATACAGCACTTGTGCCAGCAATTCCCTCTCAGGGCTACTGTTGCCATTTGCATTCTTCAGTATAGCCAAAGCATCATCCAGCTCATGACACCGATAGTGGCAGTAAGCCTTTTCCACGTGGAAACCATCACCTCCACTGGATTTGATAAAACTAATGGCATCTTTAAACTGACCAAGTTGCACCATGGACACTACTTTGCAGCGAAGTGCATCAGCATCATCTCCTGCTGACTCCAAAATTTTATTGGCGATCTTGATTCCCCGTTCGTGCTCGCCATCCTCTCCGCAGAGCTTAAGCTGCTTGAACAGCTGCGGAATAAGTTTCTCCTCGGCCATCAAATGGCTCTCTTCAGCCCCGTACCGATACGCTCCAACTCTAGTCTTGAATACAAAGGACTCACGAACATTGACCAAGAAGAACCTGAATATCTTGCAGGAAGTAAAGTTTTGATCTCTGCGTGTGACGCTACTGTAAGTTGCCTTGGTGATAAATGGCGGCGCTAGCTTATCGACGTCATCGTATGCGCCGGGCCTCATACATGAATCATAGAACAGTGTTTGTTTACAAAATTATAAATGACGTTCAGAATCAAAGAAGTAGTTTTGTGAATATTTCACTGTTCAGTGCTTTCTCATGTCCTGCTAGCTGAGTACTACTGTTCTTCAACTCTATACCGACTGTAGTTTCTCTGTTTAGTTTTGGTTTGGCTACATTCACGTTTTGTGGATCCCGTTGTACCATCAAACATGAAAGTCAAAAGAGTGAAGCAAGCAAAGCGTATTATCGCTTTTTATCAGCAGAATTTTGGCCTGCGGCAGCCCTACCAAGTTCTCAGTAAGTGGCATTGCAGTGAAATCTGTCTTCTACAATTTCAATTAGAGACGTCTGAGTGTAATGGTAGTACATGTGCATGTATCAATGTAGCTTAGTGTAAGCACGCACATTGCATTTACTTCTGCTTTAGTTGAATAGCACAGTTTGGATCTTGATATTTACTAATTTAAAAAAATACTAGTGCATGGTAATCTTCAAGGTAGGACAAGTTGAATGGGATTGAAATCAGAAACTGCTGTAGACGCATGCACATGATTGTTGTGTTAGGGAGCATCTCATAAGTTCGCATTTTTTTGCAAACGTAACGCATTTCGAATAGACTTTACCCCCCTACCTCCCCCCTCTATTCGAAAGTTTTATCGCACATTTTCTGTGTTGATCTACTGTACATGACCATGCCTCATGCTATGGTATGCTTATGTACATGGATATGAATGTTTTGCTAGTGATAGTAGTGTAGTAGATCTACTAGTAGTGCATACAGTACTGTCACTTGTCAGTAGTATTTTCTGAGTACAGGTACAAGTACAATCAGTGACATAGACAGTCATATACACTCCATAACAGCTGTACATGACTGTACTGCTGTAAAAGCTGGCCAGGTACACAGTTTGATCAGGCTGGTGTGACATTTGACACCTCTGAGTAGCCTGCATGCATGCAGTGCAAGGGTTAGCTGATCTTCAAACACAGGTCGATCTACACATAAGCACAATCTGAAGCGATCTAGCACATGCACAGCATACACTTTGAGAAAATGTGCGAACTGTCATTTTTCTATTCGAAAAGGGCGCTACCCCCTACCCCCGTTTCGAAATGCGTTACGTTTAGAAACAAAATGCGAACTTATGAGATGCTCCCTTAAGACTCGAGTGAGCACGCATTATGGGTGTTAGCGCTCATGATCGGCAGGACGCGCCTAGTACGTTTTAGTCCTGGTCGCTTTGCTATGTAGTGAATGCAGCACTTCTGAGTTCAGATACAATTTTCAGTTTGCAAATTGGAATACATGTATGAGCTTTCACGTTTCCATACCACAAAGCAGTGGAAATACGAATTGTGGGTTCATGTACTGACGGTCCTGACTTCTAACTGTACTAAAATTGTCTCAATGCAACAATCCTGTGTACTACCCCAGCCCGAAATACGAATTTCATCACTTAGTTTGACTTTCAGGGGGGGGGGGCTCTAACATGAAATTTATGTTGCTTAATTAACATCCTAACTTTGGTAATGAATCTAATGATCGCAAATTTGGTGCCGCCATGAATGCAGTCTTTTGGCTCTGTATTGCTCTACTTCAAAGTATATTAAGTCTGAATATTACTACTAGTACTGCTGAATAATTCAGCTAGAGCCTTTGTTTTGCCTTTTCCTCTATATTTCCAGTTGATGGCAGCTTTGCATATGCTGCACTGAAGGCAAAGATCAACATTATTGAGCAGCTGCCGAAATACCTTGGTGGAGAGGTTCAATGCTGTATCCTCTATATTTCCTATGAATGCCTCTAAGTCTAAGCACTCTCAGAGTGCTATGTTGTATGTACTTTGTGTGATTTAACATGTCAATGAAGTAGTACTTTGGTATCTGAAATTATTGTACCCTGATACTGTACTTGAAGCAGATTTGAGAGAAGTAGAGATCTGCTTGCCAATCTAGTTTCAAGGATTGAAATCTGGTTTAGGAGACCTTTAAGTTCGCAGTTTTGCTCTCGCGCTAGCCGACTGGTTGGCGTTCAGTTAGAGCCCTTGACTTGTGTTCCCAGTGACAACGCGCTGTGCAGGCATTGAACTACGTTTATTGGGCTCAGCCGGAAATGGTGCACTGCAGATCATCAAGCAGTACGACGAGCGTCGCTGTGGTCATACAGTTGCCAAGGCCCAGCCTACGCCGGACTGCATTACATCGCTCATAGGTACGTACTAGTCCTCACGCATGGCAAGGGAAGGCCTGAAGTATGCACCGTTGACTTTGTTCGTTGTTGTGCCAGCATGTTTCCCGACCAGTATGTTGTTGTGGTGTCTAACAGCAGCATTCTGTGTGGCAGCAGGGGTATGTACTTCATGTACCACTCGCTATACCCAGCAGGGGTATGTACTTCATGTACCACTCGCTATACCGAGCAGGGGTATGCACTTCATGTACCACTCGCTATACCCAGCACGGTTATGCACATCAACGGGTCCTTGCTGTACCCACTTTTGAGCTACGAAGTATGTAGGTTGGGCAATTACATCATCCTTTGAAGTGTCTGCATGGAGTGACATCACAAGCACTGGCTTGCCACTCAATACAAAGCATATGATGATGTCATTATTTTGCATAAGCTCTACGCTACTACAGGTCGTCCCCCGTTAATACGAGTCCGGTTAGTACATAAACCCCGTTAGTACATAAGAAAATCTCAAGTCCCGGACGAAACGTGGTCGCTTCCATACAAATTTTGTCGGTTAGTACATAATTCGTTAGTACATAAACCCCGTTAGTACATAACATTTCTCCGTACCCGCATGCCACCTACCTCAATAGTACATAATTTGTTGGTCTTTCAGCCTTCCAGTGGAGGCACATTGCGTTCTAGTTTCTACTTGTGGACGCAATTAACTCGGAAATCAGACTGTACAGGCGCGGCTGGGCATGTATCATGTAAACTGTAGAATCTTCGCTGACTGTGACCGTTATAAAATAATTTTTATGTTATATCGAGGAAATCAAGAATATATTGCTCCCTAGTCATCGTAGCAAGAAACACTCAGAAAAGTTGAAAAAGTGAAAAATTCTGGTACACAAGCAAGTTATGGACACTTTCGTTTAGTACATAAACCCCGTTCATAGTACATAACATTTGTCAAGTCCCAGAGATTATGTATTAGTGAGGGACGACCTGTAGTATGCATGGCTCACAGCCTTTACTATTATTGTTCTGATCTTCTGTGTGGTTAGTGTAGCCGTTATTGTCAGTTCCTTATGCTTGTACACTTTGCTGCAATCTTTGTGCTATCTGCTCGCCCTGCCTCAGGAGAAGAGAATCGCCATCATTACATAGTTGCAACACAGGACATGGACCTCCGGAAACGGTTACGGCAAATTGCAGGTGAGTGAGTGCACTGACACGAAGCCCATCATTCGTCTCGACTTTTTTTATCTAAAGTTTTCTACATGGTCTAGTGCATGACAGCTAGACTCCACGATCCTATTGCAGACTAGACCTAGGCTTTGAGAAGTGGGTCCCACATGTTGTACTGTACAAGTGAACTTAGGCTCATCGGCCCTCAGTTTACTGGTCGTGTGTGTGTGTGTGTGTGTGTGTGTGTGTGTGTGTGTGTGTGTGTGTGTGTGTGTGTGTGTGTGTGTGTGTGTGTGTGCTTGAAAAATGATCTATATTAGCCTTGTACTGTATTTCATGCATGATCTGGGAGTATGGCTGGTGCAGTGGTAGGCGCTCATGAATTGGAACAAAGTGAGGAACAAAGCTTGTATCGGCTAAGGGCTGTCATTCTCGGTCTCCAAAGCATGTGGTGACATTACAACTCTGTGTCTCTACTCCACTGCTCGCAACAGGTGTACCTCTTTTACTGATTACCCACAACACCATCATGTTGGAGAAACCAGCGGAAGCCTCCATGCACGCAGCAGATCGGGTAAGTACATGTACTGCAGTAGCAGGTACAGCATTCTCGATGCTGGTGAGCTGCATTGTATGTGATCTGCACAAGTTGAATATCTCTCTAGGAGATGTACCTCCTGGAACAATGAACTATTGGATGCGGTGTATCCCACTGTGTAGGAGCTACATCTGACGCCTAATCATGGGGTGGTACATGGTGGCGTCCCACATGAGCGGATAGGTAGTTCTTGACTTGCATACCGAGACTACGGATGCGTGCTACATGTATGTATCCATTTTATTTATTGCCAGCATGCCATCATCATGTGGTTAGAACATTCTATTTCTCCCCTAGAATTCTTTGGCTTCCCATGCCTCTTTGCTGTGCAGGTCGTGGAGTCCAAGCTGGCAGGGTCCGTCGCGGAGCAGCAGTTTGTCCGGCGCTTGAAAGCAGGTGAAGAACCGGCAGCAAGTGGAACCACTATGAAGAGAAAGCACCGGAAAGGTCCTAACCCGATGTCCTGCTTGAAGAAGAAACCCAGACTGACAACCATGACAGAGGCCGGTCGGGCGTCTTCGAAAGCACCATTAGAGAAGAAGAAACGAGTTCGGCGGCGACGGAAGGGAGTAGAACAAGCGACGCCCAGTGGTGCTAGCGATTAGGATCTTCACTTGAGTTTTTATTTTATTAGTTTTGCTATGGCATGTTGATTTGTGGTGAAAGAAGTATCAGTGCTGGTAACAATATTTCAATCATTCTTTAAAAGCTTGATGCTCGATCAGAACAGTGTATACTTCGTCTGATGCGCTCCCAGAACACGAGTTCACGAGGAATTTGGGGACAAGTGAAGGCACGGGTAACCGAGTCGGTAACTGAATGGTGGGTAAGCATGGGGGTACACTGTACTCGGTTACCAGTGTGTCTCTCGGCAAAGCTTGCATAGCATCAAGAGCTCATAACCCCCATGAACTATTGACAGCATGATACTGCACCTTTTGTGCGCAGTCACACACCCTACACACAGTGACATGCATGCACACACAGACAACAGCACCAACGATACTATACGAGTACTCTGCCATGCAAACTGGCGATGCATGTGAGAGGAGTTGGTGACGTCGTCCAAAGCAGGTGGACATGCTATACGGTGTACATGTCTACCCATTGGAAGAGAGCCTGGGCAGCATGGCTTGGCTAAAGTAAACCTGCAGGCCGCTATGATGGGAGAACTCAAAACCATCCTCATGTACTCTACTAAAATAGACATGGCGACAATAACAATTAGAGCATGACTGCACCTATGCAAAGAGGGACGTTGCGCTTAATCATGCAGACTTATGACCAGAGTGTTATCACTCACTCGTGAAACTTGCCACGATTATGAAAAAAATTACTAAAAAATATGCTACCAAAGCAAGGGTTTCATGACATTCTGTGAAGTGGGATGAAAAAAATTCGAAAGTATGTCCATGCAGCGGTCTCTTGTTACCTTTGTTGGGGGTAAATATGTCCAGGTATGAGCGTGTTCGAGCTGATCAGTGTGCATGGCTGGAGGCCACGTGCCATGTGTGTGCAGAACGGCAGTGGGAATGCAAGCAAATAGTGTCCAGATCTCGCTCAATGTACAGTCTCTCAAAATAATAAAGGGACGACAAGACGGAGAAGAAACAGAGATGATTAGCAGTGGCCCAGCCTTGCATTATCATACACACACACACACACAGCGATATTGCACAGTTGACGAGACAGTGGAATAGTGCTTGCCAGACACATAGGTGGCTTCGCAAATACAAACTGCTGTTGTCGGGATCTAGGGCTTCTAGAAGCCATGGCGGTACGCCAAGGAAATAAAATTAAAAAAATAGATGCCGCTGCTACATGGCCTGAGCAATTCCTACCACAGCTGAGCATCACGTATTTCACTCACCACCAGTGCGGCACGACGCAGAGCCTGTGTGCAACATGACAACAACAAAACCAAGCAGAAAAAAAGAACTTTTAAGTGACTACGCATGCTGCCAGAAGTCAATAATGACCACGTGCATTCCTTTTTTTGTCATGCATTTCAAGTTGACGTCATTGCATTTGCACTGGGTGTCAGCGCATCACATGTGTTTCCTTGCACTGCATCAAATGGGGATGTGTCCACCACTGGTCCAGGATACATCTGATAATCATAATAATTATGCGTTCACTGCCCATTGCATCATGAAAATGACGTAGAGTCAACTTTGCGTATAACGAACTCGGCGGGGCATTAGAAAAGGGTCCTTATTCGCGAAGTGTCCTTATACCCGAAGTCTCATTATACGTACCGTATTATCTCTAATATAAGCACGGTCCTTTATTTTTCAATGTACCTCCGCCCCGTGCTATTAATGGAGACGTTCCTTTATTGGAGACTGTTCCATTATTATTTCAACCTCATTTCAGAAGCATGTTGCATCCATGTCAGACACACACATTTCAGGGTTTTTTTCGCCGGTACAGATAATGAATTTACACAGTGTGCTTATAATGGAGACTGAGCACTTTATTCTTTGAATGCCGCCCCAAGGTGTTCTACTATTGGAGACGTGCTATTATTGGAGACGTGCTATTATTGGAGACTGTGCTTATATTAGAGATAATACGGTAATACAGTTAGACGGGACTTTGCTCTGGGCATGGAAATTCTGCCGTTATTCGCGAATTGTCGTTATAGCCGCAGTCGTTATTAGCGAAGTTGACTGTAAACTTGAAATTCCGTCAGAATGGTACAGATAGTGATATACACTCTGGGGGGGGGGGGGTAGCATGTGCTCTTGGTACCAGGTAATCCTCCTGACTTCCACAAAGACCAAGTTGAGCACTCAGCAGACAACTGCTGCACAACAAGTGTGTTACGGAGGTAGCCTCAATTAAAGTATTATTCGTTCTCGTTCTGCTTCTTTGAATGTTGCTGAACAGTTTTCCTCTCCATGCTCTGCTAAATCGTTGCCTGTACGCGCCACGTCTGGCGCCTTGTTTCTATGCTAGCACTTAGCACCTTATTCGTCATCACGCGCTCTTCTTATCTACATGTATGTGCTAGGTGTTGGTGTAGAGGCAGGGTGTTAGATGTGGCCGCCGCTCTTGCTATATAGTTCATTGGAGCGTAGGCACAGTTGTTGTTTTTCCAGAGTTCTGCTTGTGATGGTATTCTTCTGAATGGTCATCGAAGTAAATCTGAGTATGGTTCAAGACAGTGAGTTGCCTTTCGAGAATATCTCTGGGTTTATGAGCCACATTATTTGGTAGCAGAGGATGGTTTTGAATGTCAACCATGGCGGAAACAAAGAGTTCTTTGTCAGTGGCAAGTGACGAGAGTCTGCGGCAAGGAACGGACCAAGTCACCGTACGTTTGGCGGACGGACAGCGGTTCCCCCGTAGTGGCGGTTCAAGCAGCATTCAGCAGTCAGAGGGCACGGTGAAGGAAACAAAGAGTTCTTTGGCAGTGGCAAGTGACGAGAGTCTGCAAGGAACGGACCAAGTCGGGGCGGACGTAGGTTTGGCGGACGAACAGCAGGTCCCCCGTAGTGGCGGTTCAAGCAGCATTCAGCAGTCAGAGGGCACGGTGAAGGATTTTGGAGTTTCCGATATTGATGACGAAGAACAAGAATATGATGATGAAGAACCGGCGTTCAGCGAAGAATGCCTGAGAACGATGAAGATCGATGCCAAGGCCAATTTCACCAACATTCGAAGACGTTTGCTGAATCGGATAGTGAACGGAGAGGGGATTGGTGATAACGACCTTGGATATCTGGAACACGCGTACTCTGGTGCAGCAGGCGTCGTGGGCGATCTCCTGGGACTGTGTTCTGGAGACGGAGACTTGTCGAAACGGAGGAAGCTGGTTGCGGAGCTGGAAGAGCTTGAGGAGAAGTACAGCGCAGCTGTGAACAGAGCACTGGAAGAAGCCACGTACAGCGCTAGTGTTGGTGGGCGGTTTGGAGCTGGTCATGGCTTGGGATACAGCCAGTACTCGACGGCGAGGTACTCAGCTCCAATGATGACGCCAGATCACTTGACGGAGGTGGGTGCGGAGCGGTCTGTCTTTGGCCAGTTTCAGGTCAATGCTGTATTCTGGGTCTGCTGGCTCTGGGCTGGTGGAATCTGGCGTGGAGACTTCTCCTAGTAGACTAAGTGCATTGGCCTTTCATGAGAGTCAAGGTGTCACAAGTCCACCCCTGGTTCCAACACCATCTACTGCCAGCACCTCTAGTGCTGATCAGACCAGCAATGGCAGTGCATCAGCGCCATTGACCGGTTCCAGTGGTAGCAGTGTGTCAGTGGCCAGTGCTAATGATGGTACTGCCAGTAGTACTATGCCAGGCACAGTCAGTCAGCCCACCAAGAGGAGCAGCGTCAGCAACACCACACTGGGAACGGCCCAGCTGACCAAGAAGTCTGTTCAGTTTAGTCAGAGCCACCAGTCCACTGCCAGCACTCAGTCCAGATTGAGACCAGCAGTGAGTGTGTTCTTACCCCCTAGAATGGTCCCTGCAGCTGGAGGTGCAGCTGGAGGTGCATCAACGGTCGTCCCCGCTGTGACAGTCCCCAACACATCCATGGCTCCCCAATCGACTGGGTCCTCGAGCAGCCATATGTATCAACCTCCACTGACGGGTGGACGACCACTAGCAGCTGACATCGGGCCATGGGCGAGCATGAAGAAAATCACGATACCCACATTCGATGGCGATAAACGGCGCTTCGAGTCATGGTGGGCAGCGTTTTCCACCTGTGTGGACAAGGCACCGCTAACCGCGGAATGCAAGATGCTTCGACTAAGACAGTATGTCCAGGGTGAGCCGTTGAAAGCCATTGACCGATTCGGGTACACCATCGCTGCGTATGATGCAGCCAAGACCCTATTGCACCGAAAGTATGGCGGAGAGAGGCGCCGAGTTGCCATCCATCTGGAGGAAATTGAGGCCCTCAAACCCGTGCGGAAGGAGCACCCGAGAGACCTGGAGCGGTTCTCGGAACTGCTGGCCGTCGCCGTCATTAACTTGAAGGACTCGGGCCGAGCTACTGAGCTGGCGGCCGGAACCTTCTACCTGACTCTTCTCAAGAAGCTGGACGAGCAGCTGATCACCCGCTACCACCGGTGGCGGCATGAACAAGCTAAGGCTGAGTCGGTAGAAGAGCTGCTTGAGTACTGTACCCAGGAAGCAGAGTTCATGGTCTCCGCTGCGGAGACGAAAGCTGGCTTGAGTCCCGTGAGTAAGGCAGAGCCGCCACAGCCAACAAAGGTCCACCGGTCGCCTCGACCAAGCACGTTCGTGACCAGCAGCCAGCCGGCAGCCAACTCACAAAAGTGCATCGTGTGCCAAGGTGAACACAAGCTGTGGCAGTGTCTATCCTTCAAAGCTGCGACAGTGAACAAGCGATGGCGCATTGCCAAGGATTCAGGTGTGTGTTTCCGCTGCCTGGATGTCGGCCACAATGGATGCGACTGCACGCGGAGTCGGCCATGTGGTTTGGACGGGTGCACGAAGCTCCACCACCGCTTTCTGCACGCCACACAGAGCAGAGGCCCTGTGTTTAGCAGCGTGGCGCGCCCGTCCACACAGACACCAGCAGCGAACTCTGTCTCGGGACGTCGGGCAGGACGCGCTATGCCAAACACAGCTAGCACCCAACAGTCATCCAGTCAAACAGAGCAGCAGACATTCTGCTCCGTCGTCACGGAGGGTTCTCAGTCCACGGAAGAGGAGTGCTACGCCTCCCAGAGCACCGACGTGTCCATCAGCCTGAGGACGATACCGGTCACCATCAAGCACGGCGACACAAGCATTCACGTCAATGCACTGTTGGACGATGGCAGCACCATGAGCTACATCAGTGAGGGCGTAGCACACGAACTTGGTCTGCACGGGGAGTTGCAGAGCATCACGGTCAACACGTTGGACGGAACACCGAGTACATTTCAGTCGGTGCATGTGTCGTGCAGCGTAGTAAGTGTCAACGGCGTGTTCAGCACAGACCTCCATGCTTGGACAGTGCGGCACCCAACAGGACGCCTGAAGCCAGTCAACTGGCGCCGCAGCGCATCGACGTGGCCACATCTCAAAGGGATCCGTTTCCCTCCCACCGCCAAGCCTGATCGGGTCGACGTTCTGCTCGGCCTGGACTGTATCGCAGCGCACCAGTCCTTGCACGAGGTGACTGGTAAGCCTGGTGAACCAGTCGCACGGCTCACCCCGCTAGGATGGACCTGTGTGGGGCCGGTACGGGCGAGCCCAGGCAGTTCGCGTATGGGGCATGCGTACCATGCGCAGCTGCAGCTCGGCAGCAATGAGATCAGTAAGCTGCTGCGTCGCTTCTGGGACGTCGAGGAGTTAGCCGTAGCCGACTTGCCACACTTGTCACCGGCGGAGGAGAAACTGCTCACACAGACACGGGAATCTCTGGCGTTCAGCGACGGTCGGTATCATGTGGGCCTTCCGTGGAAGACAACACCACCGGTCCTGCCCGACAACTTCGCCATGGCACGCAAACGACTGATTGGCACCGAGCGGAAGCTGCTGCTAACGGACGGTCTGGGTACCAAGTACAGCGCCATCATCCAGGAGTACTTGGCAAAGGGCTATATCCGCCGTGTGCCGAAGGAGGAACCACGACCACACAGCATCTGGTACCTGCCTCACTTTCCGGTGGTCCGTCTGGACAAGCAGACAACGAAAGTGAGGATTGTGTTTGATGGGTCGGCGCAGTTCCAAGGCGTCGGAGTGAACGACTTCCTCAACAAGGGGCCGAAGCTGCAACGGGACATCTGCGATGTGCTCCTGCGGTTCCGCAAGCATCCTGTTGCTATTGCCTGTGACATCAAGCAGATATACCTGCAGATTGGTGTGCACAAATCCGACCAACGATTCCTATGGCGCAACTGTGATGCCGATGCGCAGCCTGCAGTGTATGAGTTCCAGCGTGTGGTATTCGGACTCGCCTCATCACCATTCCTCGCTCAGTTCGTCTCCCAAGAGCATGCGAGGGTGCTCACCAGTACGGATGAACGTGCGGCTGAGGCAGTCAACAAGTCCACATACATGGACGACACGCTTGATTCCGTGCCAACCGTCGCTGATGGCATCGCACTCTACAAGTCTCTTGTGAAGGTGTGGGAGTCGGCCGGCATGCACCCGACGAAGTGGCTCTCAAACTCGACCGAGCTTCTGGCAGTGATACCTGAGTCAGAACATGGACGCTCCATCGACCTGTCACCAGGGGAGCTGCCAAGAGTGAAGACGCTAGGCATCTCGTGGTCAGCTGCTAGCGACGCTTTCAGTTTTGCCATCCCACCGGATTCGGGCCAGGAGTTCAGCAAGCGGAGCGTGCTGCAACAGGTAGCATCCGTCTTTGACCCGCTGGGTCTGCTGGCGCCGTACATCATCCGAGGCAAGATGCTCATCCAGGAACTGTGGTTGCGAGGCACGACCTGGGACGACCCACTGGAGCCCTCTGTGGACAAGCTGGTGAAGGAGTGGATTGCTGATGCGCGGGATCTGCAGACGCTACGCATTCCAAGACCACTCATGGCAGCTGACGGTGTGTCGTCGCTGCACGTATTCGCAGATGCCTCCGAGAAGGCAATGGGTGCTGTCGCCTACATCATTTCCAAGGACCCTAGTGGAGCTACATGCCGAGTCGTTGCAGCTAAGTCTAAAGTCGCCCCGCTGGAAGCGGTGAGCATCCCACGACTAGAGCTGATAGCCGCCGTCATGGCAGCCCGTTTGGCAGCCGTCGTCAGCCGTGCTCTCGAGATGCAGGATGTCTATCTGTGGTCTGACAGCATGAACGTCCTCTGGTGGATCCATGGTCACAGTCGGCAGTTCAAGACATTCGTGGCCAATCGCGTCTCTGAGATTCGTCGTCTCACACAGCCAGAGCAATGGCGGCATGTGACCACTGACCAGAACCCCGCAGATCTGGTCTCTCGTGGGTGTACTGCAGCAGTGCTGACATCATCGGACCTATGGTGGACTGGGCCCGCATTCCTGTCAACCGACGAGCCATGGCCTGCCAGCCCTACGCTTCAGCCCAGCTCCGGCGCTCGGCAGGAGGTCAAAGGTTTGCCACGCAACCGCTCGCAGGACATGCAAACGTATCATGCAGATGTCCAAAGTGCCAACGATGCACCACCCGAGCAGGATTGGATCATTGACCCAGCAAAGTGGCTAGACTGGCAGAAGACCATCCGTACGCTCACATGGGTCCGGCGCTTCATCTCGAACTGCCGTGCAGCAGCAGAGGATCGCCTGGCAGGAGAGCTCACCCCGATTGAGTTGGCTGACGCAGAGCTGTACGTCGTTCGGAACACGCAGCGTGATGCGTTCGCTGCTGAGATAGTCCTCCTGAGGAAAGGCAAAGCAGTGCATGCTACCAGTAAGCTGGCCAAGCTATGTCCATTTCTTGACGACGATGGTGTTCTACGCTGTGAAGGGTGCTTGCAGTATGCGGAGTTCCTGCCACGAGACGCTGTCCATCCGATCATCCTGCCGCGGAAGCATGCCGTGACCAAGATGCTCATCAGGTTCCAACACGAGAAGGGCAAGCACGCTGCGGGGACGAACGCAACGTTGTCTGCGCTCGCCGCCCGCTATTGGGTCATCGTCGCACGGGAGGCCGTCCACGAGTGGGAACAGGAGTGCGCAGTCTGTCGCCGGTACCGGAGCAAGCCAGCTGGGCAGCGAATGGCACCGCTGCCGGTCAGTCGGATCGTGCCCTCTCACCGTGCGTTCAGCCGCGTGGGCGTCGACTACGCCGGCCCCTTCCTCACCATGCAGGGACGCGGTCGGGCCAGAACAAAACGCTATCTGTGTGTATTCACGTGTCTGGAGACGCGCGCTGTACACCTGGAGCTCGCATTCTCACTCGACACATCTAGTTTCATCAACTGTTTCTTCCGGTTCGTGAGCCGGCGCGGCCTTCCCGATCAAGTCATATCGGACAATGGCACCAACTTTGTTGGTGCAGTTCGGGAGCTGAAGGACCTCATTCGCAACATCGACCAAGCCAAAGTCCAGACGGGCACCGCACATCATGGTGTGTCCTGGTCATTCAACCCTCCAGCAGCACCTCATTTCGGTGGCGTGTTCGAGATTATGGTGAAGGCAGCCAAACGTGCTATTTACCACATTCTGTCTGGCAGTGACATCACCGACGAGGATCTGCTGACCGCCTTTGCCGGAGCAGAGGATCTGATCAACTCTCGCCCGATCACTGCCATATCAAGCAACCCCAACGACAACTTGCCCCTCACCCCGAATCATTTTCTGAACGGGAGACTTGGAGAAGTTGTCCTACCGGAGTCTGATCATCCGCGTCAGCGATGGCAACGCATTCAGGAGCTGCTTGGGCATGTCTGGCGTCGCTGGATCCAGGAGTGGCTGCCTCAGCTCAGCAAGCGGGTCAAATGGACGGCAGACCAACGCAACGTGAAGGTTGGTGATGTCATGCTGTTGCTGTCTCCAGACACCGCTAGGCGTAAATGGCCCTTGGCTCGGGTTCTGGAAGTCTACCCCGGGAAGGATGAATGAGTACGTGTTGCCAAGGTGCAGGTGGGTGATCGTACTCTTGTGCGACCCATCAACCGCTTGTGCCCACTGGAGTATGCGCCAGAGTGATGGACGGGACACTCTAGCTTTTCTGCTGTCTGTCTTCTGCAAATCGTTTCATGCCCTCTATCTTCTTATTATTATTAATCAGCGGTATTGCTATATCTTTACCCAGCTGCTTGGCCGCCGCTTCGGGGGACCTGCTGTCTAGCCACCTGGACTTGCTTTGTTAAGTGCACGGTGTTGGGTTCTTAGTGGTGGAGCTAGTAAGGTACTATTTATTTTGTTTTATTTCGATCTGGTCACGTTGTCTCATATCGAGGAAGAGGAGAATGTTACGGAGGTAGCCTCAATTAAAGTATTATTCGTTCTCGTTCTGCTTCTTTGAATGTTGCTGAACAGTTTTCCTCTCCATGCTCTGCTAAATCGTTGCCTGTACGCGCCACGTCTGGCGCCTTGTTTCTATGCTAGCACTTAGCACCTTATTCGTCATCACGCGCTCTTCTTATCTACATGTATGTGCTAGGTGTTGGTGTAGAGGCAGGGTGTTAGATGTGGCCGCCGCTCTTGCTATATAGTTCATTGGAGCGTAGGCACAGTTGTTGTTTTTCCAGAGTTCTGCTTGTGATGGTATTCTTCTGAATGGTCATCGAAGTAAATCTGAGTATGGTTCAAGACAGTTAGTTGCCTTTCGAGAATATCTCTGGGTTTATGAGCCACAAAGTGAATTGCACAACACACCAAGTACTGTAGCGGATCACGGAAAAGAGATAAGCTTCTTTTTTTCTTTACCTCCAGCATCTCCGCTGCTTCTCGCCTCTGCTGTGCAAGCTCTTCGCTCTCGGACAAAAGCTCATCAAATTCCTCCGCCTGTAAATCGGATAACAAGAAAAGACAGATTTCAAGAATATTATTTCCAGCACATGTACACACCATCACATTACACCACCATGACACCAGTACACACAGTGGATGTCTATGCACATGCATTTGTGCATAGACAACCATTTGAAACCGCAGCTGTAGAGGTTTCATAGAACCATATTTTTAGCGATAGGGAAATCGGCTATCCTGTAATCAACTTCAGCTCTATTAGAATGATAGGTCACATGGGTCTTGATACACACATACGCATGCGCACACCCACCCACCACACACACACACACATGCACAAACACACACACCATTTGACGCCCATCGCCGGAGGCGATGATAGCGATGCTACAGCAGGAGCCATAGCAGCTTGTGCTGGGATTGCACCATTCAACAGCTTGCAAGGCTGAAGAATTGACCGCCACTATTCAGCCTGGTCTACACCACACAGCTATGAAGTGGCTTTTTCTGGCCAGTGAATCCCTACTTTTTGGTCTTTTTCATTTTTTCTTTTCTTTTTTTCCGCACACACATCACACCACATACTCCGGCATTACATACACTGGCTGTTGGTAACCACCCAGGAGAATGAAAGAAAAGTCAGGAGGAGTCTGAGAAAGAGAAGAAAGACGTGTGTGACCATAATCGTTGGGAATCGAACCCACAACCTATCGATTGGAAATCGCTGCACATACCACTGCACCATATGGGACACACACACACACACACACACACACACACACACACACACACACACACACACACACACACACACACACACATGCACACACATGTGCAGCAGCTCACCTTGTACAGCTTGCTGACCAGTTCACTCTGCAGATTGTCTTGTACATGGTTGACCAAGAAGTTCATGATCGTCTTTGGTACACTGCAGGGGTAGGAAAGGGAAGAAGATGAAGACAGGCAGTGAACATGAATGCTGAGGCAAGACGACAACAATGACTGTAGCACGGTAGTGGTCTACAGCCTAACATAATGATAGTACAGCATCTGCAATGCAGTAGATGAGGTGAGTACAAACCGAAGAGTGTCCAACACCGTCAGATAGAGCTTGCTCATACAACAGGGCAATAGGGCTAGAACGCTGAGTTTCACACTCGTACAGTGCCTACATTGCGCCATCCTATTGGTAAGAAAATCGTGTCAGAGGGGTGTCCAGTCTAAAAGTTCATTGCCGTGAGATGTTGCAGCAATGAACACACCAAAAAACTACACATTCATACCGTTCTGTGACCGACCGACTCCACTACTTCGCATGTAACAGACGCACAGACTCCGGTTTCGTTTTGTCATAGCACAGTAAAAAAATTACACACAATCCCATTGCAATACGGCACACAAACCTACCAATCGAGTATTGTCTTCCGGACGATCGAGAAATAGGATGTTATCAAGTTTTCTAAGGGAAGGCAAAACCAGACAGGGAGGAGAAAGAGAGAGAGAGAGAGAGAGAGAGAGAGAGAGAGAGAGAGAGAGAGAGAGAGAGAGAGAGAGAGAGAGAGAGAGAGAGAGAGAGAGAGAGAGAGAGAATGAACAGTGTCCTTCCCTAAGTTACAGGACAGTCTAACAACACCCGCATTGCAATGCCAACTCAAGAGTTTCTCATTGGCCAGAGAGCACAGGCGCCAGCCCAACTCATTCAATTAGACAATTCTGCATGCACACACAATATGCTTTAAATCTGAGGCCGGTGCATAATGGAATAATACAAGACAGCACTCAGATGGAAGAAGGGGAGCTAGAATACCCATCATAGTTGTGAATGAGACCCAATAGTGTACGAAGCCTTGTCGTTCCAGCGATCTTAAAATTGGATGAAGAACTGGTCCCCCCCCCCCCCCCTCCCTCTTCTCCTGATGAAGACACAAATATCCATACTTTGGGAGTTGTACACCAGTAATGAGTGTGTGTGTGTGTGCGCATGCGTGCGCGCATGTTTATCGGCGGGGCTTACCAATTAGTTCACATTCCATGCGTTGCCTGGGTTTGAGTGCAGCTTTCGCAGCCTGACGCTGAACACACTGTACCTAGGAACACAACGCCAGACAGAAAACAAAAATCAAATATCTTTCGTATTTTTTTAATATTCACTGGCTTGAGGGAAAGATGCAAACGGGAAAAATCTGAAGAAAAAAGTGACTGTCACCACCAGGACACAAACCGAGGACCTTCGCTTGTAGCCGGCGATGCCCTAACTACTGAGCTATGGTGTGGCCACCATCCCAGCAGAGACCGTTCAACATCTTCTTCAGACTTCGTATCTTCGTATTCTTTCATATTGATTGGAGTAAAATCAATATGGATAATAAAGCATGAAAAGCTAGGAATGGGGAACACAAGAGTTAGTTACTGCAGAGTGAGAGCTAAGATGCATGCACAGGCAATCGATACAACCAGGGCAGCACGACCTACATCAGAATGCATTGCTCGGTCGACATTCGTACTCATGGACCGTGAGTCCAGTCCCGGGTGCACGGGGCTGTGGTTCGAATGGCGTCCCTCTCCGCTGCTGGCCGCACCCGACGTCGGTTCTGCGGAGCGCTTGCCAAACAGGGATCCGAAAATTCCTCCGCCGGCAGCAGCACCGCCATCAGTGTGGTTAGTGCTGGACGTTGTCGGAGACGAGGAGTCCTGAAAAGAATAAACACCGAAACAGAAGACATCTGAATGCTGCGAGCAAGAGAGAGAGAGAGAAAATAGGATCCTGATTTACATGACATCACCAAAGTGACGGATAACAGCTAAACAAAGTAAACCTAGAGAACATGCATGGTACAAGCACTACACATGATAGATAATCCACCAGAAAACAGTCAATACGCAGAGTACATCACGGGTCAGTGCAAACTGAAAACTTTAAAATGTGCGAAAGGGTAAGGTGACCATGAAGCACGTACGGTGTGATCCGTTACAGCCGTGGTCGGCACTTGATACGATGCTGCACCAGACGAGGCTGGGGGAATGGAGTCACGGTCCTGGAACAAACACACAATACACAAGGCAAACAGTCAAGAGGCAACTAAAATCAGCCACTTGGAACACAACAGTGCAATATGGGGCGCTGTGTGCACTGCACTTGGGTGCCTGAACATACTAAAATACTTCCAGGCATCAAATGCCACCTGTAGCAAGTCTTTGAAAGGTAAACAAAAAACCTGACCAACCTAAGAGAACTTTCACTGCAAGAGTTTCAAGGGTGGAGAACATACACTGAGCTGAAGATGATTGTGAAGTCTTTCTCCGAATATGATTGCCCGTGCCTTTGCCCAATAGCTTTTTTAAGCTACCTGGGGCTCACGGGAATCTCACATTCCAATTCGACAAACTCCGCTAGGCTGAAGTGCAGCTGCAATGGTTTACAGTCATGCCTTGCCTTACCTCCTTGCGAACTAGATCGGACAATACAGCCGCGCCGCCAGCAAAGTCTGGGTGGTTGGTGTTGATGTAGGCCAGCTCAATGGCGACCAGGTTCTCCACCATGGTGTTAGTTGGAGACAAGCATCTGCGCAGCAACTGGGTGACAACGTCCACCAGCTTGTCGTGGAAGTGAGTGAAACGCCTAAGCTCTGGCATCTGTCGGCAGAAACAATAGCAACGGAACACAATGACAACATCAACACAGGTTTCCAGACCCCACAGGTATTTTCATAAGAGCTATTTCAAAAGAAGGAAGTCAAGAAAACCAGCAAACTAAGGCCCATGGTTCAACAAAAATACATTCGTAATAAAAGCAACAGCGGTAACTACTATGCATTGCATACGAATACAGACACGTATTGCAGATGCATGTACTGGCAGCTATCCTAACAACATTCACACATACCTGAGTACTGCAGTACTGGATAATCCTCTGCAGCTCTTCGTAGACCAGCTCAACACAGCGTAAGCTGGGATCCTCCAGACGCCGGATTTGCCGTTTCACCAGCAGCTCAAACGCAATCTCGGGAATGAACAAGGAGTACCGAGGACCCTGCATCCGTCAAACAAGGACACGCAATTAAAAACAAAAACATTTCTGCCAGTTAGTTGTGCTGGCCGAAGGTTAGACACCAATGTGGACGCCAGTGGTGCACAAGGACAACTGACATCACTCAATGGGCAGGTTTGTGTAGTCAGCACAGCACAGCACAGTGGCAATCCATAGTAGCGAAATCCTGATCGGGGGATGACATGCAATGTGAAAGCAGTGTAATGGATCACGTGCTCATGTAACGTTATAATGTTAATTCCACCTACACAACAGCGTATGTGTACGTTCCTGCCTGGCTGGAATACCGGTATGCTACAGTGTACGCTCATACGAGGATGGAGTATGCTACAGAGCACGATCATGCCAGGGTGGAGTATGTTAAATACACATTTCGACCCAGATGATATCAATAAGACATCACAACGAGTACCGATACATGCCAGCAGACGAATACTGAAGTACACATACTCGAGCAACAATCCCAGGCCACCAGGTTAAACCATAAGTTACATAACAGGGGATTTCTCTTCTATAAGGTGGTTATCTAATGTAGGGTTTGCAGTATCTTGCAACACAGCAGTGGATTTCCTCGTACCGTTGCATTGCGGATAGCATGGAGGATATCTGCGGTGCTCAAGCCATCGAGAGCTGAAACAGCATCGAGCGTTTTCCCATAGGTCTCGTGGAAAATGTAGCATATCCGTGCGCCGCCACACCTACACAATGGTATGATGGAAGAGAGAATTCAGCACACAAATAAGACAACAAGAAGAGCAAACAGCGACACAAAACCTAAACGCAAACAGCGACACAAAACCCACGGGTAATCAAGAGGCACATGCTATACAAGTATAGAAAAGGTGCTAAAGAAAACTCTTTCATTCTCCATCACCCAACTCAAAATCTGTAATCAATGAAAACACCACAAAACTGCAAGCCAAATTATTTGAAAGCCAATAACGAATTCCCAGCTGTCAGTGAAGAACGCTAAGCACATCACAATGGTGAAGTCAAGCAAGCCACACTTACAGCTCTGCAGTCTCAATGTCATGCGACGTTCCCTGAATCACAGAGCAGTACGTGGAGGCAAACTTGGTGATGATTTGAAGAACGACTTGACTCTGAGCAGCAAGTTACGAGAATAACAGGATTACAAACATGCACTTCAATTAAAGTAGACATTTTGCATGCGATAATAGAACAGGATGATTATACTGGACAGCCTCTTATAAACACATTAACTGGCCCAGAGCATGACCTCAAGAGTAAAATGAGGTGAATAAGCTAGCCAGAAGGAAGCAGAGCACAATAACATGAGCAATACAGCCACTCTGCCGTTACAGCAAGTGAATGTAATGAATCAGCTCCTGTCATCATGTCCCAGGCACGGAGTGAACTAACGTGACACCAGTCAGAAAGAGCATGAACAACGGACGGTGAGTACGTTACAGTTCAGAGTTGAGCAAGGATGGATCAGGCAAAGGCTTGCACTCATCACCGCCATGCATGCTCTAACATCACCACTTGCCCAGCATCAAGTCAGCTGTTGTGGGCACAACCCGGTGGGATATACACGCACACACAACCAACGAGCAGGCAAGCATTGCAACGTCAAGCAGCACGACTACAGATGACACGCAAAATTATCTTCATTTCCAACCACTGCTGAAGAAAAAACCTCTATGCGAAAGAAACTCGGTGTTGATGCATCGTGTGCTGAACAAGGCATCTTCAGTTTGCGCTACTCACATACGATGATACCAGAACTCCTCTCTCTATCTCTATCTCTCTCACACACACACACACACACACCTGACCTCTCTCTCTCTCTCACACACACACACACACACACTCTCTCTCTCTTTTTCTCTTTCTCACACACACTCTCTTTCTCTGTCTGTCTGTCCGTCCGTCCGTCCGTCCGTCTGTCTGTCTGTCTGTCTCTCTCTCTCTCTCTCACACACACACACACACACACACACACACACACACACTTGTACGTATTCATGCATCCATCATCCCATCTGTACCTTGTCATCAATAGCCTGGCCCAGTGTGTTGAGCAGCTGCTGGTACTGAGACACCATTATGTTGATACGTGTCCGTAGCTCGGGCAAGCACTGGCGAATGTGATGCATAAGAAGCTAGACACAGTACACCAACATGTGTGCACACGCATACATGCACACATGCACACATACACACACATATATACACAGGACAAAAGAAGAAGAAACTTCACAGCTATTATATTGGAAGCCAGACAAGCGTAGTATCAAACATACTTATCGGTACATGTTCGTGCTTTTGGCCTATAATGTGTATGCCAACATCCCAAATGATCAACCTCGCCCACTGCGAAAGCTATCTTGAGCAGGCAGCAATCATGTCCCAGCATTATCTACTGCATAGTGCACAAGTATCAACGAGACAGGAATAGTAATGTGCAACACAACAAAGACAGTGCACATCAAGTATGACATTGTGCAACATACCTTGTTCAGTGACTGCGCCAGATAGCCAACGCCATTCCTTGCAGCTAGGCCAGGGTAGCGCCGCTGGAAGAACAAGGCTTCGGCCTGCGTTGCCTCCTTGATGCCCTGTACCACAGAATGAAGTGAGAGGAAGTGCAAAAGCAGTGTATGACCATGTTATTGAGGTTTGAGGCTATTTTTTAATGATTGATAACTAAAGTGGGCACAACTGGGTGCAAAGTGCATGCACACATGTTTCCTTTCATTCCAAACATAATGTCCAACGCAGTATCATGTCCAGTGCTGTACTCTTCGAGAGAATATGTACACTAAAGAACCAACTTCAAAACAAACAAAAAGAAAACTGTGCATGGGTATGATAATGAGAGGAATTCTGTCGCACCATAATACCCGTGGACAAGTACATGACTACTGCCACATGATCATGCAAAACGTGAGACTCGAGAATTCGGACAAACTTTCCCCTCTGCTCTCATCTGCATGTGTATGCACGTGTCCATCTACCAACCTTTCTGTTCTTGATGTCCAATTGACTTCGATTAACAACACCGATGATACCAAGCTTGTTAGGAATTACTGGACAAAGCAAAGAGACAAAAATTGACAAATTAATGAATGAGTGATACAGCATTCATTAATAAATATTTTGAACATCATTGCACCCTTCTTAAATTTGCATACCAGGTACACATCAGGGCAGGGCAGGTAAAGAGACGTGGACAAGATCAGGAAGGATGAAACTCATACACAACTAAGCACAGTACACACATACACACACACATACACACACACTTGAGAAAGCATAGAGTCCGTACCCCGGCCTGTAAGCACATCCAGAGCATCCGTGCCCGCATCCATTAGATCCAGCTTAGTGATGACTGCCAGTGTGCGATTGCCTGCAGAACAACAATGGGGATAACAAGTGTAACAACACACAATGCCACGTCATGACAGCTGTTCAGAACATATTGAGAGAGAGAGAGAGAGAGAGAGAGAGAGAGAGAGAGAGAGAGAGAGAGAGAGAGAGAGAGAGAGAGAGAGAGAGAGAGAGAGAGAGAGAGAGAGAGAGAGAGAGAGAGAGAGAGAGAGAGAGAGAGAGAGAGAGAGAGAGAGAGAGAGAGAGAGAGAGAGAGAGAGAGAGAGAGAGCACATGCAGAGCATTGGCATGCCAATACTCGTGATACAATTTCAATCACAAAATGTGACAATAATTACTTTAGAATACAAAACAGATCTAAACATGATCACAAACACAAATGAGCCTCGTAAGCTGACCTTCAGGGTCGACGGTTTTGGCAATCTTGAGCGCCTCGGACGTAGCAATGTCCATATTGGCTGGACTGACGGCCAAGATGATAGCATTGGGATTGCTAATGTAAGTGAGAATTAGTTCATAGATCAAGCCTTCTATGTCTTCTGGCTGGTCCCCAACTGGCACCTGCAAGACAGTAGTACACACGCACAAACGCACGCACACACACACGCGTGTGCGCACACACACACACACACCCACATATATACGCATACACACGCACGCACACGAACACATAGCATAAGACTCAAAACATGCAACAATTTAAAATATACATGTATGATACTGCATAATGCACAATACCTGAAACAGGCAGAGGCACAACGGCTGAGAAACAGAGGGCATAGTGGGATGAGGTGAGCAAAAAACGACAAGCCTAGTACAGTGCACACTGTGATTTGTGCGTGTGTGTATTTGTGTGTGTGTGTGTGTGTGTGTATTTGTGTGTGTGTGTGTGTGTGTGTGTGTGTGTGTGTGTGTGTGTGTGTGTGTGTGTGTGTGTGTGTGTGTGTGTGTGTGTGTGTGTGTGTGTGTGTGTGTGTGTGTGTGTGTGTGTGTGTGTGTGTGTGTGTGTGTGTGTGTGTGTGTGTGTGTGTGTGTGTGTGTGTGTGTGTGTGTGTGTGTGTGTGTGTGTGTGTGTGTGTGTGTGTGTGTGTGTGTGTGTGTGTGTGTGTGTGTGTGTGTGTGTGTGTGTGTGTGTGTGTGTGTGTGTGTGTGTGTGTGTGTGTGTGTGTGTGTGTGTGTGTGTGTGTGTGTGCCTGTGAGAGCGAGAGAGACCTCAGGACATGTCAACACACCATTGTTGCACGTGTGAATGCTACCGCATGTGACCCCCCCCCCCCTCCCAAACTGGCCACACACTCCATACCAACGATTATCTTCCTGGCCTCTCTTAGTTCTTTGCTTTTTGTCTTTGTTCACACAATGAGTAGGACAAGGAATCCAGGACTTAAACTACATGAAAATTCAAAAGCGTATGAAACACGCCTGTTCCACAGTGTACATGTACATACCTTGGTAATGCCAGGTGTGTCCACTAGAGTCAGGTTGAGAACATGTGGCGAAAACACCTTCAAGTTGATAGGCTGGTGGCTGATACCCTGCAGCAATCAAGAAAGTGGAGATCGGATCTACAAACTGTACAACATGCGCCATGAAACCCTACAACCCATTTCAGTGTGGGGCCCGTATATTATGTAGATCACTTCTGGAAGAATATGGCCTTGGATTCAAGAAACTCCACTCCAAGAATGATGCAGGAATAGAGGTTATGCGAGTGATTTCATGGGATGAGTCTCCAGTGCAAGTGAAGCAAGTCCACGACTTGGCCTAAGCATCTCAACTGATGATGTAATCGCATAAACCTCTGACTATACCGTGGACATCAAATGCCACTAGCAAGTCTCCAGGATGAAGGAAATGCAGAAAATAGGTTTCTCATGGGAGGAATGGGAGGTTTCATCCTACGACAATACGGCAATAGTACAGGAATCTAAGCGTGCAACTCGGCGTCAGTTTGGGATACGACCTGTGGTATCAGTTTTTACTTTTTACCGATCTTGACATCAAAAAAGATGTGAACGACAAATCGCACTGCCCTGAACCAATCTGTGAAGTTGGACACCCTGGTTTACAGTCAACTTCGCTTATAACGACATTCGACGGGGCATCAGAAAAATGTCCTTATTCGCAAAGTGTCGTTATACCCGAAGTCTCATTATATGTAATACAGTTGGATGGGACTTTGCTCTGGGCATGGAAATTCTGTCGTTATTCGCGAATTGTCGTTATATCCGCAGTCGTTATTAGCGAAGTTGACTGTATGTACTTTTCCCGGTTTTCATCAATTTCGCCGCCGATATGAAACTGCAGGAAGTGTCCAATCTGATCTTGAAGTGTTTTTAAAAGTGTCTGAGAGTGCGTTGTTGGTTCTATAGTCTTGAATTTTGCTTTTGTTATGGGCGCAGGTATTGTTGGCAACAGGCATATCTCAATGTGCAATGCTCTAAACTGAGTAAACTCCAAATTCTTCTTATCACTATTCAATGGATAGGAAGAAGGCCATCATCAGGCATTCAAAAGTGCACCAAAATACTTAGAAGATGAGACGATAGTATAGAGAAGAGGTAAGTCCATCGTTATACAAACCTTATTGTCGCCAACAACCACTTTTGTCCGAGCCTGAATTTCCTCTTCCACTTTACCGAAATCGGTATATTTCTGTAAAGGACACCAACCAAGAGAGGAGAATTCCATGAATGCACCACGGCCAAAGGCACAGATTTCAAACAACCGAACAAAGAGTACAATACCAGTGCTGCTCTGCAGTCCCATTGCCCATTAGCCATCACAAATGCGGTTTATGCCACAACATGCCTGCCGCCTGTATCCGCAAAGAATGAGTCAATTGCAAACAAGAGTCACTTCAATAGTACTGTTGCCTTGGCTAATCCATTAAGAAAGGTGCAGCTTCATGAAATATACCTTCTTGATCAGCAAAAAAATCAGAAGAACACCTACTAGCACCCAAGAACACCAGATTCTATCACCAGCATACACGTTACGTGGAAAGTCAGTCACAAAGACTCCACCATAACTGTTGAAAATATCATAACGCAGGTCAACTGCCAGCACACAAAGGCATGCAACGGATACATGTATATCCAGTCCACGCATGCATTGACCGGAAATACATACCGCCTTACCGTGTCTGGGTCATGCAGGAATTGAGCCCACTCCTCAGACTCTGCAAGTAACATGCCATAACATATATGTGTGTGTGTGTGTGTGTGTGTGTGTGTGTGTGTGTGTGTGTGTGTGTGTGTGTGTGTGTGTGTGTGTGTGTGTGTGTGAGAGAGAGAGAGAGAGAGAGAGAGAGAGAGAGAGAGAGAGAGAGAGAGAGACAGCTAATTTTAGCGCCAGTGATATTTTTTACTTAGGAAGTACAATTTTAGCGAAAGGAGTCTTTTCACAAAGGTTTTGTTGTGCCAATCGAATTTTTTGCATGTACAGTACTAGCCATCTTTATTTTTACACTCTGAAACTCGGATCGCTAAACAAATATTTCATTGCGAATTGGTCCTGATTCAGAAAACGCTAAAAATTGTACCCGCTAAAGTTAGCCGTTCTACAGTATGTGGTGCCCAATTGACGGAAATCCAGCAGCGAATTATGCCACCTCTGTCTGCAGCTGAAACAGAAAGCACAGCTCATCTGACTTCTGTACACTGGCAATGACAAAATGGTTGTCTGGTCTGGTTACAAAAAAACGTAGGACCTTCAATTTCTAGCTTTCATAACATTTGATCAACGTATGGTGACAAAGCCAATCAATCGCTCTAAATCAACAATTATTCGGTTTATACAGTGAAACTTCAGTAGAACGCACCATGGATATAACATTCTATAGGATATAAGCTACAAGTTTTGAGGACCTGCATCACATAACACCAATAATTTGGTCTCAAATGCAATAGTACCCCCGCTATACAGTATGTCCTTAGAGGTACGTTCTACTGAGCTGTTGCACTGTATGAAATTGAGGTTATTTTCAGCGCGAGTCTGCTAGGGTAAATTATTCCAGGCGTATTGTGTTGTGACCGAAAAGGGGTCCTGGGAGGTTGAAATTTAAAACGTTGAAAATTCACTATTTAGGCCATGGTAAAAATTATCTTTGATTCTCAAGTACGCGCGCACCGATTTTTGGCGGCGCACCGACGATTTTTTATTATTTCTATGCATGCATATGCGCACATGAAAACGGTCAATGCGAAAGGCATGAATCAGGGAGTAGTAAAATACTGGTATTTATCTACTCCCTGGCCTGAATAATAAAATAATTATATGAACCTGTGACGTACATATGTGTGACCCTATCTTTGGAAATAAAAAAATTGTGGGAAATAAAATTAAAAATCGCTCGCTCGCACCGATTTTCACAGGCTCATGACCTGAGAATCAACTTTATTTTTTACCATGGCCTTAGAAGACCCAGCATGCAGTACTACCATCCGTCATTGAGAAAATACCACCAACACCCCCACGGTCTATTATTATTACTACTATATCACTGATTCAATACACCACCCCACCACATTGTGCTCTTGGCCGATCCAAACTCTGCACTCACATCACCAGCACCACAGCGAGGACAATTCCGGTATATGTATATAATACAACCCAACAGTACGCTTGTACGTGAAATATAAACCGACATACAAACCGAGGCGAAGCCGAGGTTTGTATGATGGTTTATATTTCACGTACAAGCGTACTAGTGGGATGTATTATACTTATGCTGACCTTCATACAAACTGACAGTCAACTTCTTCCTGTTTCTAAAAAGGAGTTTGTATGGTGGTGGTCTATATGGGGTTTGTATGAGGTATGAGGTTTATATGCCCAATATAAACCACCTGCATGATGGGCCAGTTGACTGGAAGTTTGTATGAAAGGTCAGCATAAAGATTGATATTGACAATGACCCTCCAGACAGCTGTTTTGCTCCTCCTGAGCTCATCAGTGGAGTCATATGATGTTGAATGAAAGAATAATAAGAATACTAGTAGACTGATCTAAATAGGGCTAAATTGGCGCAATCATTCTGCATACAAACGTGGCATACCCTAAGAGCGGAATGTGGTGGTGTGGTGTATTGGATTCCATAATGGCCGGGTCGTCGCTACTTCTTCTTATATCACTGATTGTACTAGTAAGTATAAAGCAGTACTTCACTTGACTCAAAACTCAAAAAAAACATAGTCTGTACGTTTAAAAATTGACAAAATCCAACAAATACTTTCAATAGATACAAATTACAAGGCAATTCATACTTCATGGTGACATACCTTCTCCCGTAGAACCATCTGACTGATTGTTTACAAGTTGAAGGACTAATGGACATCTTGTGACGATGCCAGTACCTACGCAATACAAAGTAGCAATGTGAAAAATTCAAAAATATCAATGGGAAAATCAAGGAAATGACGCTGGTTTCAAAATACACGTAGTCGCAAAGCCTACCTCTGGGAAGAAAGTCACGGCCAACTAGGCCTTCTAGTACCGAACTCTTGCCGCTGCTCTGAGTAGGGAAGAAGAAATTCAAACTTCATTTCCCAGCTCCAACAAATGTTAGAAATTCTCAGTTCATACTTGAGCCCCAATGACGACAATTTGTGGCAACTGGATAGCCTCACGTCCAACGGTCTGAAACACATCTTGGAGCTTATTTATGACAGGAATGAGATGCTCCATGGCTCAAGAGAGCTTCTTGATCAAGCTTCAGCAGCCAGGAGAATGAGGCCTTCACCACAATCTTCGAAATAAACCACACGTTCACTGCAACAACGACCATGCCAGGTGGGGCACAAACACCGAGCAGTCAGCAAGTGATGAGCTGTTTCAGCGCTTGGAGTTGGAGGTGAGTCACTTGAACATGCACTCGATCGTCGAGTTCCAGACTCCCAGTCTCCACTCCAGGTCTCCGAGCAGAGATCGGTACTTCCCGGGTACGCTAGCACAGTGCAGTGGCCTAGTGGACCAGCAGTCCAGCACCCACTAGCATGCATGCAGTGAACCTGATCTGCTGGGTCTGACTCACTTTTTTAGTTTGGGGCATGCCGGCAGTGGCTATGTCGTTTTCGGTGATCTCCCTAGGTCGACGACACTCATCGAGCTCAGACGTAGACACTATGCCATGTTAGTCACTATGATTGTGTGTAATCATTGTAGTCCTTCCGATTGACCTTTTGTACCTGAAGAATGTAGCCACGTAACGGGGTAGAAATAGCACCTGATACAAGCAGTTGTCATGATATGACCCAGTGAGCAAGCGAGGGCTTTACTACTAGTCAAGTAAATAAACTGTCAGCAAAACAGTGTGCGCGGGCCATGAAGCTTCAACTGATTACCAATGCTCTCCATCCAGCTCCCGTGCAAAAATTAGTTGTGACCTTGTCCCAGCAGCAGCGGAGAGTTCGTGTGCAAGCTGCACATGGTAGATCTACATACACTGTACTGACTGTGGTGGCCGTGGAGAGGTGGATCCCCAATATTTTGGCAATATTTGGAGAAGGAAGTAAAGAACCATGACTCAAACACGCCGTCATCCTTGCATCATGCATGATGTGAGTAACGCACTGCGATATGCATGAATCCATCATATCAAGAGTACATAACCCCCATGTACTCTTGATCATATTCATGGCATACTACTAGATTGCCCAATTAATATTTGCTACCCCTTCAGGATCAAGCAGAGTACGCGTGCATAACGTGCGTCCGCAACTCCCCACTCTTGATTACATACGTCTTGTTGTTCTGGCACGTGGAAAAGCATGGTCACTGCACTGCACCCAGCCCTGCAACATGGCGTAACCAAGATAAACTTATGGTGAGGCAACTTCAGGCAGGCTGCAACCATGCGGATAAGCATGTCGCCATAGCGCCCGGTCCGGTTATGGCAGGACCTTACTTGGAAAAGAGTTAACCCACCCAATTCGTGGAAACTGTTTTTCTTCTTCTTCTTTTCGACTTTTCGTCAACACCGGTAATGCCCATTTCTGGTCGAGTACCCCATTTGGTCGAACCACCTGAAATCCCAGTCATGCGGCTAATGCCCATGGCAGTTACACAATGCTGATCCGTGACAGAAAAAACGGTGGGGGGGTGTATGTACCACAGTAGAGTTGCATGCCAAACACCATGGAGCCCAATAACGTCCTGCCTGGCATATTACTGAAGTACTAACAACAACCGTGACAGTGACTCGGGGCTTGGAAACCGTGGCAACGTTCTTGGGCCAGTGACTCTACTGCACATGTACTGTCAAGAATAACTTGACCCACCACTGAGGGAACCCCATCTTAATTTCTTGTCTGGAAAAGGACCGCCGATAGAGTCTATGCTGGGATGATTGCATCACCCTGGAGCTGTTGTATTAGTTTTATGATCTTGATGTACCAGTAGAGGCCATCCGTAAATATAGATATTTATTTAGAAACGAAATCTAGTCGTTTAGGGGGGAGGGGGTTTAGCGCCTGTTCGTTTCTCGAAAAATATCGATGCACAGTTTGTATGTGTGGGCACGTCCAGAAAAGAAAAGAAAAAATATCGATGCTATGCATCGTTTGTATGTGTTCGTTTCTGAGGGAGGGGGGAGGGGGGTTGAAGAGAAACGACTAGTTTTCGTTTCTAAATAAATATCGGTATTTACGGATGGCCCCTTATACAGTGCTACAAGAACTGTTCGCATCAGTATGCCTATGCTGCTGCGTGTGAGGAATTAATGTGCAGAGAGTGGCCCTGGGCTCGCGCATCGTACAGGACCCAATGATAGAGCCGGGGTTTAGTTAGCAAAAGCGGCACAGGCGGTTGCACTGCCCCTCTCCCCCCCCCCCTTCCACCGCGGTTTTGGAGCAGCCTCCTTCTGTGCTTGGGCTGTTCCCTATACCTATCAGGACATACGGTAATTATGATATTGCGTGAGTGCAGTAGCAAGGGTATCAGAGTGTATGACTCTGCATCTCGATCTATGCTGTATAAAACCAATCCCAAGGCGAATTTGTTCAAGTCACAGTGCTGAGGTCCGATCATGGATCATATGGTAAACCGCCCGTCATCATACAGTGCAGGTTCAGGACAAACTGATCACCATAATTATCGCAAAGGTGATAAATGATAATCATGTGATAAATATGGGGAAGTGGCTAATTCTCCCATGCAACTCCCTCAAACTTTTGGAAATGCTTCAATTTTCACCTTTTGTACAACAAGTGCCTCACAGAACTGACTACCTTGGTGATTCGGTCAATTTTGTAGAAGTCTTGAGGCTTGCAGGTTCATCCACAGAAGGAATACTTGGGTGGAGCCACCCATTCCCACAGCACCGAACAAGTCTGAACCACACAGTTCCAACAACTTTCCGGCAAAGTATTGGCACTTGCCATTTGCACAGGCAAATGAAAAATGAAGCTGTGAAAGACACCGAGAGGAGAGATCTAACTGTTATATGGTGGTTCGCCAAAAAGATGTGAATTGTGTCACATCTGTAGAGGGTGTGTGTGTGGGGGGGGGGGGGGGGGGCAGACACCAATGCGCTAATAAAATTAATGCAATGTGAAGTGAGGGTGCAGACTGCAGACCGACAAAATGTGAAGTGTTTCACATCAAGAGGAGCAGCAGAAGGTAATGTGCTAGTGCACTGTGAAGCAAGGCTGCAAGCCCGAGGATATTTCTTGTGTCGCATGATGGAGAACCCAAAACCTCATAATATTCTGTCATTGCCATTAGTTCTCCTTCAAGCGGTTATACAGTAAAACCTGTGACTACGACCACCCCTTGGGGCCAGAGAAAGCGGTCTTTGTACTGTATTGTTTATTTACGGTTTCTCCAGAGGTAAATGGATACCTATCATGCAAGTCTCTCCAAGCCAAAATAGAATACTGAAACTGAATAGAAGGAATAAAACTCAAATAAAATCTGAGAATTGAGAATCTGAGAATCTTTAGTGGCAGGTGGTCATTAGTTAGAGGTTTGCACCACACAACCATGAAGTGTGAGACCGTCTGTGCCTGGCTAAGTGGTCTTTAGTGCCAGGCTGGTCTCTGGGGACTCTAGTCACGTAGTCGTTGGTCTTTAGTTACAGGTTTTACTGTAGTTCACACTTCTCATGCTCATCAACTGAGGGATGCGGCGCCTGTAATCAGGTAATAGGCTGTAACAGTACTGACCGACCATGACAAGTAATTAGTTAGACAGCTCTTTCCCTCAGAGTCCCGTCAGTGTCACACTTCTTTTCAAAGAAGTGCGAAATAGGACTCAGATCAGAGGGAAACTGACACCGGTAACAATAACAGTGACATAAGTATGATATGCGTTGCCTGCGCTTCCCACACATTTACCTCGCAGTGCATTGACGCATTCATGGGTTTCGGGGTCTAACTCTCGTGATGTGATACAATTGACATTATTTCTGGCCTGCATCCTATTCCTTGCTTCCCCGGCAGTGTATTGGCACAATATCAATTATTAGTTTCTGCTTCTCCCTCTCTAAACGTGAGACAGTATTAATACTAGCATGGTTGGACTGCACCTTTACTTCACAGTGCATTAGCACTTTGGTTTCTCCCCCCCCCCCCCCCCCCCCCTACCCCACACATACACACCTCATTCTGTCATGGCCAAATGCATTGTACAGAGACCGGTCATGAAGAGAGCCTCACCGGCCCCACCGATACACAAGGCCATATACTCATATAGGGCGGCCCGGTGCGGTGAAATGAAGCACACACTCAGGGTGGCAGACAAAGCATAGTTGGATGTGATCTTTTAACTTAAATAAGAACTACTGGCGATATGGTTTCATGCTTCAGGCAGTCGGGGAGGGCGTCAACAAGGAAAAAAGAAGAGTGAAGCCAGTGTGGCGTCAAGCATTCCCCTGAAAGATATAATACGAATAATGTCGTCCCAGACAACAACAAAAAAGATGAGCGGCCTCAATATTAGCAGCGGAGGTTGATTTATAGTTCGGTGTGCTTAGACTTGAGCTGTTCAATGCGTGCAATGAAGTCACTCTTCTCGGCACATCCACGGCAGTCCTCATCCCAGTCGTTCAAGATCTTCTTCAGGTCACGCACGCGCAGTTTCTTCAGGTCGACCGTTTTCAAGTCAATTTGCTTCTCTGTGATAGGAAGGAGAGCGCGTCCACAATGACAACAGCGACAGCACGCACACATACACGCACACATTGCAGAAGACACCCGAATTCGTGAATGACCATTATAGAGCGCATTCAACCTTTCTCCAATCACGAGTAAATTGCAATATAATGTAGTATTGCATTTTGCACTGTGCAAACTAGCATGCATCTGACTGTCACATTGCCTGTTCTCCACATACTACACAACACGATGTTCTGTAGTGTGTGTGTGTGTGATCCATGAGTACAGCATCACTTTGATGCAGCACCCTCAGGCCGATACTAGTATAAGCAAATTGCCTTGCATACGCATACAAGGGCTTTTTTCCCCGGTTCCGTGTCATTATGCTGCCTGCTGATTGCTCATCGTGAAACAAGGTGTTACAACTGACGACCCTAACTTCACCGTAAAAACACTATCCTGTAGAGTTACAGGGAGCTATAGTACGTACCATATCTAAGGTCGCAGATCTGAGCATCCTTCTTTTTCAGGCCTTCACAGATCTTCTCCACGGGCTTGCCGAAGCTGAGCGGCTTGGAGATCTCTCCTAGGATTCCGGTGGCAGCATCTTCGGTACCTCCGACATAGTAGCAGAATCTGTTCTCGCGCTTCTTGGCCTTGGCGCAGACCTCCCTGAATTTCGCCTCAATGGTGGCTGGGGTACTACGCTCATCAGATGTCAGACCGTCGTAGAATTTCTGCGTAAACTTGATACATACTGCATAGACACAGACAGGAGAGATCGAAATAGACACTCACAAATGTCCCCAAATATATCTGCTGCAAGCAGCCACACAGGCTACAAGGAGAGAAAGGTATGATTGTCCAGAATGTGCAATGTGTAAGTGGCCCTGCATTGGAGTTCACAAATCCTTAGAAAAGGAGAGGAAACTGAAAAAAACTCCTCTGTCTCTGTGGAGTTGTCACAAGCTCAGGTCCTAAATCAGACCCATATGACATGCCAACTGATTGTGATGGTTTGGGCCATAAACTTCGGGGTCTGCACCGATTATTTCCATGGAGATAATGAGTATGCTGGAAGGACGTTATTCTATGGACGACCCAGAGCCGGATACCAACAAGATGATGAATCCAATGATGCATGAAGAAGCTGATGAGCATGAGCACTACAGCGTTCTTTGAAAAGCATGAATTCGCAGTATACACTTTTAGGCAGATTGTTCAAAGAGATGTTACATACAGTAGAGTCGCGTACCCAAGGGCCTAGCCGGGGACCGGGTGTTATTATTTTTCAGCAATCCAGCTGCGCTCTTATCCTGTTCCCGTAGAATCCGACAGCTGTACTAAAATCTGTGTTTTTTGTTTGTTTCATAAAACACCGAGCTTTGACAAAATCACCGCAATGTTCTCGGAAATCCACCATTGGGGCACTGAAAGCTGCTGCCCATCATGTGCATGTAATCTACAGCTGTACACATGCTGTGTAGCCACTAGACAGAACTGCAGTGTGCAGCAAAGGATCCCTGACTGGTGCGAGGTGGGTGAAAGAGTCACACGGAAAATTGTGCGTCTGCGGAATCGCAGTATCCTGTGGGAACAGCGTACTGGATCATATGTACGCATTATTACGTACTTATTGCAAAAACTGCCCACACTACCATTTCTGCCGAATCTTGGGCTTCACGTTCTTCAAGTCGGCACACGGTCTACAGTATTTGTCATGTACTATTAGAATGCTCGGCGGTTCACTCAGGGCTAAGATCAGCAGAACCTGCCTTGTAGGCCAGTCTCACTCTAGCCAGCCAGGGCAATCTACTAGTAAGTGTTACTTTTCCATAGAGGAACAGAACCCACTTCCACGTTGATCAGTAAGAGACTTAGGGTAGCAACTCTACATGATTCAACTTTGAAATTTTTTTTCTGATGTTGCCTACAAGGACTCCTATTCAGAAATACCAATACTAAGGCAATAGTGTAAATAGAGACCCCTAATGGTAGGTCTACATGTACGCGTCACACATCATAGCCGCTTTCATGCTAGAAAGCTGAACTTTGAATGTGCATCATGACTTCATGTGCATTTACGACCTTTAATAATAATACTGCTGTCCATGTAGACAGCAAGAAGAACTACAAAAAAATTCCAGCAGACTCCATTCACTCCGGGAGGGAGAACAGGAGCGAACAGTACCGAACCGACAGCATAACCTCACGCGTACATTCCCAGCACATACCTATCCAATAATATTAACTTTGACTGAGTGGTCAAGATCAACAAGAATGGCACGGAGAGAAGACTCCAGAAATGTACAACAAAGCACCAACCTTCGCAGTCTCCCTCCTTCAGCTTGGCATCCACAGAGACTAACAGAGTTGCTGCGATGGCTAATGCCACAGCATATAGGCACAACGACTGCATGGTGAAAGATTTGGATAATAAGACTACTCAAGAATCTGCGAAGCTACTGAAAATAAGAAGATCGAAAACTACAAACACACGTCAGCCTCGGACTTTCTTGTTCGCGATATCGATCGATGAGTTTCTGTTTCAAACTCTCAGAAAAGTGCGAGCACACGTGTGATTGTCGTGGGCTTAGTCTCGACCTCGTACCCGAGCGTTGGTAACAGTTACTATGGCTATTTTGCATTCAGTTTGGCGTGCCCACGCGCGTAGCCCTTTCATTAGTGAGGTTTTGCATTCCGAAATTCGGCAAAAAGATTCGGCACGCGGGAGCGAGGTCGAAAATGCACACGAAGATTCGGAGTGTTTGTTCGGAAAAAGCTCACTTTGCCGAAAATATTTTTCGGATGCATTTTCTTGTAGAAGAGCGCTAGCGCGTGATTTATTCAAAGAGGTTTCTTATCTCGGCATCGCTTGGCAGGCGTCTTTGGCGACATAGCATCGTCAGCTACCTCTGATTGCTCCTCTCCTGTCGACTGTCTTTCGCCTGGAGTGTCCTCACCGTCATCTGTGTGGCTGAAAAGACTATGGCGACACGCATAAAATTTGACTTGGCTATGGAGTTGGTTTTTCTGAGGCGACTGAGGAGGCAGGTTTGGCCCTCGACTCTTTGGGCGATCAAAGTTCGTTGGAATCAGCAAGAAAAGGCGCACGGGACAGGACGTTGCTGATGCTGGGGCTCACGAAATGAAAACACATCATTTTCGACTTGCAAAACAAACGTTGGTGCGAAAATTCGACATTTTGATGTTCGACAAATGACCGACGAACGCTGTACCGAAATTCGGAATGCAAAACCTCACTATTTTTGAAACGGAACATCTACCGAAAAACGACGGGGACAGTCGCTAGCTAGCTACCTGTGTCGGACTGTCATTTATCCGCTGACGCCTGTGCCCAACACTCTAGTCTATAGTCTAGGCAACAGTGAATACCATGATTACTGCATCGTGAATCTATCAATAATCCGGTTCAAGTCGATCATTATGCTATCGTTCTTTGTAATTATATTGCCTTTGATCAGACGTGTTGGCGGTGTCAGTGGTGGGCATTGGTGTTATGACGCATGAGGTTCGGAAATGCCAAAGCCTGAAACAGAAGTGAGCAATCAATGGTTGTTGAAGTGACCTGGATTTACTGAATGGTCCATACTTTCCCTTGCGCACCTGGCCGTTCATTCAAACTCGAGACGGTTTGCTGGAAGGTGATGGAGTCCCCCAGTTCCATTCCATCCCCAGTTTCAGCGGCCACTGATGCAGACCTGGACTCGGACCCAGTGGAAGATGAGCACGTGTGAGTAGTGACTGATGAGAGAACTTACAGTCCGTTCAGAAAAAGATGATATCCTAGCTTTTGGCCATACATTGTAAATGGGTCAAATTTGGATTTTTTCACAATGTTTTTGGCAATCCCACATGATGGAATCCTCTTCCAATTAAGTTTCTGAAATCTATTTCTCAAATTCACAATGTTTTTAATAGCATCTGGAAGGGTCCGCTTCAACAGTATCCTACATGTGGCTGGTGACATGTGGGAAGGGGAAGAGTTTGCAGCTCAGGGTACAACTCATCACCGGCTGACAATTGCCACTGTGTCGTACGCAGGCTGGGAGGGATGGAGAGCTTTGACTGAACTTTTCACCATGCACACAACCGGTAGGCCATATACATGTACGTACACCATTTACCATTTCCAGACTACATGTATTTTTCATGTACTGTTATACTGTTATTATTCTGGGCTTTTCCATTCCTATTGTCATGCTGCTTCCCATGCAGTTCAGCTGACGAGCAGATGTCTGATGAAAATGAAGCAACAACGCCAGGGCCATGCCGGACAGCGACTGGTCAATCACATCCCGATATCGGCTCAATGGTACAACTGCCGCCGGAACTAGACCGCTTTTGCCGGATGCCACTCCAGCACGGCGTTGACGGCGTATCACCATCTTCGTGTGGCTCGGTTAGTGTTGCCAGTGGCTCTGCCGATGCTGCGACGGATGCAGATGAAGACAATGAGGAACGGCTGGCCTCTGCTCTTGCACAGGTTGAGGAACTGGACAAGCTACTTGCTCGCCAAGCCGAGGTCAGTATGCGAGTACCTTTCATGAATGATGTTATTACCATTGTGAAATAAGTTCTCACGCTACCAAGTAGATGTACTTGTACCGTAAAGTACTGATGACCCTCCTCCTCTCTCGGCGTGCTAAAGAGGTTTGACTGCGGTACCCTAGACTTTGGATTGTTTTCCAGTAATTACGACGGGTAGTATTTGACTGGGTCCTATGTTCTTGCTCCCCGTGCCCATTGTAATAGTGTGAACGCTATGCCAGGTTCCACCGCTTACTTCACGCTCATGAGAATGACCTGTCGCTCAGCGAAAAGGAACTGGGAGACTTGGAGCGGCTACGCGCACATGGTAGGTGATAGCCTCGTATACAGGCGTAGCGGCTAGTTGTTCAATCTTGATCTATCAAGCATCGTGATTGTGTCTATCTCAGGCATGGGCAGTCAATGAGGGAATGGTGAATGTAGCCCATGGCGTATTCAGCTCTGACTGCAGGGGCAGGAGGTGTCAGAGACCTGCAAGGCTCTTGTTTCAAAGAGTTGTTTTCAACTCTGGCACTATGAGCAGTACTACTAATTTCGTTACATGTATTCCTAACTAAATGTCCGTATTTGCTTCCTTTACACAGTGTCCATGTCGGATCCGGAATTTACAGAGACCATCTTTAAGACGCAGGAAGGTAGGACTTTGTTCTAGCTGATGACCTAGATGACAGTGCTGTACTGTTTATTCAGTTCTACCTACTAGCATGCACGCCATTAGCTCATTCATACTTGTATGCCCGATCATTTTGCATCGTTGACGCCTTCCTTGAACAAGCTGCAGCATTTAGAATAGAGCTGCAACAAAGGCTCGTTTGTTCGCTTGTTTCGAAATGCACAAGAAGGGAGGTCGCGTGAAAACAAGTTTTGAAAATGGGTGTTTGAGGCTCGAATATAATGTTACCATGGTTTAACGAGCTGCTGGTACATGTCGCCTAGAGCCGATATCATGGGCAGGAAGCCGACAGAACACATGTCAAAGTTCCTGTAAGGAAATCGTTCTGCATGCGCGTGGATAACCAAGCGTGCCATGTGCTCTGGGGTGCTAACAGTCATATACATGTACACAACAATATCAGAAGTCTCGAACCGTGCCTTTATTCTTTAGATTAGAGGGATTCTTCACTGGGCCATTTCAAACACCCCTAGAATGCTAATGGAGAGAGAAAGAGAGTGTGTGTGTTTGAGAGAGAGAGAGAGAGAGAGAGAGAGAGAGAGAGAGAGAGAGAGAGAGAGAGAGAGAGAGAGAGAGAGAGAGAGAGAGAGAAGGAGAAAGAGCTGGAGTAACCGAAATTGAATGGAGTTTGATAGTAGCATTACCTGTACACCATTCTTATCAATGATTTGCTTTTTCCTGTGCAGCGATAGTCAACATAAAGCTTCCCACAAAGAAACTCGGAGAAACTGGGAATGCCGAAGACACTGGCCTGGCTTCATCCAGGATTACCTCTCAGCTCATGACAGACCGACCGAAAGCAGGATCGACCAGTATGGGGAGCGGTGATATGACTGACTTCATACAGCGTAACATTGAGGTGAGCATGTCACCATGGTCACCACTACTCACACTGACAGTTTGTATTTGTATTTTGTATTCCTGGATTCTCCACAGGCCTTAGCCTGAATCAAGGGGTCTCTGCGCTTTATGAATATGCATGACTGTACTGTTCCTGATACCTACCTATGCGGCGTGACTTGCATCACAGTGCGTCCTTGACTCGTTATGCACTGAAGATTTCGCCACCCATTCCCAGATGTGACTGATCTCTCAGCGGCAATGCAATGTGGCACAGTATCGAGTGTACATAACCCCCCCCCCCCCCCCCAGGGTGTGGAACGCCTAATCCCGGGCAGCTCTGCATAAGTTCTTGGTCGAGCGTAGTCGGATCTTCTGATGTCATGCATATGCTCCACACCCGGAGCACGAGGCAGGGCACCTTTGTTTTGAGTCGAGAGTCCCAGGGGTGCGTATTTTGGTGAAAAAAGGTCGCGCTGGAATGTGCAAACTGTACGGGTACGACGGGATTGTGATATTATGTGTACCAATGCTAGCACCCGAGAAATGTCCTGCTCACGACCGGGACGTGCTCGAAAATAGATCTGTACGGTATCATATGCAAAGATCCCATTACGCTCTACCAAGACCCTATGCAGAGCTGGACCAGGCGTTGCACACTCTGGGGGGGGGGGGGGGGGGGGGATATGTACTCTTGACGGTATGTTTCCCATCATAGGTACATTGAGCACCTTGGCACTTTCCATGTCCTCGCTGCACAATGTCCTCTACTTTCAACTCGGCTGCCGCATTGTGATAGGCCGATGATCATTGTTTGTATAGGCACCGCCCACTTCACAAGGTTCACTGCCCACTACATACTCATGTAAAGTCAAGCCCGGTGAAATTTGGCCTCATGACTCAAAGTTTGCTCTTTGCCCCAGTGCACAGGTCCCTCATTCGCAGTCCTAGCATTAGGTGGGGTTGAATAGTCTTACCCCAATTGAAAAATGGTTGCTAGTATGTGCATGGGCAATACATGACTACAGGTTAAACAAGTATGAATACAGGTTGCATCTGCGCTCTCTGGTGCAATCATGGTTTCAGATGATAACCGCAGCATCCGGTGCTATGCAGCTCACTGAGGCGGAGCAGGAGCGACTCGAGGAGCTACTAGCGGAGGAAAGCGATGAGGATGGAGAGGACACACGGCAGGAAGATGCAGCAGTGATGTCGGCTATGTCAACTAGCAGATCACATGTCAGCATGGATGCTGCGGATACGTCAAGTAGTGAGCTACATCTCAGCTCAGAGGTATGGACTGAAGTGCTACATGAATGCTACTCATATATTCTGCCATCACGTATTTAACAGTATGTGTAGTGTATGTGCAAATGCATGACATCATAATCATAGCAGTATGCGTATGTTTTAGGCACAGTGTAAAGCTCTATCTGCAGTGGTCCGGCATTACTCTGTAGCGTCTCTGACGTTCTCGCATCATGACATCATCATTTGTTTGCATGCACACGTCATATTTTCCTCATCATCACAAACACTGATTCACCATACTCTCGCACACATTGTAATACCTACCACACGTACTTCTCTACCATAATAATTATGTAATGTTTGGCTAGCATAGTTCCAATACACATTACGACATCTTTTGATGTTACGCACTCCTCGCCTACAACGCTATTGTAGAAAAGTAGTCTTTACTCATCTCTTGTAAGTTCTGTTTGCATCCAAACACTTCTTCCAAACAGCACACGTCAGATATCTAACAAAACAACAAACTTCATTGCACAGTCTTCTATCACAATCTCTTTCCTATATAAACCTCCTTTCTCTTCACTTTCTTCATGACATTTAGTGTTCGCCAGTCTTGTAAAGATCTTGGAAACTAACACTCGTTGCACTGTATCTAGACTACTAAATTGGTGACCCCCGACGTGAGTAAAGTGCAATATGTCCAGCGACGATGGTTCTTCCGCTTCCGCCTCTGGAGCTTCAGCTGCCGCTAGCTCCTCCGCCCCGGCCCAAAACCAACCACTCGCCCGCAACGACCAACACGACGCACCGGACCGTCCGGTGTCTGCCATCACCTTCCGACTGCCGCAGTACTGGCCCGGCGATCCGCAGCTTTGGTTTGCACAGGCAGAAGCGCATTTTGCCAACCATCGCATCACCAACCCGCGGGCCAAGTATAATGTCGTCGTGAGTTCGCTGGCTCCTGAATACGCCGCTGAGATTCGGGACTTGCTCCTAGCGCCGCCAGCCGAGGAGCCGTACCAAGTCCTGAAAGAGGCGCTCACCGCACGCACACAAAAGTCCGATCAGGCACGGTTGCGTGAGCTACTCTCAACAGCCGACATCGGGGACAGCCGACCAAGTCGCGTCCTCCGACGCATGCAACAGCTTTTAGGCAGTAAGTCGCTAGACCCAACTATCCTGCGCGAGCTATTTGTACAGCGTTTGCCCGTGACGGTCCGCCTGATTCTGGCTGCAACACCTGCAAGCCTCAGCCTGGACGAACTTGCAGCGCTTAAGCGCTTGCTGACAAGGTGGTTGAAAGCACGTGCTCAACCCCACTCACCGGTACAAGTGTTCACGCTCTGAGTGAAGCCCCTAGCCCTGCTCGGTCTAGTACGGCCTTATCATGTAGATCTACAGCGTCCACAGATGCGGAACAGGCCTGCACCGCTGACAGGGCTGAGATGGCCCAGCTCCGAGCTGAACTCGCCAAGCTGACGTCCGCTGTGAATGTGATGACCCGTGACACCGGTGCCCCTTGCCAGCGTGGCCGCCAACGAGAGCGTAGTCCCGGGCCACCGTCACGCCACCCAAGTGCCTCCAGGTCTCCCGGCCGTGACAATCACGACGACCTTTGCTGGTATCACCGTGCGTTCGGTGCGAAGGCGAACAAATGCCGAGACCCCTGCCGATTCCTGTCGGGAAACGGGAAGGCCAGCCACTAGTCGCGACCGCTAGTGTGGTTGGCCCCTCGAATACCGCTACCGGTCGCCTACTATTCGTCAAGGATCGCTCCCAGTCCGTCGAGTTCCTTGTCGACACCGGCGCCGCCGTCAGTGTTCTTCCTCCGTCATTCGTAACTCTGTCTCGTCGTGTTCATCGCAATAGTCCTCGTCTCCGTGCAGCGAATCAGAGCAGCATCGCCACGTACGGTCAGCAGCTGCTAGATTTAGACTTAGGTCTCCGACGCACTTTCAAATGGGTCTTCGTCGTTGCTGACGTCAGCTATCCGATCCTGGGTGCGGATTTCCTTGGCCACTTCCAGCTCACTGTCGACCTGGCCGCCAGATGTCTCCGGGACTCCACTACTCAACTTGCCGTTGTCGGATTCGCCTCGGATGTCAGCACCTCCGCTACCAACCTGCTGGACACTGACAGCCCTAGTGAGTATTCTGCCCTGCTGAGTGAGTTTCCTGACCTTGTCCGACCGACCACTGGTGACTCGCCTGTCAAGCACAATGTGACGCACCGCATAGTCACAGATGGCCACCCCGTCCACGCTAAGCCTCGCCGTCTGGCACCCGACCGCCTTGCTGTCGCTAAGTGTGAGTTCCAACACATGTTAGATTTAGGCATTATTCGTCCCTCCTCTAGTGCATGGTCATCCCCTCTGCATATGGTGCCAAAGAAATCCGGTGACTGGCGACCCTGTGGTGATTACCGAGCCTTGAATGACTGCACGATCCCCGACCGCTATCCCATCCCGCATATTCAAGACTTTACGTCCCACCTGCATGACAAGATCATATTCTCTAAGATTGACCTCGTCCGTGCATACCACCACATTCCTGTGCACCCTGACGACATCCCGAAAACTGCCATCACCACCCCCTTTGGACTGTTTGAGTTTGTCCGCATGCCCTTTGGCCTTCGCAACGCAGCCCAGACATTCCAACGCTTCATTGACCAGGTAGTTTCAGACCTTCCCTTCTGCTTTGCATATCTGGATGACTTGCTCATTGCTAGCGCCTCACCCGCTGAACATATGGCCCACCTTCGCTGCATATTCTCCCGCCTTGCTTCACATGGCATCTTGATCAACGTCCGGAAGTCGCAGTTCGGCCAGGATGAGCTTGACTTCCTGGGACATCACGTGACTGCCTCAGGTATCCGACCTCTCGACGCTCGCATGACCGCCATTCGTGAATTCCCACAGCCAGCTAGTGTTCGTAAGCTCCGTGAGTTCATCGGCTTCGTCACGTTCTATCACCGATTTCAGCCACATCTTGCTGCTAAGCTCGCACCTCTGCACGCTATGCTTGAGAAACGCCACCGCACCAAAGGCGCGCTCGTCTGGTCCGACTCGGCCATCGCTGCTTTCAATGATGTCAAAGCTGCGTTCACTGAGGCCATCACACTTCACCATCCTCGCCCGGATGCCGCCTACAGCTTGATGGTCGACGCTTCAGACATTGCTGTTGGTGCCGTCCTCCAACAAGAGCTAGATGGTGAGTGTTATCCTGTTGCCTTCTTTTCACGCAAGTTAAAGCCTGCAGAGACACGCTACAGCACCTTCTGTCGAGAGCTCCTCGCTATTTACCTAGCCATTAAGCATTTCCGACACTTCCTGGAAGGGCGTGTCTTCCATGTGTGCACCGATCACAAGCCTCTGACACATGCCATCCACAGCCGTTCACAGACCCACAGCCCGCGTCAACAGCGCCATTTGTCGTACATTGCTGAGTTCACGACAGATATTCGTCATGTCAAAGGTTCTCAGAATGCTGCCGCTGATGCACTGTCACGATGCCACCTACCCGATGAGCCCGTCTCTGCCATCACTGCCATTGACACAGCTTCCTTTGCCGCCGCTCAACAAGATGATCCAGACTTGCCCAGTCCTGGTAAGGATCCATCCACTTCGCTATGCTGGCAATCTATAGCTCTGCCCATGACTGATCACTCGCTCATCTGTGACACCTCTACTGCGTCTGCCCGCCCGTATGTACCTGCCAAGCTGCGCCGTGCTGTTTTCAATTCGCTTCACGGCCTCTCCCACCCTGGTACCCGCGCTACCAGGCACCTGATTACAGCTCGCTACGTCTGGCCCGCGATGAACAAGGATATTAGTGAGTGGTGTCGTTCCTGCCACGCTTGTCAGCAGTCTAAAGTTCAGCGCCACACCACATCTCCCGTGAGTGCATTCAAGCAACCTGATGCCCGTTTCTCCCATGTCCATGTCGACATCGTAGGCCCGCTTCCATCTTCTAGTGAGTCTCGCTACCTCTTGACGATGGTAGATCGCTTTACTCGCTGGCCCGAAGCAGTACCTATTCCCGACATTACAGCCGAAACCGTCGCTCGCCAGTTTGTTGCCACCTGGGTCGCCCGATTTGGTGTTCCCACTGTGCTCACAACCGACCGAGGTGCCCAATTTGAGTCATCCCTGTGGTCATCGCTCATGTCACTACTTGGCACATCTCGCATTCGTACAACGGCTTACCACCCTGCTGCCAACGGCATGGTAGAGCGCTTTCACAGACAACTGAAAGCTGCACTCCGAGCTTCCGACAATCCACAGCGCTGGACGGAACATCTGCCACTAGTCCTGCTCGGCATTCGCTCCTCCCTGAAGGCTGACCTCAACTGCTCAGTTGCAGAAATGGTCTACGGTTGCCACCTCCGCCTGCCAAGTGATTTCCTCACTGACGAGCCTGAGCCATTTCCGGATCCGACGTCCTATGTCAGCCGCCTCAAACAAGCCATGTCCGAGCTCCGCCCTACACAACCCCGCAAGCCACCCACCCAGCATCCGTTCATTCCAGCTGACCTCTCGACATGCTCTCATGTCTTCATTCGCACAGATGCAACACGAACGCCCCTCCAACGTCCTTACACTGGTCCACACCGAGTCCTGGAACGTCATGATAAGTACTTCCGCCTCGACCTCAACGGCCGCTCCGACACAGTATCCATCGACCGACTCAAACCAGCATTCCATGACAACCAGTCTGTCGACCATTGCCATCCGACCAAGCCGACGCCATCGCTCGCATTCGACGTGCCTCCGCCACGCCAAACACGAGCTGGTCGTCAAGTCAGATTTCCCGCCTATTTCTGACACTCTCTCGCTTATCCCATTTGCTTGCTCTCACTTTATCGCGCTAGTTATCGCTCATTACTCATTCACTAGGAGGGGAGCTCTGTAGCGTCTCTGACGTTCTCGCATCATGACATCATCATTTGTTTGCATGCACACGTCATATTTTCCTCATCATCACAAACACTGATTCACCATACTCTCGCACACATTGTAATACCTACCACACGTACTTCTCTACCATAATAATTATGTAATGTTTGGCTAGCATAGTTCCAATACACATTACGACATCTTTTGATGTTACGCACTCCTCGCCTACAACGCTATTGTAGAAAAGTAGTCTTTACTCATCTCTTGTAAGTTCTGTTTGCATCCAAACACTTCTTCCAAACAGCACACGTCAGATATCTAACAAAACAACAAACTTCATTGCACAGTCTTCTATCACAATCTCTTTCCTATATAAACCTCCTTTCTCTTCACTTTCTTCATGACATTTAGTGTTCGCCAGTCTTGTAAAGATCTTGGAAACTAACACTCGTTGCACTGTATCTAGACTACTAAAACTCAATGTCCGGACAGCTACAAGTCACTGAGCTGTTTTGACCTTATATGTCTCCTCGGCGAAGCACTGTGTTTGACGCTAACCAGAAAAGATTCAGTGCCGGGGGTCGTTATACAGTTTATGCTCGTCGATTCATAGTACACTTGTTCATAGTACACTTGTCCACTGTAAGATTCATAGTACACTATAGTACACTTGTTCATAGTACACTTGTCCACTGTAAGAGCGGATTAGTACAGCAGGTACATGTAAATTATGAAGCACGCTCTATAATGGATCAGTGTACGATCAGGACAGGTAAGTTTGTCAACATTCACACCATCCAGTATACACTGTATATTCCACCATGGCGTGTGCACCCATCTCATTGTGTTATAGTACATGTACTGTCTAGAGCCGAAGAACTGGGGGTTGAGAGTCGTGGCCTTGACTGCTCTTATTTTTTCATCTAGAAATCTCTATAATTACGCCTCAGCCACGTGGCATGCACAATTCATGTGCAGACGGGTATATTGCGGTAAAATTCTAACCCGTGTTTGTTCTTCGGTACCTGACAGCACTGTTCACGTGTATAATGGCAAGGTATTTGTATTGGTTAAGGTGTTTGTATTGGTTGAGCTCACACTGTGTCACTGCCTTCTTATTATTGTCTTCCTGCTATTCCGCTCCAGTTGGTTGTCCCGAGCACAGAGGCTGAGCTCAATCGTCTTCTGACTAGGCCAGATCCAGGCAACCCCTATAAATTCACCGACGCTCAGCAGCAGCGGCTGCTGGCAATTGACAGGTGAGTGATGCAGGCGTAGCCTCTACCTGTCCTGTGTGACGTGTGTGTGTGTGTGTGTGTGTGTGTCCGTGCATGTGTGTGTCAGTGTGTGTGTGTGTGTGTGTGTGTGTGTGTGTGTGTGTGTGTGTGTGTGTGTGTGTGTGTGTGTGTGTGTGTGTGTGTGTGTGTGTGTGTGTGTGTACATGCGTGCGTGCGACATTGTAGCTTGTTGGCACATTCAATGATTGCAAGGAACAAAATACAATAATAAATGCAACATTTTTCATCCACATCAGTCGGCTCGTGTAGCTGTAAACATCTCTGGAACGTTTGGCAGAAAAAAGGTGTGGGGATTGCTTAGCTGATGCTGGGTGGAATATTCCAAAGCCTCACTTCGTCCTGTTTGTTTTGCCTGTACAATGCACAGTCATCTGCAACACCTTTCTGGCAATGCTCTACCGCCAATCTCACCCTCCTCGGCATCAAGTATAGTCAGCAGTGTGACAGACAATCAGTCCATGTCGCAGAGACACAAGAACATAGTGGTAGCGGAGCTTGCTGCTGCCGGTCGGCAGGAGGAGGACGACTTGGACGAGCATGCATGTGCCCAGCGCCTCACTCCGTTGCAGCTGGAGCTGCTGCTGGAGCAATGTCGACGCGAGCAGGCCTTGCAGTCCTCTCAGACCCTGTCCGAGGCACGCCACTCCATGGCCGAGAGAGGCCTGCAACTAGTGGAAGCAGGAGACAGCGATCTTGAGCTGAGTTGACCCCGATGGGCTCACTGGCAACATGAATTCAAAGACGCATCCCATCCAGAGGCTCTGAGCCGCTAGCTCTTTTCATTCATGCTCACCTTGCAGCACACGGTGTGATACTCACAATCTACGGGTGTCTGCTTGACATGGCTGGACGGTTTCAAAACTGATTTATAGTACGAATGCTGACTTGATCCACGTACTTATCTATCTGTGTGCCATTGATCACAGTGTAGTCACAAGGGACATTGACGAGAATGTTGCCGCTTGTGAAGTACATATTCGTATGCAGTAAGTTACTGTACCCACACGACTCCATTTATTTTGTAACTCTTGATAAATCAAATAATAATTCCCGCACAACACAAATGTCTAAAGCAAGAAGAGGAAATTCCTTCCAACTTGAGTTTCACATTCTCACATGAGCTACTCGCAAATCGAGCTCCATAGCCCATACATGGATTCAAGATGAATAAACCCAGCATAATTCTATACAGGGAGTCGTAAAATACCGGTATTTTGCAACTCTCTGATTTACCCCAGTCACTTAGAGGAATCTCAGCACAAGCTGCACATCTGTTAAAGTTTGAGTACTGGGATACGGTTGGTTCAATTCAGTAACAGTACACACACGCGGCATGAGCAGTGGAAGGCGCAAGTTAGTTAGTTGTCGAGTGGTTCATGAACATGACAGAAGGCCATCTGGTTAGAGGAGTAAATCACCTAGAAATAGTTTGCATTGCAGGAGAAACGGGCTGATGGGTTAGTGGTGATGAAAAAAACGAGAGGGACTGGTTTGGGTTTGGGATAACAAGCCGCATATTATAAATGTGCAAGCTAAAATAAAATAAAATACTACAAGACCAAGGGGGGGGAGGGGCAAATGGGGGCACTAAACTAAAAAGCTGCCCAGCTCGTTGCCGGGGTACCCAATGTAAAAGCCCTACTAGGTACTAGTTGGATGACAACAGCCCACCACTGCACAGGCTAGCAATAGCAGTGCATGCACACTATGTACACACACACACAGCTAGGCTCACGTAAAACACAGCACGCCACAGTGAAGTAGAACACTGAGGATGGCGAGGACTGGAGAATAAAAAACACCAGAGCAAAAACGACGGGGGAGCAGAGGGGAGACGGTGTGACGGTGCGGACACAACAACGTCCGCTATTGGACAAGACGACGCGCCTACTGTTAGGTTCGGTAGACAAGACACCTACTGTGTCTAAACATGTCAATGACATGTAGTGGCACGTGAAGTACATGTACATGTAGATACCATGGGGCTGCAGCGGAGACGGGAGATCAGTGAGAGCTGGGATTGCTATACAAACAAGAATATACGGATATATCTACAAGGTACGCCGGTGAGGTGTGAATGAAAGCAGACTATGTCAGTTAGACTCACAGCAGAGAACACGAGTGGTAAAAATATACCGCTGGCACAGTGACATGAGCGGAACAGCCAGAAAGATAATAGCGCTCAAAAGCACAAATGGAAAATATTCATAGAGACATAACATATATGTGCAGATTCAAGGATGTCTCACGTACTGGTACAAGTACTTGTTGTTGTTGTGTTTCTAGGGTTAGAGCTCCATATCTGCTACTTCATCATCAGAAAACTCACTGAGAGTGCTGTCGTCAGATTCGGCACCCTTATCAGGTTCGGCGCCTTGCGCTCTTTTGGCGTCTTCACAATCTTCACTGGCATGTTGTGTCACATACTCTGAAACGGGTGAACGGAGGAGGAGAGAGAGAGACAGAGAGAGAGATGGAGAGAGAGAGTGAGTGTGTGTGTGCCAGCTAGTTCGGTTGGTGGGTACACTTATGCCTGATTGTGTTGGGTCTGTTGCCAACGGGCTTGGCTACTTGAAGGTGTAATGTTGTACCTGCCACCTTTGTTGGTTCCAGGGTTCATATACTTTCTGTTTGAAGTATACATACCTGTTAACCATGGACTGCTTCTGGCTAGATTAACTCTTGTGTAATCAACGGTGCTAGTGAAGCTTATATCAGATCCTCTCTGATTTAGCCATCCACACTAGTAACACGTATTACCTTCACTGGGGGCAGGGGTAACTGCAGTTGGATCCCAGGACGGATACACCTTGTCCTCGCCCACTTACTGAGGTGTGGTGAGCCCATAAGTGGGATCATTTTCAAGTCCGCCCAGAGTTTTGGGGATTTCAGGGGGTGTCGGCCGTTGGGCGGTTCAATAGCCAATTGAGTCATCTTTCCAAGATTCCTTTTGAGTCTCTCTCCCCTCTCCCGGGGAGACCCACGTGACCAGTTTTGGTAGTGAGCAACAAGTGTGTGTGTGTGTGTGTGTGTGTGTGTGTGTGTGTGTGTGTGTGTGTGTGTGTGTGTGTGTGTGTGTGTGTAAGAAACCAGGCAAATAGAAGACACCGCTGTGACTACGTTTGCTGACCTGGTCAGGTTGGTAACAAAATAGAAGAACACAATGATAATTCCACAATCAGCACGGCCCACCCCATACGCCATTTATGCACATCTCTACAAAAAAATTCTGTATGCACGTACACTGATATCCACGCAATGACATACCTCTGACTTTAGCCTCGTATCCTTCCCTATCATGAAGTAGCATTGACGCAGCCTGGCTGTTCATGGGGTCCAGTGGATTTGGATAGCGCAACAAGTGCGGTAAAAACTCATCAAATATGTTGGCAAGGTCTGCAATGTGCGCATAAGAGCAAGAAGAGGACGGGACAAAATGAGGGAAGGCATGCAAATGCAAATACACACAAAACGACACAAAAGAATACAGGACCAGCGAAGCAGTTTTTGAGTGTTCCGGCCATATTATAGCCTTACATACTTTGCGCATGATAGCGCACACCCATATCCCAAAGGCTTGCAAATCTTGGCAGCAAAAATCTACATAGAGCGCTAATAGAGAGGTTCTGCACTACATACGTTAGTGGGCGGGAAAAACCCGTGAATTCACGAGTTTGTACTCCACTTACGGAAAGTTGTCTACGTAGAGTACGTAGATAGGGCTCTGCGAACGTAGGTGTTCCGTAAGAGGATTGGGGTACAAAGTTATGACTCTCTCCCCAGGTCGACCTGGTCGTACACTGCCGCGTTCCGAGTTGCCAAGGGCAGCTACGTGATTTGAAAACTCCGCATGGTGGAACACAGATCCGCATGCAGTGAATGTAAGACTCTCCACAGATCGACTAGGTTTTTTACTAACGTAATTACGTTATGCGGAACCTCTCTAATGACAACGGTTGAATACCTTACCATACAGTGCTGTCCAAGTTTGATTAATAACGTCCAGACATACTGTTCCAGAGCTGTCACACACATGTGAAGAGGAGAAAAAATATGTGACAGGAAGAGCTTGTGTGTGTGTTTAAAAAGGGAGAAGAGAAAGCGGGCAAGGACAAATTTGTACGCAGTTAAAGGGGAAGTTAAGGCAAAAATTAAAATTTCACCAGTTGTAGTCTTCGGGGTGCTGAGTCGAATGGTCATGGTCCGAGGAAGCTGAGACGCTCCCTTCCTACTTGAATCCCAATCGAACTCGCGGACTTCCACCGAAACTGGGTGACTGCGCCCTACTAGATGGGGATTTGTATGCAAAATGTCACTAAAAGCGCCATTTCGTTCTTATAAAAGCACGGATGACCGCGATTGACCCATATGTTGTAGTCTTTTGGACGCTGAGTCGACTGGTTTTGGTCCGAAAAGGCTGCGATGCAGCGTTCCTCCTTTATTCCCAATCGAACATGGTTGAACAAGCGGTCACGTGCTCCTGGGTGCCCAAATCACCTGGTCACCACGCCAGCAGGCGACAACTTTCACACCAAGGTTCAACTCGAGTTCAACTCGAGTGACAGGACTGCACCCAAAAAAGGTCAAACAGGCTAGTAAGTTGTACCCTGCAGGCACGGTGACCAGGTGACTGGTGTACGCAGGAGCACGTGACCGCTTCTTCAACCATGTTCGATTGGGAATAAAGGAGGAACGCTGCATCGCAGCCTTTTCGGACCAAAACTAATCGACTCAGCGTCCAAAAGACTACAACATATGGGCCAATCGCGGTCATCCATGCTTTTATAAGAACGAAATGGCGCTTTTAGTGACATTTTGCATACAAATCCCCATCTAGTAGGGCGCAGTCACCCAGTTTCGGTGGAAGTCCGCGAGTTCGATTGGGATTCAAGTAGGAAGGGAGCGTCTCAGCTTCCTCGGACCACGACCATTCGACTCAGCACCCCGAAGACTACAACTGGTGAAATTTTAATTTTTGCCTTAACTTCCCCTTTAACATTACATAGAACTAATCGTCACGTCAAGTCAGCGGGGAAAGTGCTAGCTCCACACTCCTTATTAACGGACATGCACCACACAAAACGGAAGTGAGCAGGACATGGCCCTCAGCGATGAGTCCATCTATAGAGTTTGCATGAGTCAGTCCGCGACAATACGCATTTGCGTTGTCGGGCAAGTACTCATGCTCGGACAAAGAGCACAGAGGTACAGTGCCATGCAGATCCCGGACATGAAAAGGATGATGGTGCATTAGTCGCATAGAAGAGGGGCACTACACTAGTCATCATGGCCACACTGGACAAGGAGGAGTCTGAGTAGTGCCACTTTGCAACGGTACCGGGGTAGTCTTGTATTAATCAGTCATTCAGTACAGCACAAAACAACACATTGCACGTAAATTCCACTTTAAAAAAAAGTGACTCACTTCTCGTCAATATTAGGATGGTATATTCTATTAACAAAACCTGTCGATGCAGACACACACAGACACACACACACACGTCAAAGTCAGGTACAGAACAAAAAATAAGGTGCGTGGCGAGAATGGTTGCAGGTGGACATGGGGTAAAGCGTATGTGCTTCACAAACACATGGTTTCATGACTATTCACAGTAACTTCTGAGAAGGTATAGCACTCAAGGACATAGGTGCATGCAGAAGAGCCACCAAAACTAGCACAACCCGGCGGGCACTTCAAGATGGTGAATGTCACATCTCCAAGCAGTGGCCCAAGCCAGAAAATACGGTGCACACACGGCTGCTATACCAACACCGAACGATTTACGTACAGTGCAATGATAGAGATTGCTGTGTACAGTGTGATGCGAATTGTGTGTGATAGTGGGGGGGGAAAGGAAACACCTAGACCAGGCAAGAGACAACCTGGTCAAAAACACCGTGAACTGATCACTGTGTGCGTGGGTCTGTGGGTGGTGGTGGTGGTGGGAGCTTGGGGCTCTGGCCGTCAACGAACACAATGTTCTGGCATCACAAAAGTGGCACAATGAAGCAGTGTCACAAATTCAAGTGCCCGATGAACACAGACAGGATCACTGAATAGCATTTCTGAAATCTTGTTACAAAAAAAGTAGATAAACGAGGGCACTGACCTATGACCATTGTCATAGGTCAGAGCCCATCTAGTGCCAAGAATCTATACATACCTATAGAGGGAGACTTGAAAGGATACTTATCGGGAAGGGTGACCCTCACTCGCCATATCCCGCCTTCATAAGGCGCTACAACAAATCAACACAAGGAGAGAAAACGTACGCAGCATCAACAAGCGTCTGGAGGGAGCGCATTTAACTGGGTGCGTGTATTTTCCGTCGCCATTTACTGCATAATAGCCTATTCACACGACGAGCACTTGCACGATAATCGCGGTGACTTTGACGATCATCGCTGGGCTGGTGATTCACACGGCAAGGCACGCTTTCGTTCAATCGGCGAATATTTATGCAGTGCTTATGGATACTGACAAAAGAGTGGGAAATTTAAAAATCTTCAGTCAGCCAGCGCTGAATCCCGGAAAATGTCTTCAACCAATAACAAGTGCATGCACGCAGTGGTGCGAGCACATTGTGTTGTTGTTGTTTTTCAAAGATAGCTCTCCTTTGCTTCTCCATCATGTCCATTCTGAAGTCCGTTGCTCTCACCCCGCCGCTGCAGACATAACCCGATGGCCGCTCGAGAAATGCCCGGAGATTGTTGTTCCATCGTCGTACTAGGTCAAGGACATGGGAGGACGAAATTCTGCCTTTTTCAATGCATGGCGTCGTTCTAGGCCTTTCGTAGGTCAGCAGTCTTTCATGATTGTAGATTTGTAGACGGCGCTCCCTACGGGAAGAAGATTTCGGTCTCTCTAGCTCTGTTGGTTGGAGATGCGTATTACTGCTAGAAGCAGTTCACTGCAATTTTCCTGCTTGCATGTGTCAACAGTGCAGGATTGATCCGGTATCTACGCACCGGTTTGCCTGGCTCCTGTGGTGATGCTGCTGCCTACAATGACAGCAAGCTTAAAGCCAACATCAACGAAGGGCGCTGGCTGGTTGGTTCCACAGTCACTTCAGATGGTATTCAAGTGCCGTTATATCTCGTGGGAGCTGTGTTTGCCTTCTCCAGCCGGATGATGAGATGCTACACCAATCCAGCTCAACAGCAAACAGAAAAGCAGAAGAAGTTCAATTACTGCTTGATCCGTACCAGGAGAGTAGTAGAGAATGCACTCGGTCGACTGAAGGCACGATGGAGAATACTAGTGAAGAACTACATCCGGGATGCTGAGTTTCCTGCGCAAGTGTCTGTTGCTGCATGTGTCCTGCACAATATTGGTGAGCGGTCCTCCTGCCAGTTTGAAAACGAGTGGCTTGTTGATGATGATGTTGCCGAGCACCATGCAGATAGAATGGGAGTGAATGCAGCACCTGATACCAATGCCAAGCAGATTCGCACGTCTCTTGCAAATCTTATTACTTGGGTTAACGAAATGAATGGCAATTGATTCACTACAGGAGGAGATAGCCGGAACAGTCAGGGCAAGAACTGTGTCAGTTTGCGTCTTTGACTTCATTTGCTCCCTTTCTCTTTCTTTACCACCCTGTTGTTGCAGTATTGTACCTCTCAACGTGTCATCTTCATAGTTGTCTCTTGTGGGCACATCACACACACACACACACACACACACACACACACACACACACATACACACACACACACACACACACACACACACACACACACACACACACACACACACACACACAGTAGGAATCGGTTATAGAGCGGGTGTTAGAAGAACGACTTTCTATTCTTATTTCCGATATTTCTTACACACGATAAGTCAAGTGTGACGTATAAGATGCATGTGCGCAGATACAGGATGGTCATCATACATACAACGTATCGCTGCTGTGCATGCGGGTGTTCATAGTCCCATACGCTTACCATGTGGCTATGCAGCATGAGATACATGACAACAACAGTTGAACCTGCAGCACTACGATGCAATGTGAGTCGGATCAGAACTGCATTAGACAGATGTATTACTACAGCTGATACACGTTGTACTAATCTGGTATGTTTTGCTACATAAAGTCCATTCTTAGGACCGATATATTCTACAATGTGATAACATTGCTTTTAAGAATAAATGTTCACTTGAAACCCATGTTATGATTATGAAAATAAGAGAGGTCATTCTTGTAAGCAGTATGTGTCTATTATTGCACGATTAAAGAGGTCAATATATGAAATATAGACCGAGTAAAAGACCGAGGTCTATATTTCATATATTGACCGATTATGAGGGCAATAATAGATTTATCACGACATAGCATACCTAACCCGTTTTAGCTGTGTTTACAGGAAGAAAGGAATACTATTGTAATAGTAGATACATGTAGTATGTACATATGCCGTTTACATTGGACATTACTTCTCTATAAACAGAAGTTTTCAGTTGTCACTTGTAGTATCAAGACTTCATAACCCCCAAGAGTGTGCAACGGGCATAGACCCAGCGCTCGGCGAAATTCCTACATTACGTCATGCGCAGCTTGTCATCCGAGGTAAATTTGGGTTCTTCGCGATTTCTGGAAACTATACCCTGAACCGCTCCTAACTCAAGGCTGTAGCCTCGACTTTTCGAAGCTTTTTTTGAAGACATTTCGGACGTACAAGTCGTACTTTCTCAAAAACAAACTCTTTCTCCAAGAATCCGGCCATGGACATCGCGACAGGAAGAAGTGAGGACGCTGTTAAAAATATTGCATTGCCGTCGAGGACAATCATTCCGATAGCTGTGCAACTCAGCCGAAAAATGCTCCTTTGACGTATTCTCTCAAGTTCCTCAACCATTTGAAATCATCTTCGAGGAAAGCGCCGGAAATATGCCGATGGCCTGGGGAAGAAATTGTTCTTGAAGAGACTGACTGCACTCATGCACTGGTCAAAGAAGAAGGCGATGAAGAGTCACCATTGCATCGAAAAAATAAATAGTTTTGTCTTTAGGATCGCGTGTTCTCACTTTTGTTCTTGAGGCTCAGACTAGAATCGCAGTTTAGGCAGTTTACCCTGGGGAAGCATCCTGGTTTGACTGTTAATTTTAGAAGAATTCATCGGCGTGACTCGTCGCACTGCACCAAAAATGACGCAATGAAGGAATTCCGCCGAGCGGGCTTCCATACATGGACTGAGTTGCACACTCTTGGGGGTTATGAACTCTTGGTAGTATGTTTCCCAAGTTCTTTGACTGAGAATCTGACAGTTTCGGTTCAAATCCCAACATTTGGCTTCAGATTTTCTTCTTAAAGTTCTAATTTTTTTCTAAGTTAAGGAAAAAGTTCTAAGTCCTTGGGCTTAGGCTGTGTTTACATGGAGAAATTTCAACCCGGGTCGAGTTCAGCCCGGGTTGAAAGTCTGTACGATAGACAAAATAGGTGAGCGTTTACATGAAGACAGCTGACCCGGGTCAAATACTGATGTGCCGCCAAAAGTCCACTTCTACAGTCCTGTATAGTCACGTGAATCCGTCCGCGCGAAAGTCGCATGTGCAGTGCTGTTTAAACCTGGCGCGAGATAGAAGTACGTTTGTACGATTTTCTTGACCCGGGTTGATTTCAACCCTCCCCTTGGGGGGGGGGGGAGGGTTGAAATTTCAACCCGGGTCAAACGCGATGCGTCATGTAAACGCGCCATTCATTTTGTGTGCATGGCGGATTGAAATCTGACCCGGGTTGAAACCCGGGTTGAAACGCCTCATGTAAACACAGCCTAAGTACTAAGTAAGTGGCCAATAATAAGTGGTCAATATAAGCGGTCAATATAATTATGCTGATATTTGACCGCTTAGAGATCACAAGTTTCTGTGGGGGTCAATAATAAGAGAGTGATAAATTCTTTTACACGACCACGCTATAACCGATACGCACTGTATGTACAATTTGTGCAAACACACTGAAACACATGCACACACACACACACACACACACACACACACACACACACACGCTCGCTCGCAAGCCTACACACACAAACACAGCATAGCCACGTTGGTATGTTTTTATTCAGATGGGAAGCCGGGTTGTAATCGTGACGAAACAATTTCATACGCCATATTTGACTGACAATCGAGCCATGAATTTCATCTGATTTTGGTGCATGGTTTGCGCGTGCTGCTGCTCATCCATCCTCTGTAGTCTGTAGGGTCAGAAGTGGACCTATCGGTCGACTTCAACGCGAAAATGCATATACAGTGCGTATCGGTTATAGCGTGGTCGTGTAAAAGAATATACTGCCTACAAGAATGAACTATTATGTTTTCATAATCATAACATGGATTTCAAGTGCACATTTATTCTTACAAGCAATTCTATCGTACAGTAGAATATATCGGTCCTAAGAATGGACTTTGTGTAGCAAAACATACCAGATTAGTACAAAGTATATCGCCTGTAGTAATAACATCCGTCCAATGCAGTTCCGACCTGACTCGCGTTGGGTCGTAGTGCTGCAGGTTCAACTGTTGTGGTCATGTAACTCATGTTGCATGGCCACATGGTAAGCCTATGTGACTATGACCAGCCGCATGCACAGTAATACTACATTGCATGTACGATGATCTTCCTGCCTCTGCGTACATGCACATGATATGTCACACTTGATTTATCGTGTGTAAGAAACATCGGAAATAAGAATAGAAAGTCGTTTTTCAAACACCCACGCTATAACCGATACCTACTGTAATAGTAATAATACTAGGTCAATATAGGAAATAGAAATCTCGTAAAAGACCTCGGCTTCACCCAGTTCTTTTACTCGGCTTTTATTTCCTATATTAGAGAGGCTAAGCTGCACGTTATTTTGACGTGACACGAAAGTTCAGCTCGCGTTAGTTGGCTCGCGCGTTGGAAAACAACGCGAGAGAGTCGCATCTCACGTCGAAATTTCGACAAATTTGACGTGAAATAATATTATAATGTATTCCAATCGAGCGTCACGCCAAAAATAACGTGCGCAGCTTAACCTCTATATTATTGACCTCGTACTCATCAGTATTTAGATACATGTATCAGCAATCAAGTCTCACTCCACTGTCTGAGACTATAGTTACTTACTCTCCTCTGGTCCACAAAACTTCACCGTGAATTCATTCAAGCCGCCTACTATGTTAACGTCGAATTTTTTACCAATGCTTTGAAAGTTCCGTCAAGGAAAATTTATGGACGACTGACGTGACTACAGCTGGATTGTAACTGAATAAATTAATAAAGCATCAAAGAAATCATTCTAAAGCCCACGCAAATTTCAAGTGGGCAATGCAGTAAGGTCTCACAAAAGGATACAGCTTGACAACATCAGAATCGGCTCGCCTTTTGTTGGCTGATGGTGACGACATTTTCGTGGTTTCTAACTATTTCCACTCAACGACCATTACCAGTAGTAGCTCAAAGAAAACAAGACGGCGGGCAAACTTGCTGCCGATGCAACGAAATACTTCCACAACAACCAGAACTCTGCGTCCGCTCAATACAAGAACTTTATGTAGAACTGCTGTAGCTGCCACCTCTCACTTTATACTTCTGCTGAGTTAGTTCAGCAGGACGTTGTACAAGCTACGATATTGTCAGCAGATGAGGCCCACTGTAAGCGACGTGAAGACTCAGACAAATGTAGACAAAGAGGAAGAAATTTAGGTCTTGATCTCCTGGTATGCACTGCACTGGAACTATCTACTGACGTTTATTGCTCTATCGTTGCTACTTCAACTACCAAAGACAGTGCTTGTCAACCCCTGAGCAGGCAAGGCAAGTGTGAGGTTGTTTTGAACTGGTGCCGATGCAGATCACGTCACCAGACAGCAGGTAAACTACGTAACAGGGAGTAGTAAAATATGTACTCCTGCTACGTACAGACTGATCAGTGATCACGCATGCTGTACATCTGGTACATGCACTCTATTTTTTCTGTTTATTCTTTTTACCAGGCGTGGGCCATCCCCTGGACTATCAAAATGGGTGCCTTATTATTTTTCTGAGTGCAATAAAGAGTTGTGTTACAGTAAAAAAGTACATGCACTCTACAACAGTACAAGCAGGGAGTCGTAAAATATTTTACGACTCCCTGAGTACAAGTAATAAAGTCTAGACTACATCATGCGTAGATCTACAGCTATGAGATCATCGTAGCGGGCATGCACTGCACGGGTCCCCTTTCTGCAGGCATGGCAGTGCACCATGCCCATGGTGCACATGGATATGGTGCATGCAGCCGCTGCATGCACTGCACTGCAGCGCCGCCTAGCGCCTAGCGCCTAGGCCTGGGGTCCTTTGCGGATTCTGCCGGCAGAAAAATTGGCAGAATTCGGTACTTTTTCTGGTAAGTAACTAGTTTCATGCATGTTTGGTATGTGGATAAAGAAAATGGAGCAGAATTATTATTATTATTATTATTTTAATAACGAAGGTACGTGTTGGGTCGTAAGTATCCACGCAAACACACATCCAGTCAAAATAAGGCACTTGTCAAAGTATCCGAACGTTTTCGGTCCCTTCTCATCAAGGATTATACAGGGAATGGCTCAAGTTGGAAAGACTAAAACTTATATAGCGTAAAGATATGAGATAACAACACTCGTGACAAGGTGGAAAAAGTATCAAGTTCAGCACGCCACAAAACTCGAAGGAAATAATAATAGCGACAAGAACATAGTGAGCAAATTAAGTTACATTGTTAACACCTCGTTGTATACGCCAAAGTCGTTTCACAGGTAGAAAATCGACAGGGGGCGGGAATTAGAGAGGGGGCGGATCAACGGTACTTTACGGTAGTACTAGTAGTAGTAGTAGTCGTAGTATTAGTAGTACTACATGTAGTAGTAGAATATATTATTTTGATAGGGAAGGCCCTACAGACGTTGTCTTGTTGCAGGGAATCGTAAGTGCTCGAATTACAGAGCGAAACAAAAGCGGATAAATGCTCAACAAAGTTACTTGACGACACGAGACAGCCAGAGAATTCAACCCGCCAAGGAAAGAAATAGAGAACATGCCATATCTAGTATTAGCAGTGGGCAAGAAAGCGAAGAGAATGATTGCCCTCTACTTGTAGTACGCCTCTCGGTTTTGTAGGGTTCTACGGATAATGCCGGCATTATATTCGGCAATTATCATTATCTGATTATGGGACTAGCTATCCGAGCATCAGAGTATTCCTGCTATTAGAAAGGGAAAAACGAGCATTTTGTGAGATTTGAGCGGCATTTGGACTTTCATAGTGGATAATTATCGGGAAATCCCAGCTTTTGGCAATAATCGGCTACACTCATGAGGTACAATATACACGTACACTGTATGTTGTTGGTTTGACAGCATGAAATAAGGTGGAGGACACCGCGTTCGGAAACAGTGACAAAACTAAAACCATCCACGGTTGGTGTGCTAGTATTGCCTATTAATATAATTATATCTGGTGCTAGTACTGTACTACATATTGTTAGATTGACAGCATGAAACAAGGTGGAGGACACTGTGTTCGGAAACAGTGACCTTACTACAACCTTCCGCGGTTTCCGAACACAGTGTCCTCCACCTTGTTTCATGCTGTCAATCTAACACTAGTTCAAAACTAGTATTGGGTTATATAAAAGTACCGTACTAGTATTAGATTTTACGTATGACTTATAATGCAGTGGCAGTACCAGGCGTGGGCCATCCCCTGGATTATCAAAATGAGTGCCTTATCATTTTTCTGTTGTTTTTACAATTCTTCGTGCTTTGTAATGAATATGTGTAGTAGTTTCAAAAAAAAACTACTAGAGGCATGTTCGATTGTACGAATCCGGATCCAGTCAATGCATAATGACCGCATACCGCATAATCCCACGCGGCCTGTTTTCGCCCGCATAATTTTAGGATTTCGTCCGCGTTATTTTGTGGGGACAGGTCAATCCACCTCACGGGTCAGGATTCGACTGATTCATTGCTTACTACACCCCAAGAACATTGTTTCCAAGGGGCTAGCCTGGGACGTTCTCATTTTTTTCAGCAATCTGGCTGCGTTCTTATAACACGTTCAATCCGAACTGAGCCACAATGCACATGTATCCCACAAGCTCGAAGAAGACCAACACTGACGTTTTGCTTTAGGCTGTGGCGTTCTTTGGGTGCGTTATTAAATCCTCTCGGAAAAGTTGGAGACTCTCCGAAAAGTTCGAGAGCTGTTCTTATATCCTCTCGGAATTTTAGGAGGCTCTCCAAAGCTCTCCAAGCTTCAGAGGTGGTTGAAACTTGGAGATTCCCACGGTTTGGGATCAGCGCATGCGAACTAGGCTAAAAGCCACGTGTTGATCATGAGTGTACGCACTTCCCTTTTCGCATACGCACAGCGCATACTATATTCGTGGCACTCAAGATCGCGGCGCCCTTTGGCGCTTCATTTTGCTTGACATCTGCAAAATATCTCCGAATTCTTCGAGACCCGTTCTTAAAGAATCCCAGTTTCTTCGACTTCTCTTTTCTTTTTCTCCTAGAAGCTAGAGACTGTCGCGCGATGTGTTTCCCGTACGCGAAATAGTTGAGCTCAGATCAACTTTTTCGCGACGGAACGTGTTTCCCGTACGCGACATGAAGTATGAATCGGGCTTTAGTATTTCCGGCTAGGCTGGACGTTCTTCAGCGCGCGATTCTACTGTATGTCATCAAAACTCCAAATATGTGTACACTACACCAAGGTCAAGACTTCACCATGCAGAATGCGGTCAGACACAACAGAGCAGTTTGGGAAGATCTGGAGCAACATGCCTGCTAAGGTCTGGGAACGTATAGGGCCATCATTTTTTATATCTGTGTTTCGCGTCAGTTCAACTTCCAGAATCATATGCGAGAGGTGGAAAAAATAAAAAGTTGCAAAATAATAAAAAAAGGCTCATCAGAGGTGTATGCACTGTACATAGCACAATAGCTCGTGCATGGTGTACATTCGAAAGAAAAATCGTACATCGATGCACAACATCTGGGTTATCAGCATGAGTAAATATTCACTTTGGACAGAGGAGGCAACCGTTGGTCATGGTGCCTATGCTTCGCTGGAATATTGTACTCAGACTTCAGCAGCGGTGCAAAGAGCTCCGGAACGACGCATCCTCTCAGCTTATGCGATCAATGCGGTCTGGTGTAAGCTCATAGAATATTGCTCCCAGATGCCGAACAAACGATTTGCCAACGCTGGCCTAGGCTAGAGGCCATTTCTGAATCCCAGCTTCGCCGTATGCAACCTGTCCACACTGATGACTCGCACGCTCGTACACTCACTGTGCATGTTCGATTTTTTATTTTTTCCGAAAAAAATCAAAACGTATGCGCGTGCGGACGACGCAAAACATAGCTATAAAAAATGATGGCCTAAGGGCTTGGTCAGACTGCGGCAAAATCGAAATAATCCTAGGATTATAACCCGAATCTCCATAGTAACTTGCCGCCAGAGCGGCAAAAGCGAGAGTTGACGCTCCAAAAAAAAAGCAAGAACGGACCACGCTTTTCCGCTCCAAACAGGATTTGACGCTGATATGCCATTGACGCCGATAATCACTGATTTTTTCAACTCGATATCGAGGAGTTAATTGGCCACGGACAACAACAAAACTCATAAGGATGGTTGCAAGGATTGCACTGAAGGTGTTGGCGATCCCCAAGGTGAAGGAATTTGACGTCGTTCGTGGAGATTACCACTTGACGCTCGAAATGAAATTTGAATTTTCACTCTCCCACATGTGTAGTGTGATCGCGATTCAAATTCTGGACGCTGTTCTGTTTTCGTCAGGCAACCAAAATTTGCCGCAGTCTGACCAGGCCCTAATCAGTTACCGTACTCACTCGATTAGAAGCCAGGGGCATCTATTTTTCAATTGCAATTTTGAGGAGGCTTCTATTGTTTCATTCCATACCAGTATTCCAATCGAATCTCTAAAACTTTCATATTCTCAGCAACTCGGCCCCGACTTACTGTATAAGCAGAAAAATTCGTCTGGAATTTAATTTCGTCTTTTTCGTCCAAGGAGCTTTTGGACTAAATTAAATGTAGGACGAATATCGACTTGTCCAGCTTTTCTATACTCTAAAGCGGGATTCACAGAAGCTTTTTTGCGATGCGACACGATCTGCGATGGATGCGGGCGATGCGAAATACCATTCACAGAAGAAGTCAGCGATGCGTCTTGCTGATTTGGTTACATCACCATGATATTTGCGCGGTTTGATACAACTTGTACAAATTTATAGGCAACTCTTCAACCGTTGTACAACTTTGCTGTAGAAAAGGTCAAAATCGTACGCCAAATCGCTTGTCGCATCGCATCGCAAAAGTTGAGCCAAGCTCAACTTCTGCGATGGCCCAGTTGCGTGGGCCGAGACATGGCTGCGATTTGGGGTTTTCCCGGTTTCGCATCGCAAAAAAGCTTCTGTGAATCCCGCTTTATGATCCATGGACGAAATTTTCAACCGGACGAACTCCTTTTCTTTGGAGTTGGACGAAATTATTGACCGACGAAATTTTCTGCCTCTACAGTAGTTTGCACACACTACGTCACATAGGACATGTGCCAATATGAACATGTATGGGGTGTTTTTTGCACACTTGACTTTCATACATTGCACTACCTGGTCACCACATGCTTTGCGAACAGTATTTCTATTCGAGAGGGGCTTGTATTTTTCAAACAGTCCATGTAGGGGGCTACTATTCGAGAGGGGGTTCTAATCAAGTGAGTACGGTGTTCACATTCAATTGTATCAAGAGTACATAACCCCCCAGAGTGTGCAACGCCGATCCAGCTCTGCATAGGGTCTTGGTCGAGCGGAATCGGATCTTCTGATGTCATGCGTACACTCCACACCAGCGCAAGGCCGGTCTCGAGGCAGGGTACCATTGTTTTTGATCCAAGAGCACCCGCGACTCCCCGGATTCCCCTCAGATGTGTACGGTATTATGACGCAAAGATCCGATTCCGCTCGACCAAGACCCTATGCAGAGCTGGATCAGGCGTTGCACACTCTGGGGGGTTATGTACTCTTGATTGTATCCGTCTGATCCAAGTGACCTGGTTGGCGGGGATCGGGATCCTGTTTCCACAATCGATGAGCCTACAGTCCATTTCAAATCTATAGACGCGTACCTAGGCAAAAACCGTTATGCCAGCATCTATACCACATAAAATCTGTGATCAATTTGTGCATAAATTTTTCCAAATTGGGCGTCTGCTATCCAATCGTTTAGAAACTGTACGAGAGTAATTGTGGAGCAGTCCTGAGCAATATTCCGAAACTATTCTCAAAAGGGTCCAGCCAAATTTGAAATATTTCAAAAACCCTACGCGTCTATAGTTTTGAAATGGACTGTAGCATGCCAGCAGTTCATCCAGTGTTTCTAAAATGAATGCAAGATCATTCTGAGAAAGAGAGAATACCTCTATTCACACACACGGTGCACGGACATGCACAACACAGATAACTCAGCATTGGGTTACTGTAGAACACCAGTCAGAAGTTTATTGATGTGCATAACTGAACGCTCTTTGATGGTGGAGTGGACTGGGTAGAGAACCTGGAGACTGAGCACACAGACACAACACAAAGCAACAGTGAACAACATGGACTTCGTAAGACAACAAGGACATAAGCCTTTCGCTTAGAACCGCAACCACTCTTTGAAGCAATATGGCACATTCCAGTTTGTAGCGTCAAGGATAAAAATCAAGCAACAATACTGTTGCCAGAAAGAGCATAATCTCAAGCATGATAAAAGACACGAAGTACATGAATATCAACATATCCATGAAGAGATGACCTTATTTCGTTGAACGGTGTTTCATGTTCCCGGAGGACATCAAAAATGCCGACAAATTGTGTGAGCTCAATACTTCACGCTGCATTGTGTACTTTTGCCAAGTAAGCTCACCACTGAGAATGTATTTTTGTACTAGCATAAACTGTTCAGTTATAGACCTCACAACTCATCCCTACTTGCTAGTACTTCGAAGTAAAAGAGTAAGGAGGAATACGGGGTACAATACGCCACACCAATACAGCACAGAATAGAACCTCAATGACAAGCACATGCAAGGTTCTCAAAGTCAGAAAGCACCATGCATACTGTTGTGTGTTATTAGCTTTGTCCTGCATGTGTAGCTGTTTGAACTTTGCTTGAAACTCGTACGACACAAAGCTATGTAATCCGTTTATTATGCCGCACTAGCATCCTGATGACAGCAGAACGCATACTGTGTACATGTACGATCATGAGTTATGTCAAATGAGTCAATATTTTTACTGAGCTCATTGTATTGCATTGATATTCAAGATGATGTCCATGCGACTGACGACTGCGTATCCATTCCATATTTTCAACAGCTTCAGCTGCACATGTCCACTCCAGTAACATATCCCATGCCACATCAGTGGTAAGTAGCATGACTGCCTCCACTTTGAGCTTCAACTCAATTCGTAGCTGATACTTACTCTATCTCAGACGCCTTGCTTCTCTCTCAGATTCCAAGAGAGTCAGAATATCACCCTCACGAACGGGTCCTTTCACATTGCGGATGATGGTTCGATTCGTATCATCCAGGAACTCCACGCGCACCTGTGAATGGCAGAAAGTATAACATTGAATACGGTGAGCTTGGGCACAATCAAACATTATAACAAAATATTCATAAATTGACTTACTTGTGTGCATTGACCCTGTGAGCCAGTACGGCCGAGGATCTTGATAACCTAGAAGAAGGAGGACACTTTACGTCAGAACACGGCTACAAAACCGATTGAAAACACTACTTGGCATACCTTCGCCAACTTTATCTGGGTCTGCTGACGGTCCATCTTGTTCGACAGTGTGCGAAAGGCAAAGAGAGCGAAGGAGCGATTTTCGTCTTCCCAAGATCGTGAGCATGCGCGGTTTCCACGGCAACTTCTTCTCTCACGCTCGGGGAAGGGGCCGGCTTGGATGCAGCCCCAAAAGCACGTCATCGGTACGTTTCAGCTTGCGCACGCTGCGCGGGTACGCACTACGGCCTAGCGCCTACGCAGCGACTGCCGCCATGTATTTTTTTGGCAAGGCAAGTCACGCGGCCGCGCCGATTCTGATAAAAATTAATATTAATAGAAAAAAAGAAAGAAAAAAACGTGGAAACAACGACGTTATAACGCTATGTGCAAGTGCTATCTAGCGTCATAATTACCGGTACGTCGACATGGTCAAAGCCCGGTCGAAGATTTTTTTTGTTACCATGAACAAACGTTTTTCTGAAATTTCAACATTTACAACAACGAAAGCTTGCATGCCTGGATGGAGGAGCTGCTGGAGCTGCCCTATTTTCTCCATGATGTGATGACTCTTGTCGTCTTGACTTGATTATTGACTGTGTCAAGTTTTGATTATTTGATATAATAATTATATTGTTCATTGGAAACCATACTTACTTTCCCATTCGCTCAGCATGGATCCAGAAGAAATTTTAGCTCAGATCCGTGAAACCGAACGGACCATGGTTCGTGAGCTGATGAAACAAGTGGATATCAAGTCGAATGGAATTAGAGACGCCTCAGTGGCCATGTATGGCCGTACAGATATCATGGAGGGATACTGGAGGTTGTTGTCTGACTGTCAGTACGATATCGAAGAAGGGCTCCGTCTCTTGAAAGCTGCGTGTGATTGGCATGATGCTGTTCGTCCTAAAATGAAAGCATTGATTCCCAAAGTATATCGTGACCAGCCAGGGTTGTTTAGCCTGCGGCAGATTGGATTTGATGGAGACGGAAAGCCGATACTGTATCATTGCTTTGCGCAGGATCATGCATCACCGGGTGATTGGACAGTGGATGGTATCTTGACCCATGTTGTGCATATTGTGGAGAATGCCGGCCGATCAAGTCGAGACAAGGGGGGTGAAGAGAGGGGAATGACAATGAAGCTTGTCATTGACTGCTCAGGGTTCGTTGCAGCTCCGTTCAAAAGCTATGAGAATCTCACTAAGCTCCACCAGACACTGATGCTGCTGTATCCCAATGTTATCGACACAATTGCCGTGGTAAACTATGGACGAGAGGCAAGAATTGTTTGGAGCGGTATCTGTGATATCCTGGATGATTCGCTACAGCAGAAAGTGAAGTTCTGCCCGGAAAAAGAGCTGGACGAGAACTTGGGTCCGTTGTCGTATGATGTCCTAAATTGGCTGCAGATGGAAATTCACGCAAACAGCAAAGCTACGCTCGGGCCTGTGCAGCGCAACTTCTGGCTTCCTACGAAAGGTTCTTCTGATCACGATCCCCGTGGATCTAAGACGTTTGTGACGGAGCTCATTGATCGTAAATCTGATTCAGATGGTTTTGAAAATCACCCTGGTATTATGTATGGTTCCTAGCTTCACTTGGTATCCTGGATTCCGCCTTATGTAAATAACACCCAAGTAAATATGTCTCCACTTCAACCCTTTACAAATTATGATCCACCGGATTTTTCTACTTGCACATAGTTGTACAGATGATCTAATAAATTCTCTTCCCAAACTGATGTGAGACATTGTACATACAATATACTTCAAGTATTTTCTCTCCGCCTCTCTCTTTCTCTCTCTCTCTCTCTCTCTCTCTCTCTCTCTCTCTCTCTCTCTCTCTCTCTCTCTCTCTCTCTCTCTCTCTCTCTCTACCTCTCTACCTCTCTACCTCTCTCTCTCTGCTCGCGTGCTTTTTGTTGTCCCTAGCTGATTTTGTGCTTTGTGTTCAAGCTGTATCCTTATTATTCTATTACTCCATTTCTACTTTGATATTTGCTGCACTATCAACAACTCACATTCTCAATTCTCATCATTTGTTTGTATGCGCTGCTATCCTCCATTTTACGGAACTTGTGCAATATCGTATACATTTTCCAGTAAATTATCATTTGTTTGTATGCACTGCTACTTCAAGTACCATCCATTTTACTGTAACTTGTGCATTATCGCATCAATTCTGCGGTAAATTATATTTGCTTCATGTATCTTGAAATTAGTTGATTTGTTTTTCCATTTCTTAGAATTGATGAAACCTGAGCTTTGTGCGGCTGTCTCTGCACTGTAGTCTAGCACCGAAACCCCGGCTGCCCGAGCTTTTTTCCCAGTTTTCAAGGGACTGCAAATCGGCTGTCCGCATCTGCGTGTCGACCAGTCGATGCCCGATATCACAATACTCTTACCGGTAGTATACGTCACAAATGACAACGACTCACAAGTCTGAGTTCTGTCGTCTTGGTATGACAATTTCTCTGTACAATGCGCTGCATCTGCCGCTAGGGTTTATCGGGTGTTAGCGGCCGTCGTGAGTTCCCTTCGGGAACGGACACGATAATTTACTTACTTTTTAATGTAGATCTACCCGTCTTCCATGCCAGAGTCTGAGCTCTGCCAAGCATCAAACATGAAACCATGATTTTCACTCTTGACTACTTAGGCCTTGCAAGCTTGGTGGATGATCAGGATCATACCAGCAGAAAAAATACTGGCAGGATCTGGGATTTGGTACTTTTTCTGGTATGTTTTGTGCATGTAACTATTGTTTCAAACTTTGGATAAAGCTGAGTAGAGGAGGAGAGGTGTGGTTCCGAAGACCGAGACTGAGATAGTCCTACAACCCGGGTTTCATGAATCATGACTCATGTAGGTGGGCATGGCCTGCAGCTAGCTGGGCCATAGGCCATGCAAGGCATCAAGAGTTTATAATATAACCCACAAACTACATAACCCCTTCATGAACCATGTGCACGTGAAGTATTGTAGCTCTTGAATTGAACTTTGAACAGTTTGAAGGCATCAAGACCAGGGAGTAGTAAAATACACTGTATTTTACTACTCCCTGATCAAGACAAGACTGACAAAGCTTTAATAATTAGTCCACCATGGTCCACAGTCATACCGTACCGCGTACCGCGATACCGGTCGTCATCGATCATCATGGTCATTGCATTGCTCTTTTTGATTTTCGAGCATCAATTATTATTTTTCTCAGTTACCATGGCCACCCGTACCATGCATGTGACGCAAAAAAGGTACATGACTGTTTTTACTTCAACTACACAAAATAATTGTTGCATCATTCAGGAGATACAATGATTATGTAATTGATTTGAGAGAATTCTGTTCTTTCACCTGAACTTTGGGTTATGTCCGTCCGTCGTCCCGGGTCCGTGAATATTTGAAAAAGAGCTGTGCTGGAAACCCAGTGTGCAGAATAATTAGGTGGTGCAGTGGGGTTAGAGCCTCTGAAATGCTGTCAATTTGCAGGCGTCGTGGAATACAGCTGGCAAACAATTGGACAGCGCTTACTGTTTCCAGAAATTGCCACTGTCGCCGATTGACTAGTGCGCCGCTCACTACGAGTGGTGCTCTCATTAGGTCTGAGTATCAGTCACATTTGTCTGTCAGACGGTTTCTTTGCTCTAGCATGGAGCAGGGCCATGCACAAACCACGAATGTGGAGACATCCCAAGATTCAGCTGCACCAGCACAACAAGTAGAAGCAGCAGCAACAGCGACAGAGACAGTAGCCAATGTGCGTGAGGAAACAGAAGAGGTTGCGGAAGAGGATGATCTTGTTGGCTACACGAAACGTGGGGAGTTCACCTCACAGAACTATCGTGTGTCAATCAAGAATCTCCGTAAATTCCCAGGCTATCGGGTTAGTGTGCACGCATTTCCTGTGTTATAATCCATGGTGGATCTGAGAGATTCTTACTGTGACCAAGAGCATACGCATTTGTTAGATCATAAAGTATTCTTTCTAGACCAAAGAGTGGTATATTTGATAACATTTAATAACGATAGAAATTTTTACGATACTTCTCCAGACGTTTCGTTGTTCTGAACAACATCGTCAGTGTCTCACCTCACCTCATCTCACCACCATCACTCCCTATTAACCCGTGCCACCACCCAAAGCCCTCCATTCTTTATCCACTGACGATGTTGTTCAGAACAACGAAACGTCTGGAGAAGTATCGTAAAAATTTCTATCGTTATTAAATGTTATCAAATATACCACTCTTTGGTCTAGAAAGAATACTTTATGATATTACAATGAGAGTGAATAATCAACGGCTTGTCCACCAACTCTGTGCATTTGTTAGAAACAAATTCCAGATCTAATATTTGAATTTTGATCCGTATGTCAAACACGGCGGTTCCTATGTATAGATGTTGGAAGCCGGGAAAGTTGATTTGTTTCCATGAATTTGTGGATTCTAATCTCCCATCCCCGTTGGCATGATTCTGAGCGGGAGCTGCAATGAGGTAAGGACTTACATGTCGCTGTGATGGGCAGGAACACTGAGGCACCGAGGCTGCTTAGAGGCATACGGGCGGTATCTGCAGCGGTGCAGAATTACTAGAGAGAGAGAGAGTGAGCCTGATTGAGAGGGCTAAAACGGGTAAAGAGGAGTACAGTTTGAGGACTAAGCACCTCAGCCGGATTCGTAATCAAGCCGCTTCTGACACCATGTTGTGATCTCGAGCTCGTCAGTCACTGAATTGATTTTATTCCCGTAGCTATTCCCGTAGCTATGCAGAAGACGTTACTTCAGTAACGTCTGGCGCTAGCCTGGGTCCACACAGCTTTAATTTGGTGTTTGTTTGTGTGTTTGTGTCACGCCTGGCGCTATCCCGTATCTATCCCGTACCGTACCGTACCGTCAAACACAGCTGGCCATATACAGCTGGCCGCAATATTCAAATAGGGCTTTCAAACGCAAGATCATAACGTGAAGCAACTTAGAAGAATGAGTATGAATGCGAAGTGTATGGGGGAATGCATGTAGGGCAATAGTTCGGGTTCGAATCCCAGGTAATGCCTGAAAAAAATAGGAGAATTGAAAAATTATAACATCCCTTTTCTTTTTTTGCCGTCATCAAGGCGGTAGACGGTGTCGTATTACCCTCGACCGTACCTGTCCCGTACCTGTCCCGTACCTATCCCGTACCGTTCCGTACAATAAAAGACGGCGCGGCTGGCCACAATGCATATTCAAATAGGGCTTTCAAATACAAGATCATAACGTGAAGCAACTTGGAAGAATTAGTATGTAAGCGAAGTGTATGGGGGATGCATGCAGGGCGATAGTGCGGGTTCGAATCCCAGGTTATGTCCAAAAACAAAAAGTAGAAACTTAGAAGAATTTATAACATCCCTTTGCTTTTTTGTCTAGGTCATCAAGGCAAAAAAGCATAGCGTAGGGCCCTGAGCTTCCAAGCTCTCTCGTTGTATTTTTTAAAAGAAGATTCGCACTTAAAGCGTGTGAAGAAGAGTACATGTATAGCGTGATGGAGAACGCTGGATGGAGAGCTGCTGGATAGCTAGGTAGTGCATCTATAAGAGCACTAGGGGAAGGCTAGGCAGTATGTCTCTGGACATCAATAGATATTGTGAGAAAAGCCAGTCAATAGCACTAAAGAGTGAAGTCAACCCCGACGCAGTCAATTGCTGCGGACAATCATGACAGGCATGATACAGATTCACAACAGACACGACTTGAATCGCTGTCTGTTGTGCTACTGGCATACATGCAGTCTCACGTTACACTAAAGCCTAGTGTACGGAGTGAAATACCGGTGCTGGCGCTCTAATACTAAAAATGTTCACTTGCTTCAATGCAGTAAGTAGTGACGGGCAGTGCTTGGTCCCAACCTGCCCAGGCTAGGGGAGTTTTATATTTAAGGCCACACCGTTTTTTATCTGTGTTTCGCGTCCCCCGCGCGCATGTATTTCACAGCCGGAATTAAAAAAATAAAATAAAAAACGGAACAAATTTTTTAATAAAGCTATGAATAGGATGAAGGCCGCAGGCATCACGCAACTACGTTACTTGTTTGACATGTATTACTGTGTATTTTATAGGGCTCAAACGGTCACGGTTTTACCCCTAACGGTTAACTGCTAAGCTAACGGTCACGGTTTTACCCCTAACGGTTAACTGCTAAGCTAACGGTCGGTTTAATGGTTATAACCTATAAGCCACGGCAATCCTGCGGACTCTTTTTTAACCGTATATTTGACTATATTCTGAGGGGCGTGGAGCAATATTATCTCTCAACGGAAGTGTCCTTGCTTTTGTCTGTATGGTTCGGCTGAAGAGCGCGTGGTTGTGATGAGTTGGGAATGCAATGAATTGAAAATATGGCCGAAAGCTCTGTCGCAATATTTAGTTCTGAAGTAATACATGTCAAACAAGTAACGTAGTTGCGTGATGTCTGCGGCCTTCATCCTATTCATAGCTTTATTAAAATTATTATCTCCACGTAGATTATTTGGAACAAAAAATTTTTTTTTTGAAAACGGAATACAAATTTAATGCAAACCCAGAAAACCGGAAAATGTAACCCAAAAGGAAAAAAAACGGAACATGAATGTTACACGTAACTATTATGTTGGCATCAATTAAATATTTGTTCTATTTATCGCATGATTGTACTCAGCTCACACACATGTACATGTACATGTGTGTGTAATAAGCTGGGCCGCAAGTCACACAATCATCATGCCGCCTGTGTTTAGACCACAAGCATGGCAGAGGGGATACACTCATGTATTCATGTACATGTCAATGTACATGAACAGTGCCGTGTCGCTTCACTGTACACAAATGCAATGCACGTACACTGTTTTTTTTGGATGGCTTTTTTATTTTTTCGCCCTCCCTCATTGATTTCATCGAATAAGGGGCCGTCCGTTAATATCGAACTTTTTTCACCAAACGAATTATTTTAGTTTAGACTCAACCCCTCCCTCCCTCCCTCCCCCTCAGTGCGTAAAAAATGTTGACATACATGCATATACAACAGCCATGTACATGAATCAATGTTTTCTGAAACGAAATTGGTCAACCCCCTCCCACCCCATAACGAAATTATTTCGTTTTGTGAAAAAAGTTCGATATTTATGGACGACCCCTAAGGTGATGCGAAACATAGAAAAAAAAACGGCGTGGCCTAAGTGTGCAACACACACTTGGTGAACAGCAGTAAACTCAAGTCTGTCCAAATGCATGCATTCCATGTTGCAATTTTCGATTCTGGCCAAATTGGGGTTGTCGGCCGTTGGGTGGTTCAATATCCAATGGTGTCTTATTTGCAGGTTTTTTACCTCCCCCAGAGGTGACCCATGTGACCAGTTTTTGGCTGTAAGCAATAGATGATATGCCAAATAACGTGCAACTAGACTTGAGAGGGCATCGCACACAAGTTGCATACAAATGATACTACAATGTGTACATGGTAGGCCCTGAGCTCTGCAGGAATGCAAGTCACAGGTAACCGTATAACCGAACTTTGTATGCAACTACTCTGCAATGCCCTCTCAAGTCTAGTTGCACGTTATTTGGCATATCATCTATTACAGTGCGTGCGTGCATGTGTGTGCGTTTGTGTTTGCGCGCGCACGCGCGTGTGTGGGTGTGGGTGTGTGTGTTTGTCTCATATGGTGCAGTGGTATGTGCAGTGATTTCCAATCGAGAGGTTGGGGTTCGATTCCCGACGATTATGGTCACACATGTCTTTCTTCTCTTTCTCAGGCTTCTCCTGACTTTTCTTTCATTCTCATTACCAACAGCCAGTGCATGCCGGAGTATCTGGTGTGATGTGTGCGTGGGGAAAAAAATGAAACAGACCAAAAAGTAGGGATTCACTGGCCAGAAAAATGCCACTTCATAGCTGTGTTGTGTAGACCAGGTTGAATAGTGGCGGTCAATTCTTCAGCCTTGCAAGCTGTTGAATGGTGCAACCCCAGCACAAGTTGCTATGGTTTCTGCTGTAGCATCGTTATCATTGCCTCTGGCGATGGGCGTCAAATGGTGTGTGTGTGTGTGTGTGTGTGTGTGTGTGTGTGTGTGTGTGTGTGTGTGCGCGCGCGTGCACACGTGTGTGCATGGCGTTGCACATGTTTTGTGTGTGCCTGCGCAGGTGCTGGCTGAGTGGGTGAAGGAGAAAAGTGGTGTTGGCCCACACCGTCTCTATGTTGCAGGACACACGCGAACAAGACAGATCTATGTGACATTCAAGTGAGCTTTGCCTGTTATTGAAGCTGACTGGGAGTGAAATTTGTTTTCTTTCTGAACCCCTTTCCGCTCCGGAGACCTCACTTTCCAAACCTTGTCCCATGACTCTGTGATGGACAAGGGAGTACTCTACATCTATACTTATTGTACTATAAGTGTTCTCTTTTTTTATTAACATTGGATGTAATACCTGCATTGGTTGCTATGGTTCTATTTCCTCTTTTGACGTTGCTGCTGTTTCTGCTAGTGCTCCACACGGCGCGGATATTGTGAAATGAGATGTTTTCTTCTTCTTCTTCTTGTCTCCATGTGTGGCCGTGTGTGTGTGTGTGTGTGTGTGTGTGTGTGTGTGTGTGTGTGTGTGTGTGTGTGTGTGTGTGCGTGCATGCGTGTGTATTTTTCTTGCCTGATGTCTTTTGCAGGTCAGAGGAAGATCAAGCGGTGGGTCAAGTTTGTCACTGCCTTTCTACTATATTTTGTGGTGTCTTTCCATGAGCGGTGTATGATCTCTATGACTCATATTTATTATATAGATGAGCGTGTACGTGTACATGTACTTGTTGATTAGTGTTGAGCATGGCCTGTATGCTCAGCCACTGAGGTCCCACCATGTTGTGTGCGGACTTTGAAAGGAAATTGAAAGTTTGAAGCATAAATTATCAGACTTTATCCTTCTGGAGTGATGGATTTTTTATGGGTGTTTATTAGTGATGCAACAAATGGCGTTTTCTTCGAACGAATATTCTCCCGAATGTTGCTTCAACGAACAAACTAATACTTTTGAAGTATTCCATATTCTTCTGACGTGCCTCGATCACTTCATTCAATGAGACCCAACATTCATGTTGCATACAGATCATGTTGATAGTCACTACCCCCTGGTTAAAGAGCAGATTTTACCTAAAAACAGGCTTCACAGTTCTCAGAAACATAATTTCTACACCATCTTACTCAACACTGTTCAGGAGATCAAGGTTGGAGCTATAAAATAACACAGCCAAAAAGTGCGGATTTTTCGAATTTTCGAATGTTGCTGCCTGCATACAAATATTCTTTCTGGTGTCGGTATTCTAGAATATTCGAATAATTCGAACATTCCTTGCATCGTTCAGTGTCAAACGATGGAAACAATGTGCAATAAAATGGTGGAAGAAGGAAAACATGTATAGTGATGAAGACAATAATAATGATTCTAACAAGTTTTCGCACAGCGCTCGTCGTCGTGGTACTAAAGTACAGTGCAACACAGTTGAACTATTAGAGAAAACTAAAGAGATAATATCACCTACCGGTATAACAACAGCACTGAAATATACAAGTGTGAATTATAACATTGAAGGCGTGAGCAAACACAAATGCGTGTGCTAACAAATAAAAAAGGACGAAGTGCTGATACAAACAGCAGTACATTTCACATAGAACACTAACGGCCAAGCTTGGCCACACCAACCACCTTTATTACGTGAACAATTTCAATGCATCATTAGTGTTTATTGTGTTTTTGCCGTACCACTTTCTGTCCAGACGGCAATTGAGAAGCTGAACGGTTCTTTCTACCAAGGCGAGAAAATCCAGTGTGTCAAGGAGAAGCCCCAGGCAGATCCCTATCTGGAACGTAAAGGTCAGGCTTCTGTTTCTTTATCGATATCCTAGCCGGCTTTCACATCCTGCCCTTCTATAGATGTCTGTCAATATAACTGAAGTGCCACTTTCTGGCTTTGTTGGCTGGCGTGGTGCATTCTTGTTGGTCCCAAGCCTTTGACTGGTGATTTAACCAGAACCTGATGAAAATATGTCGTACTTTGACCAGGCCTAATTGAATAATGTTTATCTGTATATCAAAATCAATTGCTGGTGTATTTGTGAAAGATTGTAATGACTTGCTGGTGTCGGCGTTTACAGTAGTTATCTCTCCTCTGTCTCCGTGCAGGCAAGAGTTCTCGTGATGGTGACAAGAAGAACGCCAAGCGTGCAAGACATGCCGACCCCGAGTTTGAGCACCTCACACCAGAAGAACGGTAAGGGTAGTAGCATCAGTGCCTGCAATGCCATGTTGCCCCACCAGTGCCTGCAATGCCATGTTGCCCCACCAGTGCCATGTTGCCCCACCAGTGCCTGCAATGCCATGTTGCCCCACCAGTGCCTGCAATGCCATGTTGCCCCACCAGTGCCTGCAATGCCATGTTGCCCCACCAGTGCCTGCAATGCCATGTTGCCCCACCAGTGCCTGCAGTGCCATTTTTCCCCACCAGTGCCTGCAGTGCCATGTTGCCCCACCAGCTCTTGTTACTCGAGAAAGGAAAGCAGTAGACAGCGGAGGGGCAGGCGTGTGACTTACGTATCATGAGCAATGACTGTTGTTAATTAAGCACAGTATCCTGCTTTGACCAGTTGATTGTTCATGATGTGATACTCGTCGTGCTGGCATTTACTATAATTATGCATAATGTTTTGAGTTCTCTTTTTCTGGTTTTACCTGCAGTGTGGCAAGAGTCATTGAACCGTACAAGCCACTGCCATATGAAGAGCAGCTAAAGGTACTTGTAGTACAGAATTGTTCTTTACTCTCCGTGACTGACTAGGCTGGGCATGGCTTGCTCACTGGGGTTTGTGTAGCTTGCCAGTATGACATACTGTATATTCCGGAGTATAGTCCGCAACCAGATTTTTTTGTCACGAAATACAGACATCTAGCCTGTATTTCAGGGTTCATTTGACCATTGTAGTATAAGACTTTTTTTGGGTGACTTACGAGTGTTTACAAAGTGTGGCTTATACTCCGGAAAATGAGGTATATTACGCATGCCAGTTGTCATGTAGATCCTGTTGAGTACACGTTCTTAATGACGGAATGTTGTTGTTGTTGTTGTTGTTGTGATGCAGCGCAAGCAAGACTGGGTCTCGATAGTGCTGAAGTCTATTACAACACAGATGAGCAGAAACACATTAGTGGTAAGCGTGTACGCACGGACTGCTAGCAGATTAGCAGATGTGCAGTTTTCAGTATTGATACTGAAGTATAACTTTCATGGTCGGTGGAAGACACTGCTGCCCCTACTTGAAAAATTGTGTGTCGAAGCTGCTTGTTGGGTGTTTCTTCAGTTTATGCCTGTGAGATCTGGTTCTGCACACAACTTCCATGAAATATCAGCATGACTCTATGATGATCATGTCTTCAAACCACTGCTCCAGATGAGATCATTCATAAGCTTTGTGCTCAATGGTGTGTGTGTGTGTGTGTGTGTGTATTTTTGTGTGTGTGTATTTGTGTGTGTGTGTATTTGTGTGTGCGCGTGTGCATGCGTGCGTGTGTGTGGTGTGTGTGTGCGTGTGCGTGTACATGTGTGTGTGTGTGTGTCTATGTATTTGTGTGTTTGTCTGCTTGCCCGTCTGTGTTTATGTCTGCTACCCCGCTCGTTTCTTGTCCTCTGTGCGTGCGCAATCAATCTGCGGCATTAATCGGATGGCAACAGCCTCCATGGCTACCCAAGCAGAAGTAAGAGCTCTGGTCCAGACTTGGTCATAATCACACATGGATACTTGATAGTAGAAACATGCTTATGTGGGCACCTAGGGACCAGAGGGTATATTGGTCAGGTGCTAGGAAATACATGTACTGCTCAATGAAATCCAATCACGTCGCTCAAGTACGCGCCGGGCGATGCGCAGCCCTAGACCTGCGAACACTTGGCTGCGAAATGGTGCAAGGCGCAAAGTTGACTCATGCGACTGGATTTCATTTCATGCTTGGCTAGCTGAGCGCCATGGAAATGAAGGACTTTTCTAGATTTGACTGCGGCTAGCACTAGTACCTGCTTGCAAGCTGCCCGTTTGATGGAGGTGTCCGGATATGGGATGTCTACCCAAAAGAGGCTCTACTGCACGTTACTTAGTGGTGCTGGTTTGTATTCTAGGTTGGCTCATGCTAGTACCTCCCTAGATGAACCCACAGGAATGCAATTACGTACACACACATACACAACAATAGACAATACTATAGTGAAATGGCTACGCTGTGCCACTAACTGTTAAGGCAATTTGATAACAAAGCAGTCTGTCTGTGCTACCTAAACCATGATTTTCCCCGGCCCCGTGGGTCTTTACTACAAGGGTGTCCTGAATAGAGACGCGTAGCAAGCGAAAGGTTTCTGCTGAGTTGCTCGCACCTGCATGATTCGCCATGCGCACTGTTTTCTCTGATACCTGCACAGTGATGTTGATCTTGCCAGGCATTCAGGGTGCAGGACTGATAACGTTACTCTTGCTATATTTTACATCTAGTACCGGTGTACCATTGTCTGATGGCTTCCTTTGGATTGTAATGAGTAGCAGCTCTCTGCAACTGCTAACGCAATGACTTACAACGAACCAGTTCTGCACCGCCTTTGTCCTATTCTAGACATGGCTATGTTGCTAATTGTGTGGTCGTGTTACGTGTGTGTGTGCGTGCGTGCGTGCGTGTGTTTCCTCTCAGGGCTGCTAATGCTGGCATGATCTGTGAACTGCAGGACATCCTGCATTCGGTGAGTGTTCTGTGGAGGCAGTGCTTGGTGCTTGGTGCTGGTCTTATGCAATACAGAGGCTTCTAATAGCATGTGTGCTGTTACTATTTCAGCCAAGTATTGGTTACAAAAGTTAGTTGGCTTTGTGTTCCGAACGTGGTGGAAGCTCTCGGTGTACGTGTACTGTTCATCTGTTGTGCTTTGTATAGAAGCAAACATTGAACACTGAATGGACCCGGTGTTATGCTGTAGCAATGCATGTTCCTGATAATCTGGTTCTTTCCTACTAGTAGCTGGTAGAATATTACGGGGATAGCGGAAAGATCTGCATCTGTGTGCATGCTCCTTGCTTGTCTTATCACACGTAGCAAAAAGGTTGCCAAATTCATTACTCAGTCTACTCAGAACATTTTGCGTCAGCGTTTCAACCAAATCTCATCACTGCATACATGAAATTAAGTCAGCAAGCCAAACTATGCAACATGTACTAGAGAAGAAAGATGCGTAATGAGATCTAGCGCTAATGGCCAGTGATACGAACCTATAACTTATCATAAGGAAGTAAAAGGGAGAGAAAAAATGGCACCGGCTGGAGTACAACAGACACATCATTGGTTGGGTAGTCCCATCACATCGCCACTTCAGGCAGTCACCCGCACCACTGTGTACTGGAGGCGTTGTACATCTGCAGCTGGACACCAGTGCTATGTGCGCAGAAACAGCACATGAAGGCGCTGAAACTCTCTAGCAGAAGTGACAAAGTCATGTGACTACTGCTCCGGTGCTGGGTCTGTTGTACTCGCCGCCATTTCTCTATTTCTCATACTTCCTTTATATGTATAAATAGTGGTAGGTTCTTGTTACTCGCTGTTAGCACCACATCTCATTACTCACCTTTCCATTCTAGTATATATCGCATGGGTTGACTTGCTAACTCCATTCCCATGTATCCACTGATGAGAATGGGTAGAAAAGCTGTCGGAAATGTTCTGAGTTGACTGAAACCTTGTTCCGATGTGTGATCAAATTTCATCTCCTAAATCCTTGCTTATTGTTACAGCCTGTAAAGGAGGCCTACCGTATCAAGAATGAGTTCTCCATCGGTCCTGGTCCGGAGGCATCACCACAAGGTATGAGTAGTAGTCCACTGACTAGTAGGTGAACGACAGTGTGTGTATGTGTGTGTGTGTGTCTGTGTGTGTCTGTGTGTGTATGTGTGTGTGTGTGTGTGTGTGTGTGTATGTGTGTGTGTGTGTCTGTGTGTGTATGTGTGTGTGTGTGTGTGTGTGTGTGTGTGTGTATGTGTGTGTGTGTGTCTGTGTGTGTCTGTGTGTGTATGTGTGTGTGTGTGTGTGTGTGTATGTGTCTGTGTGTGTGTGTGTGTGTGTGTATGTGTGTGTGTGTGTGTGTGTGTGTGTGTGTGTGTGTGTGTGTGTGTGTGTGTGTGTGTGTATGTGTGTGTGTGTGTCTGTGTGTGTGTGTGTGTATGTGTGTGTGTGTGTGTGTGTGTGTGTGTGTGTGTGTGTCTGTGTGTGTATGTGTGTGTGTGTGTGTGTGTGTGTATGTGTCTGTGTGTGTGTGTGTGTGTGTGTGTATGTGTCTGTGTGTGTGTGTGTGTGTGTGTGTGTGTGTGTGTGTGTGTGTGTGTGTGTGTGTGTGTGTGTGTGTGTGTGTGTGTGTGTGTGTGTGTGTGTGTGTGTGTGTGTGCGTGCGTGCGTGCGTGCGTGCGTGCGTGCGTGCGTGCGTGCGTGCGTGCGTGCGTGCGTGCGCGCGCGTGTGTGTGTGTGTGCTTGTCGGTGACGCACAGCTAAGTCTCGCCTGTCACGCTGTTCTGTCACGGAATCGCAATTCGCTGATGATGCCGCCATATACACACAGTCAGTCGAGGACATGGGAGCTGCTGGCAGTTCCTTCGTTGCCACTGCAAGCAGGTTTGGCCTCACTGTAAGCTTCACCAAGACCAAAGCGATGGTAGTGAATGCCCCGTCGCCACCATCCGGCCTTTTAGAGTTGCCTGAGGGTAGTATTGAGCTGGTGCCTGATTTTACGTATCTCGGCAGTTGTATTTCTTCGGATGGCCAGATGACTGCTGAGATCTCGGCTCGCTTGGCGAAAGCTTCCCGAGCATTTTGCACATTGTGCTCATCTGTCTTTTCCAGTCGTGATCTCTCCGTCAAGACGAAGGTGCACGTATATTCGGCCGTCGTCTTGTCGACGCTGCTGTATGGTTGTGAGACCTGGGCAATTAAGGCCGTGGATGTTCGTCGGCTTGCAGCCTTTCATCACCGCTGTGTTCGTTTTCTGCTGGATATTCGCAGAGTAACACAATGGCAGGAGCACATCTCCAACAACACTCTCCTTGAACGAGCCAAGGTACAGCCGATCGAGGAGGCACTGAAAACGCGTCGACTCCGCTGGTTAGGCCATGTTGCTCGAATGGATGACTCCCGTATGCCAAAGTGTATCCTCTTCGGCGAACTGGACAAGACCCGGCCACGTCATGGGCCCCGGAAACGGTGGCGGGACATCCGACATGAAGGACCGCCAGATAGCGGACTGGTACGACCTCGCCCAGGATCGCAGAGAATGGAGATCAGCATGCAGCACCATTCCTCCGACCGAGCCCGTCACCTTAGACTTCGTTTGCACTTGTGGAAAGCGGTATCGCCGTCGCCAGGACTTGACTCGCCACGCCCGATTCTGCTCGTGACTTGAACACTGTTGGTCCCTTCGGGACCTGCTATCATCTCCGGATGGGCATATTGTATTGTATTGTGTGTGTGTGTGTGCGTGCATGCACGCGTCTGTGTGTGTGTGTGTGTGTGTGTGTGTGTGTGTGTGTGAGAGAGAGAGAGAGAGAGAGAGAGAGAGTTCTGGTAATTTGAGTAACGCACACTGGAAAATATGCTTTGTTCAAGACACCTCCATCAGCACCGAGTTCTTTTGCATAGCCTGGTTTCTCTTCAGCAAGGGTTGGAAATGAAGATAATTTTGCGTGTCATCTGTAGTCGTGCTGCTTGACGTTGCAATGCTTGCCTGCTCGTTGGTTGTGTGTGCGTGTATATCCCACCGGGGTGTGCCCACAGCAGCTGACTTGATGCTGGGCAAGTGGTGATGTTAGAGCATGCATGGCGGTGATGAGTGCAAGGCTTTGCCTGATCCATCCTTGCTCAACCCTGTGTACCGTACTGGTCTGTGTTGTTCGTACTCTTTCTGAATCATAAGGATTAATGTCAAGTTAGTTCATACTGTGCTTGGCTGCATGCACTCACATTGTTTTGCTGTTGTGCTTCATGCCACCGAAACCTCTCCTTCCTTGTTTGTCTGTACTGTTTGCTCTTTTACTCTAGTCACTGTTGGCTTCCGTCTTGGCGCGTACAAAGGTGAGTGCGTGGCCGCTGGGAGATGCCTCCAGGGCGGCCCTGTAGGGCAGGAAGACACTGTGATGACTTCAGCTTTCTCTGTCATGTACTGTCGTGGACATTGAGATGCGATGGGATGACCGGGGTCGGCGTCCTCTACTGCTTTTAGCGCTTATATGCACTGTAGTTCACGTACACACATTGTAAAAGGAACCAGCAGTGCTCACGGCTGCAAGGCCAGAGGCCAGCAGTGCTCACGGCTTCAAGGCCAGCACGTCGTGGCCGCTTGTACACTCTAACGGAAACATGTACAGTATATTGTGGAAAATACAGTACAGTAGAACCTGTCAAGGTGACTGCTCGGATAAAGTGACCACCTGTCCAAGAGGACCACTACAACCAGGACCAAGGGATGTTATTTACAGTCAAATGACCCTGGATAAGGAGACCACCTGTACACGGGGATCACATTTTGAAGGTTCCTTGAGTGGTTGCCTTACACAGGTTTCACTGCACATGTTGTGACGGTGCTGGTCCCCATCATGGGTACCTGTCTTACTCTATTGACGTTTCTCTTGCTTTCTTTTGCTTTCTCTTTCTCTTCAGAGGGATCAATGACCATTGTCAGTCCCGAAAAATGCACAATTGTTCCTGCTATAGCACGAGATGTAGCCACGGTGAGTTGAGGATTTTAGGTGTGTGTATGTGTATGTGTATACGCGTGCGTGCGTATGTGTGTGCGCGTGTGTGCGTATTGTGTGTGTGTGTATTGTGTGTATTGTGTGTATTGTGTGTGTGTATTGTGTGTATTGTGTGTGTGTGTATGTGTGTGTGTATGTGTTGGTCCCATTGGGAATAGGTTACACATGAGGAGTAATGTTGTTACCGGCTATGCTGTAGTAGATGTACACGTAGTGTCCTTAGCAGTATGTCCAGTCAAATTCAGGAATATATTGCTGTTAAATTCACGGTTCGCGTGAGACTCGGTTAGATTCCGAGTTTTCCGCATCCGTAGGAACACCACCGCCCTTCAAGGATCAAGGCGCAGATGCAGCTCCTAAAGCGGTGGGAGGTGAGTAGATCAGCTCACCAGCCTGTGGTCAAAGACCGAAAATCCCATTCACTGCATCCACTGTTCTTTTAATCATGAGGTATATACCGGTATGTTTATGCGTGTTGTTGCGTTTACAGACTTTCCAAGGATATGTGCGTCAGGCGGAGATGCTGTACTTCGACGAATGCACTCATCTTGGGTGAGTTGTTGCGCACCCAGTCTTGTTTGCCCGTGTCAAAATCAAGGACTGGAACTTGGTACCTGCATACTGGTACTCAACTGTTCCTATCGTGGCAATTTGTTTTGTTGTGTGGGTGTGAGGGAAGCAGAGAGAGAGAGAGAGAGAGAGAGAGAGAGAGAGAGAGAGAGAGAGAGAGAGAGAGAGAGAGAGAGAGAGAGAGAGAGAGAGAGGGGGGGGGGGGGGGTAGGTACCGTAAAGTACCGCGCGAGCGCCCCACCAACTCGTCCTTTCGTGGTCGTGCTGTGGAGGTGGTCTGTAGGTCATACAACACATACCTTGTACACACATTGCACACTTTGAAGTCAATTCGTACGCAGTCTACTGTAAAAGCCGTTATTCTAACGAGGCGCATATATAACGATTTCCCAAAATTGGCTGGTTTACGTGTACCAAAGGTAACGATTCTCGCGTATTCTCAACGCTCAATAGAACAGTATGTATCGATGTCTGGATAACAATTTCTATTCTAATGACAGATTTCTCCTCGTTAACTCGTTAGAATTAGCACTTTGTTATAATGTATGGCTTTTACTTATCTGCGGACAGCATGCTGTTTCGTTCTTTGTGAACTCATCAGCGCAGCACAGAGGAAATGAGGCCGAACCTGATAGCAATGAAAGTAAAATTTCCAAAGCCAGATTTAAATCAGACCCGAACGTACCTTGCCAGAGTGCTCAAACTGACAAGTCAATGAGCTCTGCGTAATGCAAACAGCAAAGGCACAACCTCACATGAGAGTGCTCAACTACTACAAGAGCAGGAGCGAAAATACTCAATCTGCGGACAGCATGCTGTTTCGTTCTTTGTGAACTCATCAGCGCAGCACAGAGGAAATGAGGCCGAACCTGATAGCAATGAAAGTAAAATTTCCAAAGCCAGATTTAAATGAGGCCCGAACGTACCTTGCCATATGGCTTTTACAGTACCTTGGAACTCCACACAAGGACACGCTAAGTGTGACCTGTAGCACTACAGTTCTCCCACCGTACTAACTTCAGTTGCACTCTGCCATACAATTTTACTTTCCTTGGTTATAACTAAATATAAAATCAAGGCGGGCCGCTCTCGCGGTACTTTACGATACTAGTACAACAGTACTACAGGTAGACGTTGAAGTCATGTTGAATATTAGATCATTGCAGGCGACCAGTATAGCTGGTCATGTACTACTAGTATCTCGCAGTTCGATATTGATATGATTGTGTGGGTGTTATTTTGTTGTTTGTGTTGGTGTACGTTGGCAGCTACTGGCAGACACTGACTGTGCGCACCCCATTAGCCGGTGGCTGTATGGCTGTGGTTGGAATGCATCCGCAGAAGCTTACCCAGGTAAGAACTGCCACCTGCAATGTCACGCTGGTCCTTTATCTCTCTGCAGGCAAACTGGGATGGTGTAATACGATGACTGAAAAACAGATTGCACTAGGTTCAAGTCCTGCTTGCAAGCGGAAGGGTTGTTCTGACCATAGTGCGAGCCACAGTCAACCCTGTAACTTCGACCGTACGGATATATTTATAAGTCGGTTACTCGTGACCTGGTAGGAGGGTCGCATGATGGATACAGCTCATTTGATTATCCATCATTGACAACTTGAGTGGGTCTGGTTAACCCAAACTTGCTGCTGTAAGAACTTCAACTGCACCTTGATCCCTGAGGGTAGTGGAATTTCTGCTCGTGCTGTAAAGTGTAAAGTCACTCTGGCCAACTCTTACTTGCGCTGTGACTTTTATTTCCTTTCCTACAGGCTGAAGTGGAAACAGAAGTTGAGCTGCTGCGCAAGTATTTTGTTGATGGTCCTGGAAAAGACAGTGGAATTACATCAATGTACATACATTTTGACATTACCAGGTAGGTTTAACCACAGCCCGTGGTGTGTGTTTGTGTGTGTGTGTGTCTGTCTGTGTCTGTCTGTCTGTGTGCATGCATGTGCATGTGTCTGAGTGCATGTATGTGCGTCTGTGTGTGTGTGTGTGTGTGTGTGTGTGTGTGTGTGTGTGTGTGTGTGTGTGTGTGTGTGTGTGTGTGTGTGTGTGTGTGTGTGTGTGTGTGTGTGTCTCTGTGTTTGTCCCATACTGCACAGTGGTATATGTAGTTTCCAATCATGAGATCACGGGTTTTAAGAATGAAATGACACTTAACAGTGAAGCGTTCCATGCTACAAGTCCCTGTCGACGTGTGGTAGTAGGGTGCACTCTCCCCTTTTCGGCGGAGGTGCACAAATTTGATGGGACTAAAAGATTAACGGAGCGTTGCAGCTTTCTTAGACCAACACCTTTTGACGCAGAGGTTAGAAGATTGCTAGTACACACAGTGACATTTTGATTTTAGGATATGCGTGTACTTTAAAAGCCTTGCAACCTGTTGGATGGTGCAATTCTAACTCATGCCGGTATGGGCTCTTTTGTAGCATTGCTAATCATTGCCTGTGGTGATGGGTACTAGTGGCTAAGGTATGTGTCGTTGTGGGTGTCCTGACCCAGCAGACTGTTGGGATTGTGTTTCCACTTCTATTTTCTCCGTCTGATTCTTCTACCAGATACCGCAAAACGACATCACTAAGGGACTATTACCACGTGTTTGGAGACATGGTAAGTTGTTTGACATCTACACCGCCTTGTTGCTGTGCTCTATCTGTGCCAGTGCATGTCTTTGTGACTGCACAACGTCAGTATTGCATTGTGCCCTGCACCATTTAGCAACCCAGTGTTCGCAGGTCTAGGCCTGTACAGCGCTCAGAGTGGCATTCGCTAGCTTGATCGGATTTCGTTGAGCAGCACTGTAAAAGAACGAGAACATCCCTGTAGATGAAAAGCGTGTACTCTGTCTCCCTCCATGAGTAGTTGTCCTATGTAATGCATACCAAGTTTTGGCAGTGCCTCTTTTTCCTGACCACTGAGTCTACAGTCCATTCACAAAAAGATGGGCCCTGGCTCTGGCGAGCTCCCGTATTTGGCGAATTTTCAAGATTTTATCGTACACAGTGCAGTGCTGCGAAGTTTGAAATTTGAAAAAGGGTCCAAAAAGGGTACCTGAACTGGGGTTCGAACCGTACAATGCACTGTTGCAGGCAGGATCAAACGGCCTGGATTCTAATGGTCTTTCCCAATTCAGTGCTCTTGGGGCAAAACCTGGCCGAAATACTATTCTTGTTACGGCTTGCATTTTGGAGAAATAGACTTTAGAAACATAATTGGAAGAGGATTCCATAGGGGATTGCAGAAAAAAATTCTAAAAAAACTCAACGTTTGACCCATTTATGGCCAAAAGCTAGAAGTCCATCTTTTTCTGAATGGACTGTAAGCTCTCTCTCTCTCTCTCTCTCTCTCTCTCTCTCTCTCTCTCTCTCTCTCTCTCTCTCTCTCTCTCTCTCTCTCTCTCTCTCTCTCTCTCTCTCTCTCTCTCTCTCTCTCTCTCTCTCTCTCTCTCTCTCTCTCTCTCTCTCTCTCTCTCTCTCTCTCTCTCTCTCTCTCTCTCTCTCTCTCTCTCTCTCTCTCTCTCTCTCTCTCTCTCTCTCTCTCTCAGATTATATTGTGTGTATTCGCTTGGTCTTGTGCTTTTGTGCTTGTAGCATCTACATGAGAAATTGCTTGGCCTGACGTACAGAATATCGGCCGATGCCTTCTTCCAAGGTAATTACATGTATGCTGGCACTTGTTAACTGGCTATCGTCATTGCTGCCCTGTGCATGTACGTGTATGATAAAGCAGAGCCACGTTCAGTGGATAGCCACGTTCATTGCATAGCCACATTCAGTGCATAGCCGCGTTCACCGCATAGCGACGTGCTCACACTCATAGTGCCAGAGCCACTCAGAGCCATAGAGCAACTGTTTTATCTGAGGTCAGATTTCCCTTTTCACCACTCACTGCAGGACCATATCAACCTGCATATACGGGATTGCAGAGTTTTGCCCTCCCTCTGACCAGATCGGTTTCATTGGATTATTCTGCTGGAAAGATTCCGATTCTTGCCACATAGTTAGTTTCCACGGCAAGTTGCAATGGGAGTACCCAATTCTCTTCTTATACTGTCTGTTTGTACCTCGGTGTTTGTGTCTGTCTGTGTGTCTGGGTCCGTGTGTGTCTGTGTGTGTGTATCTATGTGTGTCTGTGTGTGTGTCTGTCTGTGTGTTTGTGTGTGTGTGTCTGTGTGTGTCTGTGTGTGTGCATGCGCATGCGCATGTGTGTGTCTGTGTGTGTCTGTGTGTGTGCATGCGCATGCGCATGTGTGTGTCTGTGTGTGTGTGTGTGTGTGTGCATGCGCATGCGCATGTCTGTGTCTATTTGTGTGTCTGCATAGTAAACACCCTTGCCACTGAACGTCTGTACACATTAATCTGTGACTGGTGCGATGTCAACGAGGACTCTATTGTCTTGGGTAAGCTCCTATGGACCTTACCTGGACATGCACTGAAATTTCACACTTTACCCACTGCACTGAACAAGTCCACAATGACCTTGTAATCAATTTCACAGACACTGCTGTTACCATAATATTAATATGCTGTCATGGGATCTCATGTGTATTTGCTCCCGTGCACATGGTATTGTGCTCTTGATGTCTGTCCACCTGGTCCACTGGGCAAGCTCCACAGCTGTAGCTCATAATAAAGACATAATTATAATATTTTATCCCGCAGAAGTCTCCCCTATCCTGGATATGTTCAAGTCTACCATCCTGGTTATGTGTATGGGCTTTTTCTAGACCTGTGCGGTCTGCAGGGCTTTTCAACATGGGAGGTAGTGTGTTTGTTGTCTATGTTCATGCTGACGTGTGGATGCATCTGTTGTCGTCTTGTGCTGCGCGTGTGGGCCCGGTGCACCTCGTGTGCATGCATGTGTGTGTGTGTGTGTGTGTGTGTGTGTGTGTGTGTGTGTGCGTGTGCGCATATGTATTGACTATCACAGACATATGCTGTGGTACTGGTACGATTGCCTTGGCACTGGCAAAGGTAAATACTTGCTCGGCATCACGACGACAATGGCATGACTGTATTCAATATGGCCATCATTGTTGCATAGCCACTCATCTCTGGTCAATGTCGATGATGCACTAACGGTGCATTGCTGTCCACCGTGTTGCATTGGATCTCCAGGAGTCTCTACTTCTTTTTGACGTGCAGTGCACAATGTCAGACAATGTTGTGATGGTATCCGTATACATTTTCCGTATGAAATGGTTGCTTTCAAGAGAGCTTTGCCGTAGTTTGGATGCTTTGCAGATCTAAAACAGTGAACTGAACACTCATTTCCTTCTGCGGGTTTGTACGCACTGTGTAGCCCTTTGTACACACTTGATCATTGCCTATTGCATTTACTATTGTTGTTTTTGTTGTTGTTGTTGTTGTTGTTGTTGTTGTTGTTGTTGTGTGTGTGTGTGTGTGTGTGTGTGTGTGTGTGTGTGTGTGTGTGTGTGTGTGTGTGTGTGTGTGTGTGTGTGTGTGTGTGTGTGTGCGTGTGTGTGTGCGTGCATGGGTGTGTGTGTGTGTGTGTGTGTGTGTGTGCGTGCGCGCGTGTGTGTGTATCTGCTTTTGAATACAGAGAGTGAAGAAAGTGATTGGCGTGGAGATGTGCGAACAAGCCGTGGAGGACGCCAAGCATAATGCGGAACTGAATGGTAGGTGTGGCTGCCAGACAGGCTACCTGGCTGCCTGCCTGCCTGGCTGACTAGCTGATTGATTGGCTGATTGATTGGCTGATTGATTGGCTGATTGATTGGCTGATTGATTGGCTGATTGATTGGCTGATTACCTGGCTACATGTACATGACTGTAGTCATCTGGAAGCTGTTAGCAGGGTGCGTAGCACCCTTGAAAACCCTTGAAAACCCTGAAAGTTTTTCTTCCCCCGGGAATTCCCTGAAATCCCCTCAAATTTTGTATTTTATAGAAAATGTTCCTTGAATCCCCTGAAATTTGTTTTCCAGATCACGCGACCTGGTAGACCTGTACTCAGCGACTGACTGTAGATCTACATGATATGCATAGATCTACGAGTGCCAGTCCGGTCACCTGTACTGGTCATGTGAGTCGACGGCCTCAGCGGCCAGCGCAGCTCGCGTAGATAGTTTATGGTATTTTTACATTTGAGCCTTGATCGCCATGACTATCGACTGCGGTACGACGGTTCCAGACTGTAGCGAAACTGGAATCCGCCACTGCAACTGCTTTTCCGTTTTATTTGTTTGTTTTGGCCTTCAACAAGACAAAGTGTCTTCAGTTTTTTTGGAATGCCGAAGAAGTTTTACAGAGTTGTACTTGTTCTCCATGCCAAAAGGCAAGTGTGTTTTCAACGATCGCTGGTTGTCTTTCGACCCGTACAAAGACTGCCTAGTTCGCTAAGAACTTAGCGATGGAGAAGCGTGATGGTGACGGTGGCTCTACTACTTGTAGTATTGATGATCAAATCTTCGATTGTTGACATTTTGAATCAGTGAACCTCTGCGTGGCTACGGATATGTGGTGTCTAGCGACTGTATGACATCTGTGAATACCCTTGAAATGCCCCTGGAAATCCCCTGAAATTTTGTGTATATGTTGTGCTACGAACCCTGTGTTAGATAGAGACCGACTGTGGCAATTGACAGGAAATACGGCCACAGCAAGAGTTAGACTTATGGAACAGTAGTCCAGAAATGTTAATACACCGTGCCAATCTTGGAAGTGTGCCGGAAGAGATCAAGCAACCTTTTGTTTGTCTTGCAGTTTCATCGCATCGTGCATCGTTCGAATATTTTTTACATTGTGTGTCTATGTGTGTACGTGTGTGTATATGTGTGTGTATGCACATGTGCATGCGTGTGTGCGTGTGTGCGTACTTGTATCTGTCTGTCTGTGTGCATGCATGTGTGTGTATGTGGATGTGTGTGTGGGTGCGTGCGTGTGTGTGTGGGTGTGTGGGTGTGTGCATTTGTGTGCATTTGTGTGCATTTGTGTGTGTGTGTGTGTGTGTGTGTGTGTGTGTGTGTGTGTGTGTGTGTGCATGTGTGTGTGTGTGTGTGTGTGTGTGTGTGTGTGTGTGTGTGTGCGTGCGTGTGTGCATGTGTGTGTGTGTGTGCGTGTGTCTGTGTCTGTCTGTGTCTGTGTGTACGTGTGTGTGTGTGTACGTGTGTGTACATGATGTTTATGTGCATGCTGGCAGGCATCACCAATGCTGAGTTTATCTGTGGCAAAGCAGAATTTGTCATGGACGGGCTGATGAAACGATACGGCCGCAACCCCAACCTGGTCGCCGTTGTTGATCCACCACGAGCTGGCTTGCGTAAGTGTTTCATTTGAAAGTGTCACATTTCAATTGCATTGTACTCTTTAACTTCATCTACGGAGACTCCTTCGATTTGGGCTATAAAGGCCTGTGGAGAATCCGTAAATACAAATACAATCTATAAGTGTGAACACGAGCAGTATCGTAGATAGATTACTGCACTCTTGGTATGGTAGGAAGACTGCAGTATTGAAGTTCAACTGACGGAATGACAGTTTGCACTGCAAGCAAGTGCAGGACAAACAATCAAAAAGCTACTGTTGCACGCTAGTCACTACAGGCACGGGGCACTTGTTGACATGTCGCAACTTGCACTCAATAGACACCCTTAGCAAAAAACGTCATGTTGTAACGGTATTACTGTAAGGGGGAAAATACCGTGATTTGGGTTCGACCTTTAGCAAGATGCACGCTATGTTTAGTACGCTGTTGCCACGAGAATAGCTTTTATTTCGCGCAGTACAAATTTTATGTCACCATATACGCGGTACAAGGTGAAATGCGTACGGACTATGTAATATTTGGCCAAAACACGTACCGTTGGTCACAACGATAAATCAGCCCCCATAACGTTTTTACGCTGCAGCTTCAACGCTATTTGGGTGATCAAGGTACGAGTACCGTAAAAAAAATAGCGTTACCATTGTTTGCTAAGGGTGTTAATACTAGTGGTGCACAGTAACAGTATCGATAGTGTCAGTAGTCTGCACTTACGCACTTTCCAGGCATGCAATGATCGTGCGTAGACGCATACCACTAGCGATCTCTTATCGAGCACAATCGCTAGCGATAACCCTAGCTGACGGACGAGTGCTCGAGTACTCAATACGATTCTTTGACATACCGGGCAGATCTTAATTTGCTTGTCTGTGTGTGCACATGTGTGTGTGTGTGTGTACGTGTGTGTGTGTACGTACATGCGTGTGTGCATGTGTGTGTATACGTGTGCACGTATGTTTGTGTTCACATGCACACAACCGGACGTATCTAGATCCGGATGTGTGCCAGCTCATTCGCAAGACCTCTGCCCTGAAACGTCTTGTCTTCGTCGCCTGCAACCTCAAGCAATCTAAGGACAACATCTTGTAGTAAGTTCTTGATCATGCTGATGTTGACAATGATATTGATATTGGCAAGAGTACATACCCCCCCCCCCCCCCCCCCCAAGAGTGTGCAACTGCCTGCACAACCTATATACAGTGCTGCCACAGCAGAACTTCACATCGCATATTGTAAACATGGTTCAAAAGGTTACGCTGGCAAACAGTGCAAAGTGACCACAAGAGAGTTGAACCCAAAGCTGTATCTATCATACACGGGGTGCAAAGCATGTGTACGGGTTCATCACGTGATGTGAAGCTCTGCCCTTGCAGACCCCAGTAGCTGGAGTTGCACACTCTTGCCATCTTGGGGTTTATGTACTCTTGATATTGGTGTGGAGTGTTCGCACAGTAAACGCAGTGGTGGTTTGTACTAATTAATAAATTGTAGTGCATTTTGCATTTTGAACTTTTCGACACCTGAACGTACATGAAGAGTCTTACCGTATGTCAGCGCCTTGAAAGCCATGGCCTTATATTCGAAACACCGCTGCTTTCCTAGATGTTTTATGTGCAAAATGACTCACCCACTACGCCATGCCTTTTAAAAGTCAAAGTCCACACAGAAATTTCAATCTAAATCCACTTGTTCACCCTTCCTGCTGGGCTGTAAGTTTGTCAGCATAGTACTTATTCCTTCATTTTTACAAAACGTACTTCAAACGTCATTTCATTTATGAAGCCCATGGCTTTATAACTGAGACTGGCTTTATAATCGAATATACCGCCATGGCTTTGAAGGTGCGCACATACGGTATAAGCCATATGCAAGTTGTACAGATGCACGAAATCCCGTAGAATCCCGTAGACCCGGTTGGGTGTTGAATTTGCAGGACCCTATTGTGTTTACTGCTATTTCCACTAAGAAATGGGCCCTGAAGGCATTTCATAAGAAGAAGAAAAATCCTGACAAATATCTAGCTAGTCATTAGTTCTAACCAAAGTGAAGAAGCTGGAAAAGCGATTGTTTACCATTCATTATGAGGCTAAAATTGGTCAAATGCGCATGCATAGCACACAATGAACACCCAACTGGGTCTGTGCACACCTACGGTCCTAGTACAGAACTCTGTACATCTGTACAGCGTGCATAAGGTCTGTTAGCGGAGGCCTGCATGACTTGTACAGTATGGGGCACTATAGGCCGATCACCCTCACAGCTCGGATCGCACGACTATCTTCAGCGGTCCATAGTTCTGAAAGTATCCTTGCGGTGCTGCATGCTTACTGTACTCGCTTTGCACAATGCAAGCATCTTCTGATGTGTGGTGGAAGTCAAGTTAGTCAGCACTTTGCTTCAAGCAAATGCCTAGGCCGAAAATAGCCGAAAATAAATATGCTCCGAATGTATTTGTTGACTCTACAGTGCAGTGTATAATGCGTTGCTTGTTCTGCTTGTCCATGTACACAGCCTATGCAAACATCCCAGCAGGGCGATCACTACAATGGGCTTCAGGCCACTCAAGGCTGTCACCGTGGACATGTTTCCGCACACACCGCACTGCGAGGTCGCCATGCTCCTGGAGAGGGTACCATCTCCCAGGTAAGCTGGAGTTGCACTGGCCATGACCGTCACCCATGACTGTCAATACTGTTTTAATTAATTATTAGTGATGTCATCATCATCATTAACCCATTCGGGTTGCTGTGGCAACAATGCCGCGCCATTCCGTCCTTGTCTAGTGATGTAACCCTAACATGTACTTTGAAGTGTCATGTTTGCCGTTTGAGTATATCTTAGCACCATCATGCGACAGATGCAGTGATCTTCAAACCTTCAAATTTGAATTTTCTGTTCAAGTAATGTTGGGAGCACTTTTTAGATTGAATAAATTCGAATAATTGAATACTGTATTTCCTCTATCCTAAGTCGCAACCCATTTTCAGGTCTGAGCCAAATTGTTTCGATACATTCACATAAGTAGAAAGTCACACTCAATTGTAAGTCTCTTTGCCCTTGAAGTTCAGTGTAAAAAGGTGCGACTTACATTCGGGAAATACGGTATTTGAATGTTTGTTAGTTGTTACATTCCTAATACGGGTACTGTAGATGTCTTCACCTTTCAATCTACATGTAGGTGTTCATGTTTTCTAGTACTTCAAAGTAGGCTAGTAGAAGTCAGAAAGCTGTGGGGTTTTAGTGTGCGGGTTGCCAAAAGCAGAGCTGTTTTCAACAACATGGCAAAGACATAGGATATACAGACTGCGAATCAAGGACCTGCCGAAGTCGGTAGATCTGCATTCTTGCACTTCCATCCACCGCAGACAACTTTCCTTCAGCTATGCTATAGAGGCTCTTTGCTTACACCATCAGTTGAACTGCTTCGTGTGCAGTGTGAAAGCTGCAGCACTGGCTCATCTCATTCAATGCTGTATACGTAGCGCGAATCCACAGGCTGTCCACCACTGCCTCTTTTGCAATTTTGCATAACCTCTATATAACTGTATGAAAGACTATGGTATGGGCCAGATCAATCAAAAACTGCCTCCACTAGTCATGATGTTGTTCACTGCAACTGTTACATTTCTGTACCCGTATACTTGCTTCAGACTCGCCGACTTCAAGACTGTGGGGGAGCCAACGACAGCCGACACAACAGCTGACGCAACGCAGCAGCCAAACCAAGCTGAAGCTCAGGCAGAGTAAGGCAACCGCGCTTCTGTGCACCATTGGAGCAGCTCTGACTGGACGATTGTCGCACTGCTTGAGCATGCTGCAGAGGTAGTGCTGTTGAGCAGCTGGCCGTCAAGGTCATGTGCTAAACACGAGGGTGTTTCAGCAGCCATTCTGAAGTGTGCATTCAATGGTGATCAGGATTACGCCCTAAGGCAGCCCTGGAGCTGCTCCCGTTCTCCCCTTTGAGTGTACTGTGAATCCCCTTGGAGCGTACTGTGATGCGACAAATTGAATTTTGTCACACAAACCACATCACATTGTGGATCGTGCAGCTCTCTGATATTCATTGTGCCTTTTTTGACTTGAATTGATAGTATTGGTGTGATGAACTATCATTTTAGTTTCAGGTACACTTGAAACCTTCCGATATTTTCATGGAGAGAGAGAGACAGAGAAAAAACTATTAAGAATGCTTGTATCTTGGTTAAAAAGATCAAGGCAAAAAACTATAATTATATTATAATTAGTACATATAAAAGTTGGCCAAATTTGTAATGCTTGACTTGGTAAATCAAGCAAAAATATTGCTAAAAATGTTACAATTAAAATTGTGGTTGCAATGAATACAAACCTAGCCAGCAAATTCATTTTACTGAAAAGATATATAGGCCAATGCTCACTGTGGCGATTATCATTAAATTACGATTTTATCGCCATTGTTCAGGAAAGTCAAGTGCAATATAGTGAAGTAATCAAACCCTTTTCCCTAAGACTACCACGACCCAGCTGAATATGCCAGGGGAACGGACTATGAATTTTACTTTGAAATGCTAAAAATGCTGTTACTGTGATGGGTGCAAGAAATCAACTTGAAGCATTGCAACGGCGCAAACTCCCTAATACTTAGTAAACTCCAATTTTAACTTATAAGCTCATTTTTATGCAGAGGAGCATGAGCTTGTGACCGGTACATCTCAAAGAGTCAAGAAAGACACTGCTGCTGCCGCTGGTGTGTATCAAGGCATAGAATTCTCTACTGTCAACTTGGATCGAATGAAAACAGAGTCGATTGACTCGCCAGAAATGTTTCCTACACCCTAATACATAAAAGACAGAATAGCGGTTACTCACATCGGGAAGACCGAATCCTTCAAAATAATTACACCTGTGAGAAGGTCCTGACCATGTTCGGCTATGCTATCTAGTATCTAGCCAGACTTCTTCATTCGTTTTTGGCGCGCTCGCACTCGATCCGCTATCAACTGCCGATGGTTGTCACGCGAGCGCTTGGCGTGTCGTCTTGCACGATCTTCCAGCTGCCGTCCCTGAAGGTTTTGGTGCGCTTGGCTGACGTACACAGCACACTTCAGTCCTTCCGTCCAGCTGCAGCATGTATACAAGGTATCAGGAAAAATGTCGCAATAAAAATATCTGTACAGATGTCTCGCAATTGCGTGGTCAGAAGCTTATGATCAACTACTAGTACGCTAACCACTGACTCTGTACTGATGCACCACCACTAGACTGATGCACCACCAATAGACTGTAAGCACAGTCAAACACACTTCAGCAATAGAAACAATAGACGGATTATGTTGCCTGTTCCCTGGCAGATGTCCAGCATCGCCAACCTTTGAAGTAGCTTTGCATTCCAATAAAAAAATACCAGCAACTGTTACTAATACATACCCTGTAGAATTACAATACCAGTTATGGTTGCATGGCACTCAATTGGTGGCAGATTTCCTCGACGTACGCATGCATGCGCCAAGCACTTACATGTTATAATCCTTGACATTAGCAGCTTCCAGCACAAATGGCCGTTCGCCGGTGATGACTTGAAACGCATAACAGTGGCCGTAACCTGCTGGTTAGCCGTACATACCGCACACCGAATCCACAACACGATGAGACAATCATGTCATAATTATGATGAAGACTTGGAAGCACAAAGGGGAAAGGAGATGGAAGACCGAACTATTACTTGCACCATAACTCATCTTTGTTACATTCATGTCATGGGGCAAAGGGCACAACTATGAGCCACTCCCTATTTGTGCTACTCACTTTCCAGTCCTGGTGGACCACTGGCTTGTATCCGCGTTACGTCAGCCAAGCGGAGGTTATGAACAGTAGAACCTGCACGTGTGCGTACACGCACACACACACATACACATGTACACACACAAACACACACACACACACACACACACACATACAGTCTAGTGGTGAAACGAAAATCAAAGCCCAGTAGCCGAATCTTTTTTGGCTTAACGAGCGAACGAATATTCTTTTGGCACTACAGGTGACATCACAAGTCATGCTCTCCTCTCTGTCATTTGATTGGATATTGCCACTATTATTACACTTTATTAGGCATGACAAACGGTAGTGCCACATAAAACGTACTGCCACAGGATACTTTGAAGTTCATACATGTTATGTGCAACATTGGCAGTCCAGTATGCGCATACATCTGCACATGCAGTACAAAATCACAGGGCAGGCTATGCACTGCACTCTACTATGTTCGGCGTGCATGCATGTACATGCAGTGCATTCGAAGTGACGTAACGAATACTCGAACGTGACAAACCGAACGAATATTCGAATATTCGTTTCACCACTATGTTAAAGTCAAACACACACACGTACACACACACACACACCTGCCCATCGCCGAAGCGATGATAGCGAACACGCTATGATTGACATAGCAACTTGTGCTGGGATTACACTATTCAACAGCTTGCAAGGCTGATGAATTGACCACCACTAATTTTAGCCTGGTCTACACCATACGGCTGGTTGAAGTGGCTTTTCTGGCCAATGAATCGCCATTTTTCATTTTTCTTCAATTTTTTAATTTGCACACACATACCACACAAATATTATGAGATCCAAAACTGGAAAAGAATGTCAGAGAGTGCTCTACAGGGCGCATTACATACTCGTGCACCAATTGCAGCACCACTGTACTCCGCTACATGATTGGGACCAGTACATGTGTAGGGCATCATACCTCTGTGTCCCAATTGCCGTGATCCATTGCCTGTGAACTTTGGATCCATGGTCAGGAGAACGTGAGCCTGCTTTTCAGGAAAGTCACCAGCATGATTCACTGCGGTAGTATGCAGCACCAGCAACAAAGAGCGGAGAGCAGCACTTTGTAGCAGCAGCAGCAGCAACGGCAGCCACTAAGCAGTGTATGGCTACCAGCAGCAGTAGCAGCAGCAACGGCAGCCACTAAGCAGTGTATGGCTACCAGCAGCAGTAGCAGCAGCAACGGCAGCAGCAGTACTCACCCCAGGCCCTCACTACACAGAGGCCGGATTCATTATTACCAGCAGCATGCACAACGCCACATGGGCACATACCTGTTATGTTGCTTAGACGGGAGCGCGACTCCACTTCCTTCCAGATGAGCTCTCGGCCATCACTGGAGAGCCAGAAGTGCCTCTGGTGGTTCCTCTCCAGATCCTTAGTGTACTTTGTCATAACACAACCTGTGCAGGCAACACACAGACAACACATGTTCCATGCACACACATACACACACACACACACACGCACACATGCACATGCACATACGCATGCACAGCGTTGACAGCACACCGTCATGGTCGCAATCAAGTAAACCGGGGTGCAGTTGGAATGCCGTTGGTAAGTGACCAGGTCGCTCATATGCCCTTGTATTGTCATGCAGAGAGCAGTATCATAAAGTAGCACAAGAGCACCCCACCACCTCGTCCTTTCGTGGCCGTACTGTGGAGGTGGTGTCCTGTCTGGAGGTCATACGGTACATACCGTGTTCACACATTGCACATTGTGCATCCAATCCGTACTCAATCATTAAGTTACCTTTGAACAGATGCGAGCTCCACACAAGAGCATGCCAAGTGTGACCTTTGTACACTAAGGCTCTCACACCATACAAAGTTGTGGTCTGCCATACGATTTCCCTTTCCTAAGTTACCTTAGCTGTAAAATCAAGGCCCTTGCGAGACTGGGTGCTTGAAGGTAACCGGAGTATAGATTGACTGCACAGCATGTGTTCTGTATACAGGGTGTGTGTTGCATGACGGCCTCCAGACAGGACACTGCCTCCGAAAGACGGCCACGAAAGGCTGGCGGTTGTGGGGTGTTCTCGTGGCACTTAACGACGGCACTAGGGTTTAGCTGGTGCTAGCGGCCGTCGTGAGATCCCTTCGGAAACGGACACGATAATTTACTCTCTTTTTTTTTACGATACTTTTTATCTTCACATAACATTATGCTCCTAGGATTACTGACGGCTGGTACATGGTAACATCTCTCCTGCTGTGCAGCTGGGGGATCGGGCACAACACTGCAAGGGAATGCACGGCAATCGCTACTCACCGCTCTGCATGGGGCCCTTGTAGATGGTGTGGTACTCGAAGCAGAACGTGCACACCCACACCTCAAACTGGCCCGCCTTCTGCGCGCACTCCCCACCGTGAAATATGTCTCCGCACAGACGACAGTGATGACGCCGATTGGTCAGTGTAAACTCATCACCGCAGTATCCGCAAGTCGGTGCCTCCTCATCTTTCACCCAGTACTTGTCAGGGCAAAACGCAGGAGCATTCTCAAAGGGACCTGGGCCAGCAAAACATAAATGAAATGTCAAAATCTAAATCAATAATGATAGTACAGTCAGACCTCGCTTGCAGCCCCAGCATAGCAGTAGGTGAATTCCAATTGAACATTAACTTTTACTACTTGCAACACACACCACCTGGGTGGTGCACTGCCTTTAATAGTGGGTAAGATTATTTCAATGGTGTTACTCATCGTAACTCCACTAAGAACATGGGACAGACATAGTGGTGGCGTGCCAGTGCAAAGGCCTTGCCAGACGGTATTTCTCGGCACTTGCAATATGCAATGCCAAGGCAAATCCAGCTAACTATTAAATCGCCAATCGAGGCTATGGAGGCTTATGCTTTACATGACATCTCTAAAAAAATCTTTTTTTCTTTTTTTTTAACTACAAACGCCGAATAACAATCTTGATAGAGAACATGAGATGCCTCAGCTTCACCACGATTCCATGGCAGCAGTTGCTCAAATATCCTCAAGGCGACCACATACACGACTAGAGGACATAATTATTAGGGCTGAAACGATTATACCGAATAATCGAGTACTCGTTTGATAACTCTAACGATCGAGCAATCGTTTAGATTACCGATTACGATTATTTTGCGTTTTTTAAATTTCTGTCCAGAAAGTATTGTAAACCCTCGTTTTGTGAAGTTTGAATCAGTTTCCGCTGAGAGTATGCAGTTGCCAGGGGTATGGTTCATGTTCTGAGGTTAAATTGACTTCAAAACTGCCATGTTTCGGAGCTACCCTTTCACTAATGCAGATTTGTTGGTATTATGAAGGCATAGTTTGTGGAAACAGAGTAATGTTTGCACAGAATTATGACTCTATTTGCTAACGATTATAATCGATTACTCGATCGTTAAGCTAGAGAGTAATCGATACTTGAAAATCCACGATCGTTTCAGCCCTACTGATTATGTGTACAGTCATGCAGACCTCCAGTGTCAGTAGTACATCTACATCTACATCCACACCAGCTAACCAACATGATGCCTCCCATCTCACTGCAATTTACAATAGCTAGAGTTCCCAGACTCACTGCAATTTAATAATTATGGTTTTATTGGTCTACTTGGTCTACCACTGCACAGTTGTATTCTTAGCACACTAGCACACTACCAGGCTACACAGCCTACAGTACTCTTTGACACCTAGCTTTGCGGTACAGGACTGACTCTGTAGATCTACCGGTTGTAACGTCAGTACATTTAGGTCTTATCTTACCTAATGCTGCGGTAGACGCATGCACTGCTCCGTTGGACGGTCTACTGCTACTAGGACTAGGCGACAAGCTTGCCGACGGTCTGGCGGAGTAATCGGCTTCGGAAGGGCTCCCGGCCTGGCCCGTTGCCAGGCTTCTACTCCGCCATTGCCGACCCTCACCGCCATTGCCACTGCCACCGTCACCGTCTTCTCGTGACACGCGACGGTAGGCTGAGGAGATGTTGCTGCCTGAGGACGCCCTGCTACTGCCGTAATCACGTCTGCTGCTGCGAGTCGACGAGCCGGAGCCAGTGGAGCTGAAGGAGTGCAGGGATGGGACCTTGTCCTCGCTCTCCTTTGAGCCACAGCAGCCCATTGATTCGCCTTGAAACGCACTAAGACTACAGTACTAGTCTCTGGACCTCTTGATAAGTGCTCGCTACAGTGCCGGCACTATTTCTTTCTAAAAGCTGAGCAGCTGCTTCGGACAACCCAGCACAGCAAGTGGTAGCGCGCTCATGGCTAACTTGCAATGTTCAGCTCGCCACTTTCACAGCCATACACGGTGGCCTGGCGGGAGGAACAGGAGCCCTGGAACGAAAATAGTATGTTTAAACGTTATACTGCAGAAAACTCTTGAACTGTTAGGAGTGTTACGCAAACCAGCTACAGCTGACGAGACACTCAGAAACTGACGATATTCGCTAGCGTTCAAATATTTATTTCCGCAAAGGGTAGTGGTGCAGTCAGCTCAGGTCAGGGTCGACACGGTCAGAAGCTCGAGATTTTACACAATCATTCACGATCGATCGCGTCAAGTCACATCACCATGATCTGACACTGCAATAAATAATTATTGCAGTGATCGTGATGTGACTTGAAATTTTAGCGCTGTAATCATTTTACTGAATCAGTAATGACAGTATCTTCACGTGTCGTTCCCTGAGCTCTTGAGCTGAGCCTGTCAGCTAGGCAGATCAGACATGTCGCTTCGATCTTCCTTATGACTTATCTAGGGCCAGTAGGCAGTAGCCTGAGTATGGGACATTGGAGTGGATCATGGAGTGGGACTGGAAAGTGGATTCATGCATAAACTGTACTCTTGACCTCCTATCCTCCAGCGGTCAAAAAGTCCAAGGTACTTTCCCGCGGTGATACATGTAAATCTCTAACCCTAGTCCATTGTCCATAATTCATTACTTCGAATAGCGATGAATAAAACTACATGCATCTTCCACTTCCAGTTCAATGCCTTTTCCTCACCGTCATCATCAGTGCCAGTGGAGCGCTCGTCACTAGCCCTTTCCCAAAGATACTCGCCACTTTTTTCGCAACTTTTGGTTGTTTCGGGAGAAATCGCAACTACTTACTTGCGCAACTAATACTTTCTTCATTTTCTCGAACTATTTCGCAACTTTTCCGCAACCTTGGCCCCATGACATGGGGTCAAAAGATCAAGTCACAGACTACATGTCGGACAAGTGCATACTCGCTCATTTCTCGCCTGCCTTCACTCAGACTCATTTCAGAGAAACTGTTGATCAACGGTAGTAACGTCGTGCATTCCCTTTTCCGTGCACTGGAATGATGTAGGCTATAGGATACATGCAACAGGCCACTGGCACTGTGGTTCACAGCAGGAAAGGGTGCACGAGTTTGCTGTCGCTTCTGCTACAGGTATTTCTCCTCCTCTTTTTGGTGATTTTTGCACATGAACTCTCCAATTTTAAGTTGCGATGTTAGCAACTTTGGAGCTTTTTCTGAAAATATGGATGCGATTTCAGCAACCTGCACTTGTTTTGGCACGGTTGCGAAAAGCATAAGTTGCGAAAAATTATGGCATCTTTGGGATAGGGCTACTCGTCACATAATGGGGAATGTTAGATAGGAATACATGTACATTAGTATGACATAACCGTCGAAACAATCGATTAGACAGTGTTTACACACCTACAACTGTACATGTACACAATGTAAAGGCAACAAAGATAGCGAGGGCGACACTATCAGGTAAAAGCAAAGCAGCCTTCCACTTTAATTAAGAAGTGAAATAATTCTCTTTTTGTTTACATACAGTGTAGAACCGGATCAAGTAGATGGATGTGGAATGAAGTGGAGGTACATGTACAATGACGTCATGTACATGTAGTACTAGTATACTATACAGTATACTAGTAGATGCTGGGAAATCAGGCAATGGACGGAGGTGGATGGAGATTGAAGAAGGTGAACGGAAAATCAGGCCGGTTGGTCAGGTTTTAACACCGGACCAACTTTGCAGCTACCGCCACTGAGGAGGGCATACATACACGTCCCCGCCATATTATACACAAAGTATGAAAGACTATGGTACGACCGATCCAATTGAAAACTGCCTCCGGCGGTCCTAGAGATACAATGTAGAGGGAGGTGGAATGATGTGGAATGAAGTAGGCCGGGGAAGATGGAATGGTGTGGAGGGAGATAATTGAAAGAGGTAGAGAGAAGTGGAGGGAGAGGTAGAGAGAGAGAGAGGTGGAGGGAGATTGAGGGATGCGGAGGGGCCTGTAGGGACCTGGAGGATGTAGAGGGAGATGGAGGGACGTGCATGGAAGGACAGGGAGAGATACTCGATAGATAGATACGTGTACATGTAGATAGATAGATAGAGAGAGAGAGAGAGAGAGAGAGAGAGAGAGAGAGAGAGAGAGAGAGAGAGAGAGAGAGAGAGATACATGTAGATGGAGAGAGATTTACTTTTCTTTCGTTCTTCCCTCTTGTTATTTGTACTTTGTACTGTTCAGGAAACGAACTGGAATATTAAAAACCAAACTAAACCAAATCAAAATAAACATGTGTAATCAAGGATCCAAAACCTTGGTGCAATGTAAAAGGGCATAACATATTATAACCTTTTTTATAATAGCAATAAAGAGAACAAATTCTGCTGTCATCGCCACACTACAACAAAGTCATGAAGGTTACCAAAATCGATTTTCTTGTCACAATCATCAGTGGAAAGCCGTGACTGAAGAGAAACCATGCTGAATCAATGATTAATATACATGTACATTCAATAATGTGTTACGAGAACAAAACAAAGTGCTAAAATAGAATGAGGGAAGGTGAGACAATAGAAGTGAAGTGAGAGCTACCGGTAAGTGCAACAGGGGTGAGGAACATGTAAATGTAATTGCAACGCTAGAATTGTGTAGTGAGACAAACAATCATGCTGTGCACCTACGAAAACAATCTTAACGCAACTACATGTTTCTTCTGCTTACAAAGATCAGGCTTATGCAAACGAATACAAACAGCCTCAAGTACTTTCAACTGATAGCGTACCGTGCACGACAAAGAACAGAAAAGGACAGGGTAATTTGGTAAACCTTCATGACTTTGTTGTAGTGTGTAGGCCTGGGCGGATAATGCTAGCATTATAGGTAGCATTATAGTGTGCGATTTGCAACGAGCATTATGCTAGCATTATAACACTACATTTCCACAAAAGTGGCATTATACTCAAATATGGAACTTTTGGTCACCACAAGTCAAATGTGGGGTGGGAGCAGCTGATGTTTGTACAGTCATGTAGCATTAGTGCATTGGCTATGGCGGGAGGGCGGCCAAACTAAGCCATTTTCCATGCATACTATTGCGGTTTTGCTGGCATTATGGAGCAATAGCAGCATAAAATTAGCATTATGATCATGATTTTCTAGCATTTTCCTTGCCGTCTACGTAGAACTACGAAACGTGCACAATACTGCCCAAACCCAGCAATTTTTCCACACTTACTACTGGTGAATTGCTGGCATTACAGAGGAACAGCAGCTTTATAAGTAGCATTATGATACAGTTTTTCTGGCATTGCCATTAGCATTATCCCGCAAAATAACTAGCATCATCCGCCCAGGCCTAGACTAGTGTGGCGATGACAGCAGAATGTGTTCTCTTTATTGCTATTATAAAATTGTTGTCTCCGCGTCGATTATTTACATATTTTAAACGGAGATACTCTAGGAGTCAGGTTGAAATCCTGAATTATGCTCTGCGCAAACGCTACGTGGCTAGAAACATTTCACATAATATTATCTTCTTGAAGCGCTGTAAGGAAAAAGGAGTGTGCCCTACTTCCATCCAGAAGCGGGTGCACAAAGCCCGTATTTTGGTAAACCTTCATGACTTTGTTGTAGTGTGGCGATGACAGCAGAATTTGTTCTCTTTATTGCTATTATAAAATTGTTGTCTCCGCGTCGAAATCCTGAATGATGCTCTGCGCAAACGCTACGTGGCTAGAAACATTTCACATAATATTATCTTCTTGAAGCGCTGTAAGGAAAATGGAGTGTGCCCTACTTCCATCCAGAAGCGGGTGCACAAAGCCCGTATTTTGGTAAACCTTCATGACTTTGTTGTAGTGTGGCGATGACAGCAGAATTTGTTCTCTTTATTGCTATTATAAAATTGTTGTCTCCGCGTCGATTATTATTTTACATATAACCTTTTTACGCTCTTTTTACAACGGACAACCGTACTGGGTCCTAGCATACCGTCCCTATGTACCTCCCCCCCCCCCCCCCCCCCCAGTCGGTGACATTGACAAAGACGTCAGGCTACATCAGGTACATGTACTGAAGTACTTCGAAGTACATGTACCTGTAGCTACAAAAGACATTGTGGAAGCAGTACTCAAAATATTAGTAGTAGTCTGAAGTACCGTGTACATGTACTTGCAGGCGCACTCTGCAGCCTTGCACAATACTCAAAAGTAAAAAGTAGGTCTTTCTTAGCGCCATTATAGTGGGCACTGTTTCCGGTGACTTCCACCACTGCAAATGCCAGGACCAGCTACCACGACTAGTCGACTACTGACTAATGACTACATGCAAATGTAAAATGTAGTACAGCGTCAATGCCACAATGGTCCCTTTATTCCTGCACCATTTGCGCTACGGAAATTCTGATGGATTAGAAAATCTTATTTACTGCAGATATACTGCTGCGATATGCATGAAATAATTGAAAAGGACATTATTTTGGTTGCTGAAAATTATGCAGGTTTATAGAGGGTTCTGGTTAATTAGTAAAGTGCTGGACCGTCCCCAGCCTGGACGACTGTGACGACTCAGTACCTGTGGGTAATAGTAGTAGTAGTGGATTTGTCACCATTGCCTTCCTTGCTTGCGCTTTTCAATTTCTTCATTCCCACACCCGGTTTGTTTTCAAATAAAGGCGAAGTTCAGTAGTTAGCCGGCTAGCTGGCAGCCTTGTGCAAAGCGACCTGGCCTTTCATGTACATGTACATACAATGCACAGTATACTAGTAGTAAAAGTCATGTGCAAGTACATGTACATGTACATGACATTGTACTTCAGAGAAGTCCAGGGTCCTTGGAAACAGAGCACGGCCTGTGATACGGATCTTAGGCACAAGAAAGCCGTGTTGTAGTCATCACTGACACCAGTAACTTAAAAAAAAAGTCTTTTTATTATGTACACACAGTACTTTCATGCACTGGACTAAAGAGCAGCTGCAGAGTTTCAAAGCACAGGACAATATCGCAGCGCTCCACTACACTCGTACTCCTAACTAAGTTACTTCTAACATGAGTCGACGTTGCAGTTTCGGTTTGCCTCTTTCTTCGTCCAGTGAACACTAATATGTAGCATAGCGTGTACGCTAACAGTAACCATGGTAATAGTACTATCCCTGACTTGTTCGTGCCAGGAAATCGATATTTTACTACTCCTGAGCGAAACCTAAC